GACTTTGATACGAAAGTCTCAGAGGCAAATTTTGTGAATTGTGCAATTTAGGTTCCTTTTGTTTCTTCCTTGACCAACAGAAATATAGTGAAGACAACAGAGTAGTTACTCCTAGTACCCCGAATGCAACGGAGATTATTATCTTCAACTTCCAGGTCGATGCCCCTTTCTTGGACTTCTCCAAGTTGCAAGGGGGTAACTCTAGTTTAGGCACACCCCCACAAAGCCTCTTGTTTCCCGTGACTGAAACTGCACTTGTATTCTTAAAGACACCTTGTGTCGGTACCTCGCCTTCGAGATCATTGAAAGATAGATTCAAGTACTGCAGTTGAAATGTCTCGAGGAAATGTGGGATTTTGCCTGATAAATTGTTGAGAGAAAGATCTAAAATCTGAATCCCCCTTAAAGAACTCAATGATGAAGGCAAAGTTTCTGATAAGAAGTTCCCTTGCAAACGCAAAACTTCCAGGGAAACACAGCTGCCAAGACTAGGAGGAATTTCACCAGATATCATATTATAAGACATATCCAAAATACCTAAACCTTTCAAAGCTCCAACTTCTCTAGGAAAGGGACCACTCAAATAGTTGCGAGAAACATCCAGAAAACGGGACAAGGAGGAAAGACTGACAATTTCTTGGGGTATGGTGCCACTCAGATTATTTCGAGAAAGATCCAATAATAGCAACTTCTGGCATAAACCTAAACTTGAAGGGATACTACCCTGCAGATTATTCCTTTTTACACTCAGCAAATTTAAATTCGTCAGATTCCCAAGGGAGGGTGGAATGTTTCCTGAGAAATTGTTTTGCGTCAACAGCAGTACAACCAGCTCTTGCAGATTTCCGATCTCAGGGGGAATGACACCAGATATTTGGTTCTCCCGCAGATCCAATGTTTCCAGGTTGACAAGATTCTCAATGTTATTTGGGATGCTTCCAGATATTTTGTTGTGATCTAGATACAAAGTTCTAAGACGACTGAAGTTCCCAATACATTCTGGCATCATCCCACCAAAATTGTTACCATTTAGGGCCATAACCTCTAAGTCAGTAGTGTTCAGCAGAGACTGCAAGAAGTTCAAATCACCAGCTCTCCCACTTCCAAGGTGGTTGGAGGTTAAGGTTAAGCGAAGTAGCCTATTCAACTTCCCCAAAGTGGGTACTGATCCGATAAGTTTGTTTTGACTGAGTCCAAGGTATTCCAGATCTGTTGCATTGGATATTGTAGAAGGGATAAAGCCAGTAAATTTGTTAGAACTAAGGCCAAGTTTTTGCAGATTAGGAAGAGTGATGCCTAAGTTCCAGGGAAGAGTGCCTTCAAGTTGATTGACCGACATGCCAAAAACTCTGATAGAAGAGAGATTGAAGAATGAAGGAGGGATTGTACCTGACAACCTATTACCATCGAGTGTAATATGTGTGAGATTTTCCAGTTTGCTAAGAGTATCAGGGATACCGCCACCAATATAATTTTGAGTCACAGAAAATTTCTGAAGAGATGATAGGTTACCAAAAGCGAAAGGGATCCCTCCTGTTAGATAGTTGGCATGAAAGAAAAGTAACTCAAGCTTCGACAAGCTACCAAACTCATTAGGAATGTTCCCTACCAACATGTTCCAGGCAACATGTAAGCCAATGAGGTTGGAGCAGAAGGAAATATTGGAAGGAATTTCCCCACTGAGCGAATTGTTGTTTACATACAAGTACTTCAGCCTCGACAAATAGCCTAACTCTGGAGGGATTTCTTGGCTGAGGCTATTGTTAGATAGATCTATCACCCTCAAGAAGCTCAAATTTCCGATATGAGGTGATATGGAGCCTGCTAGCTTCTTGGACTGTAAATCCAACACAGTGACTCTTTGATGCCGGCGACTGCACACAACACCATACCATTGGCAGAAATGTGTAGAGCTATTCCACGAGCTCAAAACACCAAGAGGGTCACTTATATGGGACTTGAATTCGAGCAGAGCTAGTTGATCCGTCTTGTTCTTGGCAATCCAAGAGGTAGCTTCAGTAGAAAAGCAAGTAACTTGCAAGGCAGGGACAGGGGAGTGCAGAATAGCATGCATGCCAAAGAATGACCAGAATACTACTCTTAAGATTATGCGGAAAATCCCCATTTGAGTATGAGGAATATTGAACGCAAAGTTTCTTAGTGATCAGAAATAGAAATTCAAAAGGAGAGATCTGTTGAAAAATTGATATTGGTGGATTGTAGAAGACGAAGAGAGTTGCAGGGAAAGCTCAGAAGGTTTTGCTAGACAGAGCTATGAAGATTGGGAGAGAGATAGATGTCTCAAGGACTGAATCATACTAAAAAAGGACTGAAAAGGAGACATTTGATTAAATATTAGGAAAAGTATTGCTTATTCTTGTATTCCTTGTTTGTTTTTAAAACTTCAAAGTCATCATCAATCTTTATACATTTTCTGGAGCAATTTCCTCTTATATACCAACAACAGCTGAATCCAATTTCCCCCCTATAGCATTGTTTTAAAATTTCAGAGTCATGATCTATCAGAGGCTAAATCACTTTCAAGCAAGTCATCCACCTATGTATCAGTGCATTTTTGGAAGCAATGACACTTATATACCAACAACAGCTAAATCCACTTTGGGTTGAATAAATTGGATAGAAACTATTTATGCTCTGACCAATAGTTCAAGGACACTGGCACATTTTACCCTTATAGAAATCCAGTTGATGTAAGTGCTGCTCTTTCTCCTATTCATTAATATGGTTTTTTCAGATCTGATTGAGAGGATAAATAGTGGACTAAAAACAAAGGACAGAGGTGCTAAAATTTAATTTTTGAGTAATTAATATTGCTTCCTTCCTTTTGGGTCATTAATTAACATGGTTTTTTCACGTCTGATTGGGTAGATAAATAGGGATTCGGAAATGTTGGTAGGAATTCCCCCTATAAGCAAATTGTTGTTTATAGCTTGTCGGACTGTAAATCCAAGACAGTGACTCTTTGATGCCGGCGACTGCACAGTGCACACAACACCATGCCATTGACAGAAATGTCTAGAGCCATTACACTAGCTCAAAACACCAAGAGGGTCATCGGTTATATGGTACTTGAATTCGAGCAGAGCTAGCCAATCCGTCTCGTTGTTGGCAGTCCAAGAGGTAGCTTCAGTAGAAAAGCAAGAAACCTGCAAGCCAGGGAAAGAGGAGTGCAGAATTGCTTGTAAGTCAACGAATAACCCGAATGCTCTTAACATTAACATTATGCAGAAAATCCCCATTTGAGTATGAGAAATATCCAACATAAAGTTTCTAGAGATGAGAATTACTAGGAATTTGGAGCTCCTATGGAAAGAGATGCAGCAGCTATTCACTTCAAAGAGGAGCTCTGCAAACTCAAGCACATTTGTTTAAAAGCATCAATGGCGTAAGGCAGGAAAACTATGCAGATTTTGACCTGTTCATCTATCCATCTTCATGTTTATAGCGACAGAAGAGACTTTTGCTTAATTTTCTTGCCCTGGAAATCTTCGGTTGCTTGGATACTAGCTCACTGAAAACTGAATTTACACCGGTTAACAAAATTATAGGAAATCGCATATTTTCAACGGTTGGATAAAAATCCTAAAACCGAACATAGTTAAATCATAAACATGCAAAGCTGCTAATCTATAAGCTACATCAATCACCCACCAAATCAAAGCATATCTCCCGAGCAATTAAAAATTATCTCCATTGTTGGCTTCAGACCATCTGCCGCCCACCATCTAATTATTAATGAAAAAAAAATGTATACTGTCCCACTACTACAAATAAATGTAAAATTTATTTAATATTGAGTTTTTTAAACTAAAGAAAATAAATAAAAAAACACAGAGATAGAATAATAGCTCAATTCTTTTGTTTCTCTTCTTACCGTCGGACAGGCTGGCTTTCTGTAGTTTTAGTCTGAATCTTTAATTTATTTTTATATTTTCAATTTATATTTATTATATTTGTAAATAATATTTAAGTTTTGAGTGTGTATTTTTCAATAATTTTTTTCGATTATAGACAATTGAACTAAGGACAAAATATGCTAGTACCAACATATGCATAAAGGCAAAGCGTAGCACATTGTCATTGATCATTTTTTTTTATTATGTTAACTCGTGCTTGATTAACCTTATCACATGGAAAAATACGACAAACATAGAAGAATTCGATTCTTTTTATAGTATATATTAGGAATCAATAAAGCCGAAGAAAAACTTCAATTTAGTTTCAAACTTATACATTCATTCTATGTTTCTCCATCATGTTTTTTGCCGATTACTTTTAATAGTTTTTTTTTTTTTTTACCCATACAATTAAGATTCCCGACAGAGCTAATTTGATAGGATTTGAACCCGTGATCTCTTGTTGTAAGAAATTACTATCATTTGGCTACAAACTCTTTAGTTACTTTTAATAGTTTAAATCTAGCTTAATTTCATATTTTATACATTCAAATGGTGAGGATTTGAAAAAAAAAATTAATAGAAAATTTAATGACAATAATTGAGTTTCAAACTCAATTATGTTTTTTTGACTATTACTTTTAATAGTTTAAGTCTAGATTTCATATTTTATACATTAAATTAGTGACAATTTGAAGGAAATTTGATAGAAAAGTTAATAAATATTAATATTTTTAATTTATTGTGCATATTTATATATTAAAATATGATCAATTTGAAGAAAATTTGATTGAAACATTGATGAAAATTAACAAAAACACCAAATCAGAATTAAAAAAAAAACATCTAGGACCTAATCAATACAATTTATAGATTTAGAAGTCAATTGAGAATGAATATATAAGTTTGGGACTAAATTGAGGTTCTCCTAAAACTTAACCAATCATATGCGGCAAACGACGTTCCTTTCAACTTTAAAATAAAATTTGTACTTGACTATTCTAGACAGCCAATCCTTTGCCGCAGAAACCAAGAAGATTTTGGCTTTAACCTTTCTGTATCTTGTCTCTAGAAGGAGAAACCATGGAAACGAAGACGACTCCTTTTCTTCGTTTCACCTTCATCTTGTTCTTAGTTATATTTCTTTTCACATGTTCATGGTACTCTCTAAATCTACCAGGTTTCTCTGGTTATTCTCAATCAACCTCATGGTGCAACTCCAGAAGCAGAGTTTGTGCTCATCTGGGCTCAGTTTTGGAGACCCGAATACACAAACCCAAAGACCACATGGAAGACATCCCTCACCACCCCTTAGACCCACTTACCATGCAAGAAATCAACAAGGTGCGGACCATTCTCTCAACCTTTCCACACTTTTTGCCTTCTTTCCCAGCTATTCACTCGCTATCCCTTGATGAGCCTCACAAGGATTTGGTCTTGGACTGGAAAGAAGGTGACCCTCTTCCTCCTAGGAAAGCACTTGTGATTGCCCTATTGAATGGTCAGTCTTATGTGCTATCTGTTGACTTGGATTTGGGCTTGGTGACAAGCAATGAAATCTACCATGGCTCAGGTTACCCGATATTAACGATTAAGGACATTTCGGTGGCAATGCAAGTGGCTCTCTCTTACAAGGAGTTGAACAAGTCTGCCATCAAACGTGGGCTTTCGTTATCTGATTTAACATGCATCACCCCATCGGCTGGCTGGTTTGGAGCGAATGAGGAAGGAAGGAGGCTAATAAAGGTCCAATGTTTCTCGAACCAAGGCACACCCAATTTCTACATGAGGCCACTTGAAGGGCTGACCATGACAGTGGACATTGACAAGAAAGAGGTAGTCCAATTTACTGACACAGGCCGAGGAATTCCTGTCCCAAGAGCTACCAACACTGACTACCGATACCAAAAAGAGCCACCCAAAATGAAGCCAATAAAACCAATATCAATAGAGCAACCACAAGGGCGTAGCTTTAGCATTGAAGATGAGCACATAGTGAAATGGGCTAACTGGGAGTTCCATCTGAAGGCTGACCAACGAGCTGGCATTGTGATTTCTCGAGCCATGGTTAGTGACTCGGACACTGGGGTGCCGAGAAGTGTCATGTACAAAGGGTTCTCTTCAGAATTATTTGTGCCTTACATGGATCCTGACGAGAGTTGGTACTTTAAGGGATACATGGATGCTGGTGAATTTGGTATGGGAGCAACAGCATTGTCTCTTGTGCCACTAAATGATTGTCCTCGGCATTCTTACTATATGGATGCAATATTTGTATCATGGGATGGGAAACCATATGTTCAGCAGAACATGATTTGTGTCTTCGAACGGTATGCCGGCGACATTAGTTGGCGACACTCGGAGGTCCCCGTAAATGGCTTCAATGTAAGTGATATTGTTGATGCCAATACATTTTTGTGATAAAGTATAAGGAGTAGTTTTCGGTATGTAGCCAAATTGAGATTTAAGAAGCCTAGATCCAGAGCAATATCCACTGCCTATATTGTTCATGAGATTTTACATCATTTTTTCTTAGGTTGCGCTTGAAATGAAAATAGTCTGCAGGTTATAGACGGGTATTACTTGAATCTGACTCGAGGTTGGCTGTGCACTTATTGAAATCTAGGAGTGATAGCCTTGGTGATTATAGCCACCTTGTCCATACCATTTGTATTATCCTTCAGCGACAGTGGGAAGTTCCGATTCCTCATGCTTATAGGGAAGCCAATCGTATTGCAGGGCTTCCTGCTCATGGCTCTTCTATCCATATTAAAATTTCTTACTTTATAGATCCTCCGCTTGGTTGTGTTAGCATTATGTTACAATATATTTTTGAAGTTATGACTCCTACACTTTCTACTCTCTAATCTTCATCCAAAGCCTTGTTGAGCTTTTTCAAACACTGGAATTTTTTTCAGATTAGAGAGGCAAGACCAAAGGTGACGCTTGTGACTCGAATGGCGGCTTCTGTGGGAAACTATGATTACATATTTGATTGGGAATTTCAAACGGATGGTTTGATCCATGTTGTGGTAAAATTTACACATATACTCTGGTTTTCTTTATCTCTGGTTTTTTTTTTTTTTTTTTTTTGATGAATTGATTTCAAAGATGGTAAGATCTAGTAAGTGTGTAATTAAGCCATTAATTTTGTTCTTTTTATGTATAAAAATGTCCTAGACTCACCCTGCTAACCACATTAGTCCTAGCAGGTCACCCTTTCAGGGATGCTAATGGTAAAAGGCACTCCTCATCAAAATACGGATCAAATACCCAGCCAAGAAGCACCGTCAGGTCCTTTAGTCTCCGAAAATGTTTTTGGTGTTGTCCATGATCATTTCATTACCTTCCATCTTGACCTGGATATTGACGACACTAATAACACATTTGTTAAGGTGAACTTAGTCAAGGAAGAGACATTGCCAGGTGAATCACCGAGGAAAAGCTACTTGAAAGCAAAACGAAACGTAGCGAAAACAGAGGATGATGCACGAGTTAAGCTTAACCTCTATGACCCTTCAGAATTCCATTTAATTAACCCTTCAAGACGGTCCAGGCTGGGGAATCTGGCTGGCTACAAAATCATCCCTGCCGGGAATGCGGCTAGCTTGCTTGATCACCTTGATCCTCCACAACTTAGAAGCGCTTTCACAAACAATCAGATATGGGTGACACCATATAATCGGAATGAACAATGGGCTGGGGGACTCTTCACGTATCAGAGCAAAGGAGACGACACCCTAGCTGTGTGGTCGGCAAGGTATGCAAATGAACCTTTACACAGCATCTTTGCGCCATGGAATTATAAAAGTAAATGAGAACTGACATCTTTTGCAAGAATTCTACTGTTATCTAAAGCTAAAAAATTCCATGTCCACGGTCATTTCTTGGTTACTATCACAAATTTGGTTAATTATATACAGCACTTGCTTTCATGGCCAGCAGGAACCGTGCTATTGAGAATACAGATATTGTGTTATGGTACACCCTGGGATTCCATCACATACCGTGCCAAGAGGATTTTCCCCTAATGCCAGCAGTGTCATCGAGCTTCGATCTAAAGCCCGTCAATTTCTTCGAAAGCAATCCGATTCTAAAGGCAGCACCCATGTTTGAAAAGGACCTGCCAGTTTGCAGGTCAGCTACCACATCTTGATGATCAGTTGTCATTAGCTACATTTATCCCCTCCAATTTCATGTAACGACACATAGATCAGAAGGTATGTCGGCGGTTACAAGTTGATGGCCGTTTAAAAAACAAAATGGGACTTCAGTGATTCTGAATTGTGGTTCAATGTTGCAAATAAGCTTGGGGGTTATCACGAAGGCTTTAGTTCTTGACATATATATTTTCTTGACAGAAAGACACCCTTGCATTTATTTTCTTGGCATGAATAAGAGCAGCAGATTATAAGATGCAGAAAACCAAATTAATCACTTCTCCACTTATTGTTGTTTTCCCATTCAACGCACATGTTCAAAGTTTGTTGAAAATGCACCATGTAAATTGTTACAGTAGAACAATCTCACAAGAATCATTCACATTTGAAAGGATTTGCAATATTGATATAAACATTGTCAAGTAGACTGGCTCAGTGTAATAAGCAGCAAGCCTAACATCTAACTTTTCTTGTTACAATCATCCCCACGGATGCAAAAAAGAATAACAGACAATACTCATGTATGAAAAAATTGTGGTCATGGGGCTGGACCAATTGGATTGTGTGCCTCGATATCGACATGCCGAATCCCAGGAACAAGCTCTTGGATCTCTTTCTCAAGTCTATCAACTTCGCTTCCCAGAGCAGTTACCACTTCCTCACCTGAGAAAAAGAGAACCCAGTTGTCAAAAAATGATGCAAGTGGAACTAAATAAAAACGATTGCTTGTCAAAGTGCATACCATAGTTTGACATCATCCTGAGCAATGCAGTATCATCCTTCTCCTTTGAAGCTTCGCGAAACTGCGCATCATCAAATCTAGTTGGTTAGACAGGCAATGCAGTCATTTTGTTATGTGAAAGAAAAAACATGAATGAAAGAAGAAGTTATGGCAGAATTGAAGCCAACAGCTACTAAAACAAACAACATAAATATTCTCAAAATCTTAAAAGTTCACCTGACAGATGACAAGTAAAATAATTTGCGAAGTTTGAAATTCATGCATAACACAATGAACGTGTAAATCAAGAAGCTTGCACAGGGATCACTTGCTTTAAGGAGGTAAGGATTGTAAGGTTAGTTTCTAACTTATGTTAAAACATTTCACAAAAATTACAGATTACTCGCAACAGATGAAAAATTACAAATGACTATTGATTAACCTGTCTGGCCCACTCTCCACGTCCAGTCCTACTCAGATAATTCTGCACGACCACCACTCCATTGAAATCTGTTGCATAAACAGAAGACATCAAATTATGTTGATATCCCAGTAATGAGAAACTATCAACCAAAAAAAAAGTTCCCAGCCCTATGCTCGTATGTATTTGTCACATCTATAGCACATTAATCATAAACATCCCAATAGGAAAATGTCAATACACTTTTCGTCATTGGAAATGCTAGAGGATATACGGAATTATGAATGCAACTTAGGAGAAACAGAAAAGAATAAAGTACTGCACGAAGTTACCTATTTCTGCCTTAAATCTGAAGAATCCTGGTCCAATCACCTCACTTTTGCAATCATATAGTGAATCCACAGCCTAGAGCAAAACCAAATACTAGTAAAAAAAACTTGCAAGATGTGAGCTACAAACAAATAATTGAAGCAAAATATCCTAATCGAGTTGTACCGGGTCATTTTTTAGGAAGTTAAGGACCTTCTCCACATCATGGTCATCCATTGCTCTACCAATCAAAGCATGCCGATTCCTCTGGATAAGAAATATTGCTACCTACACAGATAATTTGAACAAATTATATTAACCTACTGAAAAAATTTACTTGAAAATGACAGTATGATAGTCACAGAAATTTAACCTCGTGAAAAACTGACAGCTGTGATGTACTTACCATCCCAAGCAAGTTGCCAACTATAATAGACCCTATAGGATCATAAATTGCATTCCCTGTGGTATTGACTGCAACTAATGATGCCCCAGCAATAGCAAGTCCAGTTACCGCCGCACCATCCTGCATTTTTTAGATCATATGTCAAGGGATTTAGGCAACCACATGCAAAGCATTATTAGCAGATCAACTCCACGCTATACAAGAATCCTAGTTTAGGAAGAAAAAGATGCAGAGAATGCTGAATGGTTCTTATGCCTTATATTAGTGATTAGCACTTTAACAGTGCCCTTAAGGGCAGCCACAATAGAGCTAAAATAGGGTGCATAAGAACCTTCTTCAAAGCCTGAACTGGGCCTCATAAATGATATTCAGAGTTATATAGATAAATAAATAAAAATCAATAGCACATACAGAGTATTAGCAACTTGAAACTGTAAAATCATGTAAGATAGGAGAAAGTAATCTTGCACCTTTAAGACAACATCATTATGTTCACTTCTTTCCTTTATTCTACTTTCATTTCCCTTTAGCTCTACGAGGGATGGGAATCGCTATTTGTTTATCATAAGCTGCACCAAACTATAAGCAGAATGATAAAGGAATTCTGAGAACCAAATCTTCTTATCTAAGGTGTGCAGAAGTAGAAGCTATATCAGGTGAAATGTATTGGAATAATTAGATAATTTTCTTAGCGATTTTCTTTTATTTTAATTTAAGAATCCTTGTGTTATTTAGACTTCTAGTAATCATGAGACAATGTTTTAATTTTATCACACAATTCAGACCTGACAGGTTTTTCTACAAACCGTAAAGCTTATTTCTTCTTTCAACTTCATTTTTCTTCAAATTAATTATTGCAGTTTATCTTCAACTCTACAGATAGATAACGTGCTTATCAGTTTCCCCATATCTGTGGTTCAACCTTGTTTCTTACATAGATCTTACAAGGTTACTGTCTTATATTACACAAGCTTCATTGAGGGGTAAATGTCCACAGTGAAATTACCTCTGTCATGACTGCAACAGATGTGGGATCGTGACCACGCCAGATGTAGTCTCTAACTGTCATTCCTTCTGCAGCTGCACCTTTCTTAACAGCTTGTATGGCAACAATAAGTGAAGCACCTAAAGCAAAAGCATATTTATTTAAAGATAGAAAGATGATGAAGAAAAGTTCAATTATATCAAAAGCTCAGATAATCCATCAACTGTAAAGATATAAGACTTGTACCTTCAATGATAAATGACCCACCAATCACCAAAGCTGCATACTGAATGTTTTCGGGTGGCTGAAGAAAGAATGCAAGTCAACAAACCTTAATTACAATTACCAATAAAATTGTTGAAAACCAGGAGAAGGAAAAAAAAAAACACATATTTGGGAATTTTTATAACAAAATTTCCACAACAAATTCACTAGGTTTCTTACATGTGAAGTCCATAAATTCTGGATTCCATTAACAATTGTAGCACCAGAACCAAGACAAAAAATACCAACAGCTGATATCAGGGACCAAACAAATCTTTCCTTCGAGTAGCCATAACTGTGCAAGATAAAAACAATCAATTTCATTAGGAAAGAGAAACAGCACCCCTATCGATCCTGAACATGGATATATCTACAGGTCCACATGCAATCCCTACGCAGCTAAACCAAGCCAATTGCTACTCTACATGCAAAAGACGGATAGGTCCACATTGAGTTTTCACCCATTAGCAGAAAGAGCAGCCAACTTCAGCATCCAAGAAATGCCTGTCTACAGGTTTTGTCAATTACAATGTTTTTTCCATAATATGAAGTATGCAGATGTACCTCAACATTTACAAATGGTGAGACTCGTGATCATGCATGCTTAAAAAAGAAAAACAAAGAATGCAATGTAGTTATTGTAAATGATGGAAAAGATTGGTACAAGAGACTCACGGATGAAGAGCATCAGGTGCACGCCTAGAGCTACTTAGACCATAAGCGAGAAGCGCCTACAATGTCAACATGAATTAGTTTCTCTGCATTCAATAATCAATAGATTGTGTTAAAACTTAAAGTAAGACAGCAAAAACAAGTGCTTCACTCCAGCATGTTGACAAAAAACAGAAGTACCTGGTTTGCAAAATCTGCTATCGAATGCACAACTTCAGCAAACATAACATGACTATTGGTTGTAAACCAAACCCCAAACTTAAGAGAAAAGACAAGAAAATTGCACCATAATGCTGTTGTGACTGCTCGTTGGCTGCCAAAGACAATAAAACAATTAGAGACAAAAATAATGCCTCGCAGACAAGCATCAAAGAAAACAGTTTGCAATATAAATTATGGAACAGAAATTGCCAGATTATACACATAGTACGGCTCATAGGTCTAATTCTGCCTCCCCCAAAATGTTTGAACGTCCTTTGAATTCATTGTTATTTCAATGTATTGATTACACAAAACTAACAATTATGACCCATAAGGCTGCTTCTCTAAACCATTATTTTCATATAATCTCCCCAATTCCAAAATCAATCCATTCACCATACTGAATGTTTTCAAATCGACACCGAATATAAGTTAACATCACTTTGCAATATGAAATGCCATGAAATGTTTATCATAACCTAAAAAGACCCATTTCCCTAGAAACAAACAATGCAAAAAAAAAAAAAAAACGAATACCTGTGTTGGTCACTTATTTCTATCCTCTTTACTTGTTTAGCTCTCGTGAAAAAACCTGCAAAAACACAAACATTATTACAAAATCCAATCTTCCTTGTTTAAAACAGCAAAAGAAACTTACCACGATGAGCAAAGTAGCTATAACTTGAATTCTGATCATTCTGGTTACTATCCAAAGAAACCAGCCCCAACAAAGCAAACCCTCTTGACCTCTTAGAAGCAAGAAATCCACAAGGTTGAGTATAAGAACTATAGCCAAAGCTTTGATTTTGAGCTGTGAAATTGGGTTCTAAAACAGTAATATTGCCATCACTCTCATGGGTCAATAAAAACAACAAGTCCCTGTTGCATAAAATGGAAGCAGTGCGTTTTTGTGACTGAGAAAGGCGAGACAGGAAACGATATGATGTTTGCATTAAAACAAGTCTAATGGTTTCTTCTTTCTTACAAAAGTTTTGATTTTCATGGACAAAAGAGACGATTTTTTTCAAATTTGGGGTATTTGCAGAGAAATTTGAGAAATTCGAAATCAGGTTTTTGAGAGAGAGGCTAAAGATTCTTCCTTTGCAAAAAAACATATGCCTTTTTCAATGAGCAGACATAACACTCTCTCTTGCCTTGTCTTCTTCTACAGTGAGGTAGGTTGGGAGTGACAGAGACTAGGAGATGAAAACCCACAGACGGGTTGGCCTTTAGGGCAGCTTGGGCCCTTGGTTGATGGTCTTATCAACATATATACAGACCATGAGTAAATTATAAATTAGTCCCTCTAGTATTAAAAATGAATTGAATAATCCCTATTGTTTCAAAAGATAATTTATTAGTCCTTTGACCAGTTTGTGCACTGTTAATTTAGTATTATTTTTTTCCAAAAATACGATTTCTTTGATGGTGCAGAATACGATTTCTCATATGTGGAATTTCATGGCATTGAGAGATGTTTGAAAAAAAAAAAAAAAAGGATTGGCACCTAACCGTCTGATGGTTGGTTTTGATGGTGCAGTAGCTTCTGATCAAGAACAAGTAGTCCCTTGAAAAATGCTTAGTGCTATAGTGCATATGGTTCTCGCAATGGCTTGCGGGCTTTGTATCAACATAAAACCGGACAGGACAACGGGAACTTGGTCTTTTGGAACCCATCAACTGATAAGTCCGATGATGCACCTTTGTCTACCATAAAGCTACATCCTTCTGATCATAAGACTCCAGTTTGATACTTTTAGTAATGACTACAGAGTGGCAGTAATAAGGATGAACATTTATCAAGAAGGTTCTGATTTTTTTCTTTGCAGCCTCAAAGCTAAATATCGGAGGACAATTCTTTGTTTCATCTAGCCATTTCAATAAACAAGTATGAACAAAAGAACATGCGAAAGAGGGACTGCACTAGCTGATAGAATCAACCAGTTAGTCAAGAAACTAACAGAACTCTGGTTTTTCACTTGCTTCTGCGACGATCATTTGCTTTTACTAATTGCCTGACAACATCTCTCATTGTCGGTCTTTTGCTACGCTCTTCTTCAGTACATCTCAAAGCCACCAAAAGCACATCAATGACTTGATCTCTGATAGTATTAGAATTTGAAACTTCCTCCCCAAGGCTTGGATCAGCAATGCTGTTGATGTCTTCTGTGCTATTCCAAACAGACCTAACCCACCCTACAATAGCTGTTCCCTCCGTAAATGATGGATCTGATGCCTTCTTTCTAGTTATTAGCTCAAGTAAAACCACCCCATAGCTATAAACATCAGATTCCTTGCTCTCTACTGTTGTGAATGCGTTTTCTGTCGAAGAAAAAGATGATTTTCCATTTAAAAAATTGCTTACATAGGATAACGGATCATAAGTGGCTACTTAAAAGAGTAAGCGAAAAGGTTACCTGGTGCTATATATCCGATTGTGCCTGCAACGAAGACAGACTGTGATGAAGCAGAAGACTGATCCAGTAGCTTAGCTATACCAAAATCTGAGATATGAGGCTCCATGTCAGAGTCTAAAAGAATGTTCTGTGGTTTGATGTCTCTGTGCAGTATAGGAGGATCGCAATCGTAATGGATATATTCCAATCCATGCGCAGTTCCAATAGCTATCTTATAGCGCATTTTCCACTCTAGGAGTGGTGCTCTGATTCCATGTAAGACATCATAGAGGCTTCCATTTTGCATGTAGGCATACAGGATTAGACCAAAGTCCTTTTGTAGCCAAAACTCTTCCAATTTGAGCAGATTTCGGTGCCTGATGTTCCCAATGGTTTGAATTTCTCTTACCATGCTTTTGTTTCCTCCTTGGTGCCCTGTAAATACAATCTTTTTCACTGCAAAGATTTTTTCTCCATCTAATGAAGCCTTGTAAACTGTTCCATGGGTTCCCCTTCCAATGATATGTCTGTCATTTAGATTATCAGTAGCTTCAATCACTTTGTTGAGTAGTGAAGATGGGCCATCTTGTGAAGCGATCTCAGCATCCTGCTTACATCTTTTGAGCCTGATAAACAAGTAAACCACTCCAAGAAGAACAAAAACAGCAGCCACAGAAGCAAGGGCTATCATTGAAATTGCCACTTTAGATAGACCATTTCGATTGCTTGATTGACTATCACATAGCACGAAAATTCTGTTTTTGGTGCATGTTAAGCGACTTGATGGATGACAACTGATACATAGACCGAGATTGCCCAAGAATGATGACTGAGAAGAGTCAAGCAAGTTCATCAGTGTATCTGGTATTGGACCTGTGAAATGATTGTATGAAATATCGACCTGGACCCATGTATGGATTCTACCAAGAACTGCTAGCGTTCCTGTCAGATTATTGTTTGATATATCAAGTTTTTCTAGCCTTTTCAAGCTCCCCAGCTCAAAAGGAAGTTCGCCGACAAATCCATTGCTGCTGAGATTCAATGCATACTGCAGGCTTGGCACCGATCCAATCGAAGAAGGAATCACACCTCCCAGCATATTTCCACCAAGTTGTAGCTCTGTAAGCTTTCCAAGTTCTGACAGGAATGGTGGAATGCCCCCACGAAAATGATTCTCTCTTAAAACCAAAGTGGATAAGCTTGTCCAGTTCCCCAAACTCGACGGAATGATGCCATTGAATGAATTAAACCCCACATCAAACTTGCCCAATTTGTAACACTTTGACAGCTGAGATGGCAAAGAACCTTCCAGTTGGTTGGATGAAAGGTTCACTTCCTCAAGGTTTATAAGATTGCCTAGCTCTGGGGGTATAAACCCTGTAAGCTTATTCATGGAAAGATCAATGAAAGTGAGACCAGTGCAGTTCCCAATGCTGGGTGGAATTGGGCCTGAGATATTATTTTTGCTGATGTCCATGTAATTGAGGATGGAATTTTCTGCAAATTCTGGAAGGACACCTGAGAGGTTGTTCTCTTCAAGTTTCAACCTCCTGAGTGTTGAGCAGCCTGCCACATCAGAAGGAATGCTGCCTTGAAGTTGGTTGCCACCCATATTAAGAACTCTCAATTTCTTTCCATGGCAAAGATTTGGGGGGATTTCACCGGTGAACTTATTAGATGTGAAGTCCAGCCGCAACAAGCTGCTGTTGATTCCCAGACTTTGGGGTATCACACCAAAGAACTGATTGTTGTACAACGACATGTTCTTTAGGTTCTTGAGATGAGTGATCTCAAGAGGCAATTCACCAGAAAGACTGTTGTTGTACACAAGGAGGTACTTAAGCCTCGGAATCTTACAGATGCTAATAGGAATTTCACCGCTCAAATGGTTGTTATACAGCTGGAGGTCCTCTAATTTGTTTAGCCTCCCCAGTTCATTCGGAATCTTTCCCTCAAGTTCATTTGTGTATAGATTTAACATTGTCAAGGACTTGCAATTCCCAAGCTCAGGAGGAATCCTCCCTGATAGTCGATTCCCCGAGAGGTCAAGTTGAGAAAGCCTTTTCATTTGGCCAAAGGAAGATGGGACAGTACCGGTTAAGTTGCCATGAATTATGGCCAAGAATGCTAAGCTACTACAATTTCCCAAATCTGGAGGAACACCCCCACTATAGCTATTGAATGACAAATCTAAGGTTTCCAAATTCTTGCAATTGCTGAAACCTATAGGAATTCTACCCTCAAGACTATTATGATCTAGAAACAATTCAACAAGGTTTTCGAGATTGGTTAGGCTCTCAGGCATTTCACCAGACAGTAGATTAGAGAAAAGACTCAAAGACTCTAAATTTTGCAAGTACTTAAAGCTATCAGGTATTTCGCCAGTAAAGCTATTTTCAGACAAATCCAAGTACTCTAGTAGAGTACAATTACCTAATTGTGAGGGTATATCACCAGAGAAATCATTTGTGCTCAAATCAATGGTCTTCAACTGCTTTAACTGTCCAATTTCTGGTCCTAATTGGCCAGAAATTGCATAAGCAGAGAGGTTCAAAGAAACTACACTATGAGTTCTATTATCACATCCTATACCTAGCCAAGAACATGGAGTTGAAACCATTCCAGTTTCTGATGCATTCCAGCTTGAAACTATGGAAGGAGGCACAGAATTCCATTGCCTCAAGAGTGACAACAGAGTCAACCCATCAGAGTTCAAACCAGACACATTAGTAGCATATACAGACAGAGAGTAACACCAAAACAGCAAGAAATGATTCAAGACAGCATTCATAGTTTAACAAAAACTGGGTTTGCAAGAAATGTCAGAAGAGTCACTTACCTAGCTAGAGTGCAAGAAAACTAAGCATTTGGAAACCTCAGACTGTAGTCAGAGATAGAGAGAGCCAAAAATGCGACATGTGAAAGGAACTTTTGTGGGTTGCTTTAGTGTGTCTTAATTGCCACGTTTTTCAGACAATAATTAAGTTATGGACCTGCTCTGCCCACCTTAACTTCACTTTTGTCGAGGTCTTACAGGGACTAGGCTTTAGCTTTGCAAGATTGTCTCTTTCCTCATCAATGAAGCTTCAAAGATAAACATTGCGTGCGACCTGTAAAAGCACAGAACCCAAATTTGGACTGGCATAGACACAAGTTTTTTTTAGTCTATTGGAAGAAGAAAAATTCTCCGACTTCACAGCAGGGATAGATTATTCTATGCAGAAAACATGGACAGCATATTCTTTTTTTATTAATAGCTTTAAGAATAAAATATTTTGAAATATTTTATTCGTGATCATTATTTTACTAGTACAGTAAATCGCAAACAACAATAGCTGAATTCAATTGTTTTTCAACTACTTCACGATTTACAACTATAAATGAACCTGCTTTGCACTTCTATGGATCTCAAGGCTGATAGGTATTTTTTTTCCCCTCTCAACACCCTTGTATTTTGTTTCTGCAAGCGTCGTAATGTTGACTGGATTTAGCTCCTTTTGAACCGCTCAGCTAGAGACGGAGGGACTGAACTACTTTCACCATTATTCTTGCAACGTTTGTTGGGAACTTCACTTCTGCTCCTACATGGGAGTAGGATATTTCCCAAAAAGAAAAGGGAATCTTGTCAGCCTGGAAAGAACGGAGCTGTTAGACAACCAAATATCAGGTGGATATTATATTCCATCTTCAACAGCTGGATATACTCGAGAAAACATGGGCCTGTTAAAGAATGACACGTGAGGATGCAGGTCCTACTTCATTCATCTTATCCTGTTCTGGATCAGGGGTTCCTTCAACTGTGTTTTGGAGCACCACCATTAATTTATAAAGCATCAGAAAGTATCTTTAGAGGAAACACTCTCAAAACTACATTAATAATCAGCTATTCAGAATCTGAATTAACTTCTCTGTGTTTATGATATAATAATATGTGTTATCCATCTTATTGAAAAAGTCGTGATAAAGTTTTAGATGAATTGAAAGAGAAAAGATTCATGGAAGTTCATATTCCAAACAAATCATAAAGTTTTTCTTTTTTTTTTAAGGTGTCCAGGGATAATGGTTTTCTCGGATTGATTTTCGTAATTCATACACACAAGTTTGATCGCCACTAGGGGCTTAATTGTCACTTCATGCTAAGAACTAGTGCTATTCGATTAAAATTGAAAAATCGGACTAAAGAGAGTTGAATTAGCAATTTTGGTTCAATTTTATATAAAAAGATTTAAAAAAAAATTAAAAAACAAAATTATTTATGTTCGGTTTAGTTTTTTTTTTAAAAAAAAAATTGGTTTCCACCAAAAACCAAATTAATATTTTTTTTAAAAAAAAACACACACTCAAGTTGAGATTTAACATTGTTTTTTTTTTCCACCTAGACTTTGCTCATAGTATTTTTCTATGAAAATAAAAAAATGCAAAAAAGTGATCTTTCATCTTAATCCGAGGAAAAATTTAAAATTCAGAAGAAAAGATGTGAAAAAAAAATCAGTTTGGTTTTGATTTTTTTTTATTCAATTTGATTAACCAAAAATAAAAAAAAATGAAATCGAATAAAAAAAAGCAAATGATGACCTCTATTTCTTGTCCCATTATAGGAGTAAGAATTGAAACTCGGAACAAATAATTAGGTTGGGCCACTAAATAAGCCATCAAAAAATATAAAATAATTCGGTGTTGCAATTTTTTTATTTTTGTGAAAAAAATAAATAAATAAAATTGATTGAACCTAGTACTGTTATAGTTGGTACAAAATAAATAAATAAGTCCAGATTTCAATTTTAATGAAATTACTAGATTATGGCTGTAATTTTTTTAGTTCGTCTTGTATATGAATATTTTTTAAATTTATTTTTTTATTTTAAAAATTAATTTATTGACAGATGTTATTGTTTGAATTAAATAACAGTTATTCAGTTTAACTCGAAGACTTCAACTCTCAGCAAAGTGTTTTTCATGTGTCTAAACCAATAGGTTTTCTGTTTCTTTGCCTCCATCCCAAATTACTCCAACGCCAGCAAATCAACGAGCCCCGATGAATTCTCCGTTAAATCCACATGCTCCAATGTATGTTCCGGCAAATCAACAAGCCCCGGTGTATTTTCCGTTAAATCCAGAAGCCCCGATGTATTTTCCGGTAAATCCACAACCACAAGCCCCAATGTATGGCCTGGTGCCGGTGAATCAACAAATCCCACGGGCGATCACCATCACCGAATTCCAGCTGAAAAACTGTGAAAACCACCGTGAATTCATGGTCAAAAGATGGGATTACCCTTTCATCCATGTGACAGTCACCTCCTCAGCCACAGCGGTAGACCAATGGATCAACCAAACTGTCGATTCTTACATGCACAACCTTCTTAGTCGCCTTCTCGTTGGTCTTGGGGTCTTGTGGTTCACGATCGATGACGCAGTCGAGCCTGCTGATACTCTCCAATTGTGCGTTGGTGACCGCTGCCTAATCTTTCAACTCTCTCAAGCTGACACAGTTCCTAAGAGTCTCCGAGATTTTCTCATGGATCAAAGAATTACTTTTGTTGGGATTTGTAACGGTGAGCATAAGAAGAGTTTGTTGAATTCAAAACATCAGTTGGAGATTAACGACAGAGTCTTTGATCTGAGATTCTCTGCCAAAGATAATGATGGAAACAGTCTCCAGGATGCTTCAGCTAGCAATATTAGGCAACAGTGTCTGGGTCTAGGACAGAAAGTTTTGAGTTTGAAAAGGAAGAATCACTATTGGGGTGTTGTGGATCTCAGCCTGAGGCAGGTCAAGTTCGCTTGTGTTGATGCTTATGCCTCCTATGTGCTTGGAATGCGAGTCCGTGCATTGGAGTTTTGATTGCTAGTACTAAATTTTGGTTCTTGCTAGTTGATTTTCTTTAGGATTTCAGTTCTTGAACTACTTATAATTAGGTTGTTCCTCGCTGTTTCTTAGCTTCGCTAGATTGGTTTGTCCTAAAAGAATTCTAGCCAATTAATACAGAAAAGTGATGGTTAGAGAGTGAATTGATTTGCTTGAGCCCATTAATATTGTGGATGAATGATATATCAGTATATGAAGATTACTACATATCCAAGCAAATTCAAGCTTCCTGTCATCTTATAGCACTGGTGTAGTCATTATTAGCCAGCATTGCTGTGCTTAGCATAGCATGCACATATCTGTTTCCCATCGCCAAAAGAAAATCGGGTTAACTGCTATATCAGCAACTAATGTTCGTGGGATCCGACGACGTATCTCGCTACGTTAGATTTTTTTTTTTTTTTTCCTGGGCAAGCCCAAAAGGCTTTGTTTGTGGGCCAAGACTCAGTTTATGAAATTCTAAAATTTATGGGCTTGACCCTCTAAATATAACGAACATATGTAACTAACTTTCGCCCCAGCTTTCTCAGAAGTTCATTTTTTTTCCCAACATGTAAAAGTTCAATAAAATATAGATAAAATGAGTCAACCAAATTAAAAAATAAATTAGCGATAAATAGATGATAGATAATATAAAAAAATGAGAAATAATAATTTTGCCTATGATATTGGACAATTTTGTTCTACCTTATGGTGGGATAAGAATTTTTTGCAGTTGGAACAACTGTGAACAATTATCTTGTCAATAAAATATAGACTAAATTAAAAATAAACTAAGATAAGTTAGTAAGATAAAATAAAAAAATAAAATCAGTGACTAAAAAACAACACTTAAAACTAAATCATATTTCTTTTAATTTAACCCTTATTATACAAACGTTGGAAGCACAATTGAAAAACTCTTACCTGAAACTACTAAAATAAGAAAATGCAATAAAATTAGGGACTAGACTTAACAAAATATGGCAAACTATAAAAACGGTTTAATAACATTTTTTAACCCTAAACTATTGAGGTATCAATTTGATCAATTTTGACCTTGAACTTCCAATTTGGTCAATTTGGTTTTGTTTTTTTTTTTCTTTTCCCTTTCTTTCATATATATATATATATATATATATATATATATATATATATATATTTATTTATTTATTTATCTGTGTGTGTGTGAATATAAATTAGTCTCTATAGTTTTGAGAAACAAATTAATTAGTCCTCTTTGTTTTAAAAACTAATTATTTAGTCCCTATAAATAAAAATTTTCTATAATTTGATTATTTTCATTATTTTTCAATTTGTTTTAAATTTTTGTTTAAGAAATAGAAAAAGAAAAAATAAGTAAAAGATATGGAAGAACTGATAAGAAAATATGATATTATTGAAATAACATGGTATTAAATTAAGCACCATTAACACTAATCAATAAACTAAATAATTAGTTTTTAAAACAAAACGGACAAATTAATTTTATTTTTTTTGAAAATAGAGAGAGTAATTTATGATTTCTGCATGTATATACGTTAGTTTTCTGAAAAAAAAAATAATTACAGCCATAGTTTTGTTATGTCATTAAAATTGAAATGTGGACCTATTTATTTATTTTTTTACCGACTATAACAGTATAAGGTTCACGTTTTTTTTTTTTTTACAACACTAAAAAATTCAATACCGAATTACTTCATTTTTTTTAATGGTTTATTTAGTGGCCCAATCCAATTTAGTTTTTTTGAGAGCTTCAACTCTTAATTTGGATTTTTTAAATAAATTGAAGGACGTAGTAGACTATTTTGTTCTAAATACAGAGAAGTTACTCAATAAAGAAAGGAATTTTCTCACAATGTAAAATATTTATAGGTGAATTTGAAAAAAAAAAAAAGAAAAAAAAAAGAAGAGAAACCTAAATCTAGTCCACAACCTATATATTAATTCTCAATTAAGTTCCAAATCAATAAAATTTATCCATTTGGTTCCAAACAATTCTCAACCAGGTCCTTTTATATTAATATTCATTAACTTTTTTGGCAATCTTGCTTCATAATTATGTTGTTTTATTGCATAAATAGATGGAAAATATTAATAAAAATCAACAAAAAGCTTAATTGAAAAGAAAATGGATCTGATTGATCAAATTTATAATTTTGAAATCTATTTGAGAATGCATGGATATACAATTTGGGAAATAAACTGAGGTTTCTTCTTCCTTTGTCACTTGCTCCTAATACTATCAAAAAAGCAAAAACACACGCTTGAGGTCATAGCCTAGCAGAACGAGGGATTACCCCTAAGGATCACTCGGGTTCAACTCTCTCTACACATGTCTGTCACCCCTGCAATGCATTACATGCTCTTTGGTTTGCAGGGTGTTCAGTGAGCTGTAGGATTAATCGTGATGCGAGACACCCTGGGTTACCCAAAAAAAAAAAAAAGAAGCAAAAACATCTGTATGTATATATGTATCCCACAACAAAACACTAATAATTGTTTTCAAGAACGCAAAGCCTAAAGAAAATTAACTAACTAGAATCAAAATTTATTGCTTGTAACTACCCCAAAATCAACCATCCACTTCAAACTCCGAAGCAGCCACACACATTCCAAGCCGATAGGGGGCATAAGCATCAATGCAAGCGAACTTAATCTGCTTCAGTGTAAGATTTACCGCACTCCATATCCGATGATGATCCTTCAAACTGACGACATTTGCGCGAAGAGACAAATATTGTTGCTTAATCATACCCGCTGGAGTATATTGGAGACTGTTTCCATTGTTGTCTTTGGCATGGAATCTCAAATCAAAGACTCTATTGCTAATCTCCAACCGGTGCCTTGAATGCAACAACTTCTGTTTATGCTCACTGTTATGAATCCCGACGAAATTTATTCTTTTGTCCATGAGAAAGCTTCGGAAATTTAAAGGAACTGCGTCAGCTCGAGTGAGTTGAAAGATTAGGCAGCGGTCACCAACGCACAATTGCAGGGTATCAGCATTGTGGTTGTTCTCGAACCAGCGGACCCCAAGACCAACTAGAAGGCGACCAACAAGTTTTTGCATGTCATAATTGACAGTTTGGGTGATCCATTGATCTACCACTGTGGCTGAGGGGGTGACTGTCACATGAATGGAAGGGCGATCCCCTATTTTGAGCCTGAATTCACGTTGGTTTTCACCGGTATTCAACTGCATTTCGGTGATGGTGATCTCGTTTCGGGTTTGATTATTTTCTGTGGATTGTGGACTCATGGGAATCGGTGGATCCATTTTCTTGCGGTGGTTTCTTGGTTCTTGAGAGGAAGAAATCAAGAAATGCAGAGGAGGAAAATTTCCTGTTAGAACCGTTATTTGATCTCCCGCTCAAGGAGAGCAAATGATGGTGGTACTCATACTTATAATTGCTTTAATGATATGGGCCGTTGATTTGTGGTATGGCCCACGTGTCGGATTGCAGCCAGCCCACATTGATGCTTTCGCATCTTCTCCATTTGCGGCTTACCAACACATAATATGCTTTCTTTTGTTTTGGGTATTTTTGTATTTCAACAACAATAAAGTCTCAACGACTGTAATTATCATATATATAACCTAAACTTTATTTATCAATTTTTCAAATATCATAGACGTCATAATCTACTTTTTACTCCCAATAAAAAAAAAGTGAATAAAATCCGTTTTCTAAAAAAAAAAAATTCCAAAATTTCTAAAAAATTCACACATATATATATTTTCATAATTTTTAGTGATTTTATAGATTTTTTTTTTTTTTTAATAACATTTAAGATTAGGATAGACATTACAGAAAGCAGAGTAATAACACTCCTTGTTGCATTCTACTTCCAAATCTAGGGACTTACCCTACGTATATATAAGGTAGGTTTTGAGGAAAGAAAAACACCCTAAGCGATATCTTCTGCAAAATCCCTATCGTCTCTACTTTTCTTGTAAAGATGAATCCTTGTTCACTACTTGCCCTACTGTCAAGCCTCCCATTCGAAATTGTCGTCGTCATCTGCTGCCACCTTCCTGTCAAGTCTTTGGCTCGGTTCAGAAGTGTTTCAAAGTCTTGGCATTCCCTTATTGATAGCCCATATTTTATCAACCTCCATCTTACTTGCTCTATCGAAACAAACAATTTCATGCTCTATGTCAACCCAAGATCCAACCCTAAGGAGATGGGCTGCTTAGACTTTGCCTCTCTTCATCATAATGCTGGTGCCCGAGCACGAAAGCTAGATGCTTGGCCTTTGAAACATGCTCACATATGTGGTTCTTGCAATGGTTTGTTTGCCTTGTATAAAACAGACACAAAGAGTTTGGTTTTTTGGAACCCATCAACCCATAAGGTCTACGATGCACCTTTCTCTAGGATAAGACTATATACTAGTGATCTAAGTACATTCCAATTTGATGCTTCTGGCAATGACTACGAGGTTGTGATGATAAGAAGAAACAAGTCTACGGAACGTTTGGATTTTGTTATTTACAGCTTGGAAGCTAAATGTTGGAGGACAATCCATTCTACCATTAATGGTGGAGATATAGATATTAGGAAAACAAGTTGTGTCCTTTTCAATGGTGCTATACATTGGCTAGTATCGAAACAAAACAAGTGCAATCTTCTAGTTTTCGATCTTCGGAGGGAGGAATCTTACAAGCTGCCTCTTCCGAATCCGATTTCGGAACATGGAATGGATAATAAGAAGCTGCTGATATTGGATGGATGTTTATGTGTGGATTCTATTGGCAAGCAAGATGTAGGAGTCTATTATAACGAGTTATGGGTTATGAAAGAATACAAAGTGAATGAATCTTGGATTAAATTATTTTCTGTTTCAAGGAATCATAAGTATCAGTGCGATTTCCACGCTTTATCTTATTTAAAGAATCATGATAAAGTTCTAGTTGAATTTGATTATTTTAACCTACTCTACTGGTATGACTTGAAGAATGAAAGTTTCGAAAGAATCCATATTCCTGGAATCTCATCCCCAGACTACACAATTTGTCCTGCTACCCTTGTTAGCATTGATGCTGATGTAGAGAATAAGGAAAAGAGGAGGTAAGCTACATTAAGGGTTCTTTTCGTTTCATCGAATTAATCTATTCTGATTTATTTAGGGCTAATGTTGAATTGACTGAGCAATTTTTTGACACACAGGTGGAGACTTTTGAAGCACGAAATTGTGCACTTAAGTTTTGATGGGGAGGAATTAGCTCAGCTTCGTTAGCTTTTGTCTTCTGAAGAACAGAATTCCTCATAAAATGTCTTTCTGCTTAATATTTTTCTGCATTTCTAATTTTCGACTTTTTAATTAGAAAAGAGCAAGAGAAACTTTGTAGTTACGAATACGGTGTAGAACCAATGGGCGACACCTGGTTACAATTTCGAATCCGTTGTTATATATTTGATCTAGCTTTTGTTGTTATTGATGTTGAAACGGTTTTTCTTTATCCATGGGCAATGAGTTTCGATGTATTGCTGTTGGATTATTATTTTGGTTTGAGAAATAACAGCTAAGGCTCTTCCTCTTCCCTTTCTTTCTCTATTCATTTCTTTCTTCAATGCACTCCAAACCTTTGATGTTGATTAGTTTTGTAAGGGTTCAAGAAGAGAAGGAGCATTATCTTGCAGTGTCTCCGAACCACAGGGCAGGATGGTTCGGCTTGAGACAACCTCCAGTGTGTTCTTTCTGTTATCATCCGCCTAAAAGTATTGCCTCTTCCTTTCTGTTCTTTCCACCTCTTCCTTTCCAAGAATTTGGCTTCGCCTACAGAAATTTATGAAAGAAAAAAATAAAATATGTTCAGGCAATCAGAATGCAGAGCATAAACAACTAATAATGTATTGCAAAGATTGGGGTTTATTTACAAAATCCCCTGTTTTATAATACTCTGCATCAGGTTACTCTCTAACAATTAGACCTACATTTTATTTCAGAGAGCGTGCACCCTACATTCCACCGAAAAGTATACAAAATGACTAGCTGAAGTTATCCTGCCTTTCACCCAGCTGTAACATCTCAAACGAGAAAATATTTTTGAAATTGATTGGTTGTTAGATCCATGAGACTCCTTACACAACTATTGTACTGCTTTCCTACCTACTAACAGATAAGAGTCTCATTGTTATTTCATTGATGCTGCTGTATGGGAGCCTTTTTTAAAAAAACAAAAAAACAAAATGTGCTCAAGCCTGCTGATGGGGTGAAAGTTTGGTGTGTGATGGGAAGAATGGATTTCAATAAATTTTGTCCAGAACTGGAAACGGAATCTTCTCGTGTTTTCAATAGCTAATGAGTCGCGTGTTTACAGGCTCATTCCGTGTGGATCTAAAAAGAGTTTCTACGGATTTCCAGAGGATATGCACTATTGGGCTATGGTCAGACCCATGCAAGATAGATTTATAGGTGCGAATTCATTTTTGGCTGAGGTTAGTATGTAGGGGTTTTGCGACAACCATGTAGTGAGTGGTGGAGGATTGTAAAAGCAGTTTGACTCTGTTGGTAAACATTATGGATTCAAATTCGGAGAAAAAAGGATGCTTTGTGGAATGCACTAGAAATGGTAGGTCAGACGTGCATCCAATTAGAAAGAGATGGAATTTCCATGAGCGAGAACTGATGGACGGAACCATTGAGCGTTTAGGAAAAGAAAGGAAAAGAAAAAGCTCAATATAGAAGCTAAATTTCCACAGCGGTAACGGGAATTTGGTGCAGACCAGACCTACAAATTTTACAGACCAAGAAAATGACCAAACTGCTTGGATATATTTGACAAAATATGAATTTAAAAGGTTCAGAGTATTTACAGTGACTAACACTTTATCTTGAAACATAAGTACTTGAGACCTTGTACAAGTTGGTGCGCTCGACAAACCAGATCAAGATTGTTAATGTGATTGAACTATGAAACAAAAAAACCTAACTGTCAGATCAATATGACATTTGTTGACAGTGAAGAACATGTTCCTATTAGAGGTCAGGTTCATTACCTCAGAAGTGACCCTGGACCCAAAAAGCAAACCTGCTCCTCGGGGACTAACTGCCCATGTCTCAATATCTTCAGGATCACTCCGAATGAGATCGCAGAATGGCCCTTCATGAGGAATTTCACAATTTCGTTCAATTACTCTTATCAGCCATGTAATAGGAAAAGTACAAGACTTTGTATCAGTACTACCCATGAGAAAGAGCAGCAGGAACCTTTATAGTCCAACATACTGCACCCCAGTGGAGACACTCTCTACATTGTGTGTATTGCTGAAATGCAGAATTCTTCAGCTAAACAACTACATAGAAAAGAAAAGCACCTGATCGCTGGTTTGGATGTCAGGCGAAAGACCACCGTGGATGCAAAGCACCTAGAGGAAAAAAAAAGACATCAAGTTTAACAGGTATTGAAGCAGATGCAAATAGAGAGCCATCTACATAAATAAACAGAGATTTTGAGAGGAAAAGGATTGCTGTATTCAGAGAGAGAGAAATTGGCTGCAGCAGGGGGGTTGCACTTACAGTGCCATCTATACTCGCTGAGAGTGTCAGATAATCGAAAACATCAGTACAAAACCGCCATGCATTGGCATTTCCTTACTTCCTCTGGCACTCATCATAGAAACCGTATACCTGGCAGAAAAGAAAGCTATACCTTACAACAGTTGTAAAACTTAAGATTGTGGCTGGATTTCATAAGAAGCCTCCACATCAGCAAACTATCAAACAGATCAGGGGAGATCTAATTTATAAATATTTCTTTTATGATTTTATTATTTTAATGATGACATCCAGAACTAGCAGAACTGGAGTTTTCCCAAACTTGATATCACATTTAACCATACTTGAGAATGTGCCTTTAAAACCAAACAAATTTGGCACCAGAACTGGGGAAATAACCTACAACATTTCAGACTCGTGTTCTCAAAATTCCTGTATCTATTAACTGTTAAAAACCTCACCAAGAAATGATCCGGCTATTAGACCGCACATGAGAATGAATATATACATGAGAACCTCAAACCTAAGTTTGGATGATTTAGTTTGATTAAAAAAAAATTAGCACCTACACGCAAAATGTGAGCAACCAAATTATGCATGAATTACAGCCTTCTTCATAACTTAACCAAATAAGTCAACCTAAGTGGATTGCCTTGAAACCAAATTCATCTTGGCAGCCTGACAAATATATTTGGTATATGAGGAACATTCCAATTTTCCAGATTAGCCCTTGCTTGAGATAAGTATTATCTAATTGCTTCAATGTATCAACAACTCAAGAACCATCATATCACATTTCCGCACCTGATAAGTTTTAAATGCTTCCATTAACTAAAAGGAATTCCAAAGCATTCATGCTCTACAATGTCCAAGCAGAGTGGCAATCCCTCTATCCCAATCGACAGTGCACTTTCCCTTCTTGGGCATCCCATTATAATACTTGACTCGTTTAAAGAGTGCACTGACAGAGCCCCAAATTAACATTGTATTGTTACCATAGACTGGTTTGAATGAAAGTGTAATTCTGGAAGATTGTATTAAAATTATACTTATATGGACAACTCTTAGCCACTGAGCATCCATCAAGCCAAAAGAACACAGCCATTTGAAACTTAACTCTATCGTGGAAACCAACAGCTTTGTCATGTTTCTTATGAATAATGACAGCTACTAAAACAATTCACATATTATTCTTTGACAAAATAAATAGTGTAGGGAGCATATCAACGTCTTGCACATATTAAAAATTCATCATGGTGATTAGGTGTCAAGTTACACAATCAATAATGATTATGGTCCAACCTAAATCATACCTGAGTTAGTTGCCTGCTTTCATGATTTCCACGCAAAAGTGTAATATCAGCTGGGTATCTACAAACACAACCAAAAGATATAGAAAACATCAAAATTAACTAGGCTCATCAAAAGCATAAGCAAGAAAATCTAAGATCCATTCATTATAAAACTTAGTATGCAAATGTTATAGCAGCTGAAGATAGCCTGACCAGCTGCTGATCTTCAGAAATTGAGCCGTTAAAGTGACCAGGTGACAACTTATACAAAGACCAAACTAACGAATTCCCATATGGCCTTTGGAGGCCTTGTAAGCGAATTTGGTCTAATCTAATGGAACCATTTTTTGTTCCTGGCAAAGCTAGGTAGTTATTTTAGCAGGAAAAAGCATATGCATAGAATCACATAATGGTATATCAACATAGCAAGAGCACTGACTGCAGGCATGACAACCGCAGAAACAAGAATGTACCTTGCTTTGAGAAGCAAAAGAATAGAGAACACTTCAAGACTATTATAACCCGGTCAACAAAATTGCCCTGCCAAAAGCATTAGGAATATTTAACACAAAAAAAACAACAGTAAAAAGAAGCAATAATTTGGGGCGAGAACTGTGAAAAAAAATATAAAAAGGATAAGATTTATGATATAGTAAGTATACAAGTTATTTACCATAAAAATGTAATTAGTCTCAGGTACATGACCCCACTCTGGAAAACTTTCATAAGATCATGAAACTGACCATGAATATCACCGCGGACAGTGACAGGGCTGTTAACAGGCTGCACATTGGACTCCTCGATGAAGATCTCTTTTACCTGCGTATAAAAAAAATAGTAATATTAAATTTCAAATCATTGTTATATCCAGTAAAAGGAAAATGATCAAATTTAATACATTCTGAATTCAACTGAATAACCCTAAAGAAAGAATAAAACTCTAAGTGGGCGCCTCGATATGAAATTATTGAAACTTTTCTCCGAAAGTAAAATTGATAAATTGCTTAGTTAGACTAAATAATGAGTTCCAATCCTCCCATAGCGAAAGAAGTGCGGTTAATAACGTGAGTGATACAAGTAAATTTAATCTAATTAACATGTTTCTTTGATAAAACAAGGTTTGAAGTTTAATGATTATAGTTTTTTTAGTTATATTAATGTAATATAGATTGCTATTTTTATTGTTATAATCTAAAATCTATTGGACATTCCAATAAAAAGAAATGAAAATTAGATTAAAATATATGTTTTTTTTTTTTCAAAAGGAATAATGAGAACAGCGGGCGCAACTTTAATTGTCTGTCGCGTCCAAGATGTAAAGATCCATTTACTTCATACCAGCTACGCACACTTAGTTTTTAGTTTTCAAAGAATATATCCAATGTTCGGGGAGTATTTACATGAAAGCATTGGCTTCATGCGTTATCTAGTTTTTGAACAACACGCTTTAATGAATAAATTTGGACATTAGTTACGTTTCGCCTTCAATTTTGTAGATTCTTGAAGGATATAAAAGGCGTCGCATCACCCGCAGCATATCCCCTCACAACCACCAACGTCCACTACTTTTATTGAATCTTTTTGAGGTCGCACTTTTGAGTTTTTTAGATCTTTATTTTTTAACTAAAGTAATTTCAAACTTAATTTTTAAAAATATATTTTTTTGTCGTATGAGATTTTTTTTTCATTCATATTATTTTTTTTAATTATTAAAAAATAATTTCATTACATTAAATAGCTTTATTTTTATTTTAGATGTTTCATTAATTAAAAAACATAAAAATATTAAGATCTCTGTTCTTAAAAAAATAAAAAAATAAAAAAAATTCCATCTTTTTGCCAAATTGTGGCTGGTGGCTAGCTTCAAACCTTTTTTTTTTTTTTTTCATCTTCTTTATTCCTTTAAATTTCTTTTTAGATCTATTTTCTTTTATCATTTTTTTTCGTCTAGTGTTCCTTATTTTTCCCTTCTCTTTGTATTCTCTTTAAAAAAGCTTAAACTGGTTGGTGAAATCTCATAACAATTTTATATTAAATCTCTAACACACTCGTTCAAGAGAAGAGTTTTTGGATTTAAAACTTGCACAAGCCTACCGTAATCTTATTGAGTGAGATTTGAACTCGTGACTATATATTAAGAAATGAATCAAACAAGAAAACAGAATAGAAAGACAAGAACAATTGTATAACACAAAAATTTATTAGATTTGACATTTGTGTTTATACCATGACTCGCATTAGGATTTTATCGAGTGATCTTGTCTCTATTTTTGGTGCAAACAATTAGAATTATAATAAAAAATACATTACGGGCTTATACATCTAACTCAATATTTTGTAGATTTTTCAAGGACTCGCTTCTAAGCCACTCGCAAGAGACGCTACCCTTTTGACCCCTGCTTGCTAATCGCCTAGCGAGACCGTTGTCGTGTGTATAGCATCCTAAACTACAAAGCGCATCCTCATCGATCTCCATAGCTTAACACTATTTGGTTATCAAGATTTTAATAACATGACAAAGAATAATCTCTATCCAAAAGTTTAATGCGTTAAGTGATATTTTAAAATAATTTTATATTAACTCTCTAATGGTAAATTCACTTAAATTATTGGACAAATCAGTATATAAGATGATTTAAATAAAAATAATCAATTTGTACATAGAATATTATATCTATGAATAATACGATAAACAATACCAAATTATTGTTCTTGCGTTCCTAAAAATTTTGGTTACGATCCACCATTGCCCATCAGTAAGTTCATTATTTTGTTTGTATAGGCTTTCAAAGGGCTTTTATTTTAGGGTTTCAAAGTTGGGTTCACCCCATATCCAATGAATTTTTTTTCTTGATTGGAAAAAAAAAAAACAAAAACAAAAGAAAAATAAAAGGAATAAAGTTATACAAGAATATTACTTATCCCCGGTCACTCTTTTGGTTACCTTCTTACCTTAGCTAGCTATACATGATTTCACGTGTCGTAGTCGCTTGGGAGGACAGGAAGTAATCTGTGCTCATGAGAATCGTAAACTAAAGATAAAGTTTAAGCTTGTGCAAGCGAAAGTAATATATTCCATTTGTCTTTTTTATCTTGAAGCAATGAACATTCTCATATGCATACAAGTTCATTATATTTTAAATGTTACGTTTACGTAGCTTGTACTAAGAGCAAGTGTTTTATTGTTTCGCAAGAATAACCTTTGTTTCCATGATAAGAAGTAAAGTTGCATGAAGCTCCACTGGGCACCAGGACTACATACTCAAAATTCAAATTGGTTACAAAATTTGTCCGCCTAAACTGCTCTCGGCACAATCTTCGTCAGGTATGTTTTAGCTGTGAAGGTTTCAGCTGAAATTTTACACTACACGAGTAATAACTACTGATATATAAATAGTTATTTCATGGATCACTTGAAAGAGAGAGATAAACGTATAAAAAGGAGAGAGAAACAAAAAAGAGAAACTTAAAAAAAATTGAGCGAACGTGAAAATTTTCTTATCACTTTTAATGGATCCGAGATATAATTCAATGTGTCTATCTGTCTCTTTAAAGTGGATCCATGAAGTAACTACCGTACATGCCACTAGTTACTCCTTAAATTTTATAATACACAAGTAATAACTAGTGATATGTACAATAGTTATTCCATGGACCCACTTTGAGGAAAGAGATAGACACATTGAATTACATTCACATTCATAAAAGTGATAAGAAAATTTTCATATTTTACTCATTTTTTTTAATTTTCTCTCTCCTATTTCTCTCTCTCTTTTTTTTTTTTTTTTGTCTGTCTCTCTTATCAAAATAGATTTATGAAGTAATTATTATATATGTTATTAATTACTTTTTGTACATTATAAAATTTCTCTAAAATTCCTCATCTTGTTAGAAATTCCAAGATTAACGAGGGATTAAAAAATTAAAAAAAATAATTTATATCTTGTTTTTGTGTTGATATTTTAGGAAATATAGATTCAGAAGAGTTTTTTTTAGCTATATTTATTTGAAAATTATTCTAAAAAATAAATATATTATTCGTGTCTAATGTAACAAAATGAAAGATGTGATGAAAATTCAAAGACTTGTTTTTTTATGGTCAAAATATTTTTACACTAGCATACAAGTTTATCCAAAAATATTTATTATTATTGAATAATCCAATAAATTCATACAGATCCTTTATAACAAGCACTAGGACTCCATTAATATTAATGATTACTCGATTAATCATTAATTAACAAAAATAAATAGAAACGTGAGAATATCATAAACCACAACCCAATTTATTCTTTTGCACATATATATATATATATATATATATATATATATATATATATAGTTTTGATTTTTAATGTAAGAAAAGTAAGTTAGATCAGCGAATAAGATTTGACAATTTCAAGATAGAAAAAACATTGACAAGTCCTTCTCAAAAAATAACAAATCACCATAAAAACAAACAATCAAGAGATTAAATTATAAATTAATCTTTTTAGTTTTGCAAAATGGATTAATTAATTATTTTTATTTAAAAACTAATTATTTAGTTCTATTATTTTTAAAATTTTGAACTAAATCTTTTTTTTTCAATTTATTTTATTTTTGTTTTAAGAAATTAAAATGCCAAAAAGTAAAAATATGTAAGTATTGATGAATTTTGTTTTTAAATAAAATAATATTAATTTAAAAGTGGTGTCTGTCGGTTAAAAAATTAAAAAATTAATTTTCAAAACAAAAAGGAAAAAAAGAAAGAAAAGAAATATGGTAATAACCAATCTCGAAACGTTTAAAATCCACAATTTCTTCTCAGATTAGTCAACAATTTCAGGAGATCTGTGTTTTTGATTGAGATCTAAGAAATGCCGAGGGGTAGATCCTCATCGTCATCAAGCAAATGGAGGTATTGTAATCCGTCGTATTATCTCAAAAGACCCAAACGTTTAGCTTCACTTTTCATTGTTTTTGTTTGCGCCTCTTTCTTCGTTTGGGATCGTCAGACTCTCGTTAGAGAACACGAGGTAAACAAAAAAGAAAAAAAGATATTAATTTCTCTCTTAATTGTGTGTTTTCTTACTTTGTTTGGTTGCTGAGAAAAACGTGATGGAAACAGAAGGAAAATTATGAGCTTTACTGATTTTTGCAGGTGGAAATTTCGAGATTAAGCGAGGAAGTGAATCAGTTAAAAAATATGGTAAAAACCCGGAAAGGATTTGTGATTGTATGTTGTTTTTTTTTTTTTTTTATTAAAAAGTCTTGATTTTTTTTTTTAATCTTTTGATATGGAATTTGTTGCTTCTTCTTCTTCTTCTTCTTCTTTGTCTGGGTGAAGTTGGAAGAGTTAAAGAGTGGTGATGGAGATGCTGTTAAGTTGATTAGTGGCAAGAAGGATTTACCTGACGAACCTATTGATGTTGAGAGAAGGCAGAAAGTGAAAGAAGCTATGATCCATGCTTGGAGTTCTTATGAGAAGTATGCGTGGGGCCATGATGAACTTCAAGTGAGGATAAACTCTGAATCTTTTTTTAGCAATGTCGTGTTTTTCTTGTTGTGTTGATTTTATGTTTTGTATGGTAGGGTATGATTTGGATCAAGGCTGGCGCATTTAGCTTTGAAAAATTTATTTGGGTTTTGTTGCCCATTTGCAGATTATGCATAATTTGTTTGGTCGTGTAGTAGCTCTTATGGAGAATTCCCTTAAAAAGGGTGAATTGGAATGTATTTCTTTAAAATTATAGGTACTCGCCATGTTAATTTTGTTTTTCTTTCTTTCCCCAACAGCCGCAATCAAAGAAAGGTATTGACAGCTTTGGTGGTCTTGGAGCAACTCTAATAGATGCTCTTGACACATTATTTATTATGGGTTTAGATGAGCAGTTCCAAAGAGCCAGAGAGTGAGTTTTATTTGCATGTCTATACTTCCTCTTACACATATATTACAGTATGTTTTTGTTTTTCTCATTGTCAGCAATAATAGTTCGGTATCTTACCATTTTTAGTGAAAAAAGTTTCATTGTTTGTAGGTTGGTTGCAAACTCATTGAATTTTAACACTACCATGTTTAATATAATTGTTCCATTGTTTGTAGTTGGGTTGCGAAATCATTGGATTTTAACAAGGATTACGATGCGAGCGTGTTTGAGACAACAATAAGGTTACATTATCAGGTTTAATATGTAGTTAGTTTTATTTTAGTAAATCACTATGGTAGCAATGACATATTTCAAATGTTCTGTTAGATTAGTTACATACCAGAGATTGATTTTCTTGCTGATATATCCTCTTATTTTAAATTGAATCTAGAGTTGTAGGTGGACTTCTTAGTGCGTATGATCTTTCAGGGGATAAAGTGTTTCTTGAAAAGGCCAGGGAAATTGCTGATAGATTGCTACCTGCATGGGATACGCCTACTGGAATTCCTTACAACACCATTAACTTGGCACATGGAAATGCGCATAACCCAGGATGGACTGGTGTAAGTTTTGATACTTACTATATATATTCAATCACTGTCTCCTTATCTAGACATTATTGTCTCATGGGTGTAAAAGCTGTGTTGCAGAGCTTTAACTCGTTCAGATGCTTATTATACGTTGCTTGCAAATAATGGAATTATTTAATAAATTCTTTTTTCTCTTATCATAGGGTGACAGTATTCTTGCTGATTCTGGCACAGAGCAGCTTGAATTCATTGCTCTTTCTCAAAGGACAGGAGACCTGAAGTATCAGCTGAAGGTATTTTCTCCCATGTGTTTCCATGCATATGTATTTGCAAATGTTTTTCGTATTACTGTCAGAGTTGCTGAGATGATGTATGGCATCTTGCATTTTGCAAAATGATGCCTATCATTAACTATCTTTGTCCTCAAAGTTAAAACCAGACTTGATTTGTTTACTGAGAAAAGCATAAATAAGTGGGTTTAGTTTTAAACTAAAGAAGCATTTGAGCTGTTTAATTTCTGTGTAATTTATTGGTTTAAATTAACATTTCTGAAGGTAAATTTGTTGGCGAGTAACTGATTTGCTTGAAAATTAATTTTTCAGGCAGAGAATGTTATATCAGAGCTTAATAAAACTTTCCCTGATGATGGTTTGCTTCCAATCTATATTAGTCCTGAGAGAGGGACTGGATCATACTCGACCATAACTTTCGGGGCAATGGGTGACAGGTATTGACCATTTGAAGACTGAGATATGAATTATATATGTTGTTGATTGGGCTTCAGATTATGCCATCCTAGTGACAATGCTAAAATAATCGATTGCTCAACTGTTAACTGATAATTTGTCTACAGCTTTTATGAATATTTGCTCAAAGTTTGGATTCAAGGGAACAAAACTTCAGCTGTGAGAAAATATAGGTGAGATTTTCTTGTCATATGTTTTTCTTCTTCTTCTTTTCATATATATCTATATATATAATGTCTAGTTTTACTGGTTTGAAAATGAAGAAACAGTATTCTTACTGAATTTAGATACCTGAGGAAGCTGAACTCCTGAATAATTGTAGAAAAAGAAATGTTGCGTTGCACCTTTCAGGAAAAGGGAAAAGTTCCACTTCTTCTTTCACATCCAATTCAGTTAGACTTGTTGATTCTTTGGGTTTGATATTTCCATCGCTTATGCCTCTGTAAAATGGGATAAATGTTTTTGAAAGTACGGTGAAGTCCAAAACAAACCCTTCAAAGGGAACAAATAGTACGTGTCAAGTACAGAAAAGGGTGACGTTAAGTTCACAATTCCATTTTTAATGTGCTTGGACTCTCTCTCTCTCCCTCTCCCCCTATACTTTAATTGAAATGTATTATGTATTTAGCGTTGTTTATTGAATTTCTTCCTGATGGAAAAATTCCATGTGGAATGTTGGAAGCAGAGAAATGTGGGAGAAATCAATGAAAGGTCTCTTAAGCTTGGTTCGGAAGACAACACCATCATCTTTCACATACATTTGTGAGAAGAATGGAGACTCACTGTCAGACAAGGTAAGATTTGGTTTTCATAGCTGTAGATGATAATAAGTCACACCACCTAATCTTCATTTACTCATGAAAAGAATTAATAGTTTGAATTTGGTTGCCTATTCTTTCTCTTTAAATATGCAGATGGATGAATTAGCATGCTTTGCTCCAGGAATGCTGGCTTTAGGATCATCTGGTTATGGTCCTGCTGACGCTCAGAAAATCTTTTCACTCGCTGAAGAGGTATTTGTAGCATCTTTGAAATCAAGATTTTAAAATATTGCATGTTTGGTTTTGGTAGGTGGTGATCTTTATCCAAGTTATATTCACAAGACATGGCTTCCAACTTAATTTTCAACGCGTTTTTTTCAATTTTATTAGATTAGCAAGTTCTGTTGCAATTACAGATCATCTTCCTATTTTCTTTCTGACTAAAGTTGAATGTCTTCATATGTGCTGTTTATAAATGATATGAGCTTACTGTCTGAAGTTGGTAACAGTGATGACCTAAAATATGTGAAATACTATGTAGCAGTGTTACATGTGTGCGAGACTTTGCAGTTCAGATCATGCATGTATGTGCATTATTTCCCTCTTGCTCACATGCACAAGACTCCCGTTCCATATTTCTTTTCTATAAGCTATGTTTTGCATCATGGTGATCATGGTGCATCTTGGCCATTGGAACTTCAACTTGCTCGAAGTATAGGTACTTGTGCAAACTTCCCAAGGGTTATATTTTGATTTTGTCCGTTAATGTCATCATAGCATGCCCCTGATAAGGTTGCACTTTGTTGATCTAATTCGGCACTTAGATTATGCTTTGGTCATTCATTAGTATTCCACAATCTAATTCAGTATTCTTTAGGTCACCCTGTTGTCAGCTACTAATATTGAGCTATCGATGCATTCCTTTTGCCTTATGCAGCTTGCTTGGACTTGTTACAACTTCTACCAATCAACACCTACAAAATTGGCTGGGGAGAATTATTTTTTTCGTCCTGGGGAGGTTAGTCATCCTTCCTGTTGTCCTGTATGCAACCCAATTATTTCATCTGATTTTTTTTCCACACATGACATTTTCAGGACATGAGTGTGGGTACATCTTGGAACATATTGAGACCAGAAACAGTTGAATCACTCTTTTACCTGTGGCGTTTAACGGGCAACAGGACTTATCGAGAATGGGGTTGGAATATATTCCAAGCATTTGAAAAGAACTCACGCATCGAAACAGGCTATGTTGGACTAAAGGATGTAAGCATTCTCACCCACAAAACCAAATTGTATCTTTTGTTCGCATTTTATGTGTACTCTTGCTCAGGGATAGTCTTAAAAAAAAAAAAAAAACAAATTTTCTGTCAGAAACTGAAACCTTCTCAAATATTTATCCTTAAGAAGTCATATAGGACTTGCTGTTAACTGAGTTGATTTAATTTCTTTTAGTTGAAGACAATTGTTTTGCTAGTTATTGGGAGGCTTTTTTAATTTCAAATGTGTCAATATGAAGAGTCCATGCTGCTTTTAAGTACCCAAGTATCCTTGTGGCCCTTTTGTCTGAAACAACTGTTCTCGAGTTTTAAACTTGGATTCTTGATGTTGTAGCCTAAAAGTTTTCACCAATGTACCTATAATGGCCCCTATATGATTACAGTTTGTCTTGTCAGTATATTATTTGTTTATTCTTGTGTTTTGGAGAAAAAATTTCACCACATAAAAAGTGAGATATTCTGTGTTTTTCCCCAAATGGCTACTGACCGTGTGCTTACTGCTGATATTCTCAGGTAAATACTGGTGTCAAAGACGATATGATGCAAAGCTTCTTTTTGGCCGAGACTCTAAAGTATTTGTATCTTCTTTTCTCTCCGTCTTCAGAAATCTCATTAGATGAGTGGGTTTTCAACACAGAAGCCCACCCTCTAAGAATCGTGACACGACATGATGGAGAACATATTGAAAAATCAAAGAATAGACAAACAGGTAGGGCACGAGGCAGGAAAGTAGGGCATTTCGGTGATCAATAAGATTCCATTGCTGTCTATGTTCTTCGATGAATCCACACAATGATTTGAGGCTTACATCAGATGACAAGCCAGAGAGTTCATAGTTATCAAATTAGATTGCAGTGCCCATGGAGTGCTGTTCACATTAGGAGAATAACATGGTTCCACTGCTTTTCTCCATTCCAGGCTGGTAGAAATTGTTGTATTTTATGGCAAGGATGAACACAATGATGGATGTTTAACATAGAAAAATAGTTTATTGCCTACATTTATTATTATATTCTAGGAAAAGGTTTTTTTTTTTTTTTTTTTGTCACCGTAATTAACTTACCATCCTCTTGAGTGTATGATAATTTTTGTTTAATACAATGCTGGACCGAAATTACAATTTTCTTAAGTTTTCTGTGGTGCTGGTGGAGACAGCTGATTCAAGCTCATAATTCTGCTTATGGAAAAACAATTTGTCTTAGGCCGCTTAAAGTAACCTGATGTCAAGGAAGGTCTAATTGTCTGCATTTTACCTTCTCTGTGAAAGAATTCGAGAACTCAGTTGTCGAGTAAAAGATTCAGAAATTTGTTGCATGGTTGTCTATGCAGAGAGCCTTGCCCGAAGAAAAGCCTTTTTGCTTAGCCCTAAAATGGTTCCTACTTCTCAGGGTTCATCTGGTTGTCAAAATTTGGGATCTCTAATCTGAGATTGAAACTTTTGAAGGACTGGGCAAATGTTATCATATCTAGACGCAGGAATCGTTTAAGAAAGAGAGGTTTGAAAGATACTAATTTGTTTCAATAGAGTGAGCAAGATGGATGAAGATAAAATGTGGAAGGGAATGGCAGGACTTTGATCACCCTTGAAGCGAACCAAAGTCCTGGCAGGGAGGAAGGAGAGAATGTTGATGACGATATCTTTGGAAGGTTTGACATTCTTCTTGGTAGAGAAAGGCAGCTGTAAAAGTAGGGTTTTGATGCCTCTATTATATCTCTGCATATATTGACTCTGTTTTAAGGCACAGTATTATAAAATTGAGGATTTTGTAAATAAACCCCAATCTTTGCAATATATTATTATTTGTTTATGCTATGCATATAAGAAATTTTATAATACATAAGGAATAATTAGTGACGTATACGATAGTTATTTCACGGATCCGACCCACTTAGAGAAGAGAGATAGACACATAACAAAAAGAGAAAAACATGAGAGAAAATTAAAAAAAATTGAATAAACGTACAAATCTTTTTATCACTTTTGATAGGTTCGGATATAATTTTATGGATCTATCTCTCTTCTTCAAATAAATTTATAAAGTAATTACTGTATATATTACTAATACAATTTATGTATCGTACATGTCACTAGTATAATTTGTGTATTATAAAATTTTTCTAACAAGATATATATCATATATGCAAGCACTCTTCGTCTCCGGTCCAACAAGCCTCTAAACGGGACCAAATGTGGGCTTTTATCAGTGCCCAAAGCCTGGCTTTGCAATTTCCGGTCCAGAACATATGGCCGCCTCCGCGCTCTGGCTCACAAACTGGATCCGAATGCTCTTAAATGCAAACCAAACAAAACCTGTGAAACCCTAACCCTAAGAGCCGAAAGCGCTTGCTATAAAATCGAGCTCATTTAGCAACGGCTGCTCTTTTTTGTGAGGGTTTGTTTGGAACGGTAGCAGCTGCAGGCTAAACAGAGAGCTCTCTAACTCTGCCGTCAACAATGGTAACATCTCTCTTTCTCTCTGGTCTTCAATAGTTTGTTTTCTTTCCTTGTTTTTTCTAGCAAGAGCTGTTTGGTCACTGAGAAAGAATGGGAAATGGAAGTAGTATTTTGAATCTCTATTTCTAAATGGTAACTGTAACCAAGAGCAACGTGGGGTCTATTGGTTTTAGATCTTTCGTGATCAGCTTGGTTGTCTTGAAATGGTTAGTATTCAAAGTTATTAGTGCTGACTATGGGGTTAAGTTTAGCTCATCTTGTCTTTGAGTTTGGTCTGAGGGCTGGTGGGATTGATGGTATATTGGAACAAGAATAGGTGATGATAGATGGGGTTTTGATGTAATTGGCAGTACAGTGAGTATGAGTTGAACGGGATGTTTATCTTGATTTTTAGAAGCCAAAGATGGCTCTGAAAGATGTATATACTAAGAGCTCCAAATAAGAGATACGGTACAAAAGGGCTGCTAGTTCGGTTTTCGGTGGTCTAACTTACCATATTGTACATGAATTGTGTTTTTAATAAGAGGTGATAATTCTTGTTTTGTTTACTTGTGTATTGCTTTCATTTCTTCAAGATTTTGTATGAAATACTAATTGAAAATTGCCATCCAACACAATTGGTTGAAGGTATTGATTTGCATCACTTGGTCTGAGCCACACAGTCCATACTGTAGTTATTTGATTGAATTGTAAGGTTAAAACTATGAACTTGAGATTTTGCGATTTTATCTGCTTGTTTAAAGTAACGTTAAGTGTCAAGGATGGCAGTGTTGATTATGAGCTTAAGCTTAGTTCAAGAGCGTCTTAGATAAACCACATATGATCTTAGCTAGATGGGTTGCTGCAACATGGATTGTTGAAAAGGATTTCAAATGAAAACATGAGATTGTATAGGGGTTTGATTTAATTGATTAGATTGTTAATTGATCTGTAGGCTTGAGATATTCGAAAGATATATTTTCTTAAAGAGCTCTAAATAAGTTATAGGGTACAACTATAGCTGTGATACAGAAATTCAGTTGTTTTAAGCGTCCATTACCCCAAATGCAGTGCTTTACTTTTCCAAACTGAGGTTGCAATCCAAAGGAAGTTCTTTGTCTCAATTTGTTTGGCTGCATGATACTTTTCCAAACTTGGAGATCATGAGCATAACAATTGAATTAGGTGGGGAATTGTTACAGACATTGGTTTCTTGTCTGCTTGGTCCAGAGTCACATACTATAGCCATGGGGAAGTTGTGGACCTGTTTTGCTGCTTTATAATTTCAGTTGTGTTTCTAATCTGAAAGAAGTGATTATTGTTATTTTTCAGTCTTTAATGTATTTATGCTTTTGAGAATTGTATGGTGTTGTGCTAAATGAGAACAGTAGGATTGTTTCCTTCTCCTGGGGGACCGATGAGAAATAGAATGCAATTTTAGTTTGTTGATTGTGTAGCTTTTCTACTGTAGGTGAACGTTCCCAAGACAAAGAAGACTTACTGCAAGAACAAGGAGTGCAAAAAGCACACTCTGCACAAGGTCACCCAATACAAGAAGGGGAAGGACAGCCTTGCTGCTCAAGGAAAGCGCCGTTATGATCGCAAACAGTCAGGTTATGGAGGTCAGACCAAGCCTGTTTTCCACAAGAAGGTAATTCACGATTCCGTATTCTCACTTCTATTACATAAGTAGGACTCTCTTTACAAAAACTGAATTTACACTTTGACTGTTATCCATATGGTTGTCATTAAGCTATTATAAGTGAGATCTCATGTCTTGCCTGTTTTTAATATTGGTGGTTGTTCTGTTAATAGGCTAAAACTACCAAGAAGATTGTCTTGAGGTTGCAATGCCAGAGCTGCAAGCACGTATCTCAGCACCCCATCAAGGTTGGTTGGTTTTCTAGTATTTCATTTGTTTAAGAGACTTAGCACCCCTCTTTACAAGGCTAACATTATTTTGATTGTTATTGTTTTCTGCAGAGGTGCAAGCACTTTGAGATTGGTGGAGATAAGAAGGGCAAGGGGACATCACTGTTTTAAATGCAGCAGCCTTCATTTTTGTGTTCATGTTTCTTTACATTACCTTGCATGTTATAACTCGAAACAGTGGATGAATGATTTGCTTAGCTTGGTTTTTTCAAGTTTTTGTGACTTTATGCTATCAGTTATTTTCAGCGTATTATTCCAATTTTAGTGGCATTCTTAAACCTCAGCTTCGTGTTTGGATGATCTAGTTTCAGAAATCATAATTAATATAGCCAATAATTATCAATTAGACTCTATTTCTAAAACTAATTATTATTATTTTTATGTTTTTTTTTTTCAATTTGTTTTGTTTTGTTTAATAAATAATGGGGAAAAAATAGTTTTATGTAAAAGTTTATAAGAAAAGAAAACATTTTTTTATGAACGATGAATCCTAAAAAGGAAATGCTTAATCAGTAAACACAAAAGTCGTCTAATAATCAGTAGCTAAATAGAAGACAATGACTTATTTTGCAGAATTAGATTAAAAAAAAAAATTAAGGTTTAGCAATCTAGTATGAAAGGCACGGTGGCTGATAGAAAGAAGAAAGAACAAAATTATTTTGCAATTTCTTAGTTCTGGCTTGAACTAAAGTTATTTTTAAGTAAATCAACATTTTGCTTTACTCAAAATTAAGATTTTTATTTTTTTAATTTATTTATTGTAACTTATGGTGTTACCAATTTTTAAAATTCTACTTTAAATATTTTTTCTTATTTAACAGTCTTATGATATAAATTATCTTATAAAAAATAATTATTGAATTACATAACTCTCATTAAGAGTGAATTATAAATTAATCTCTTTATTTTGAGAAACCAATTAATTAGTCTCATTTGTTTGAAAAATTAATTATTTAAGTTTTTAACGAGTGTTAACTATGTTTAATTTAGTATTATTTATTCAATAAAATGTCATTTTTTCTCATTGATTTTTAATATTTTTTTATTTGCTAAAAACAAAAAATTTTAAAAAATAAATGGATTAAGTTATAAGAAAATTTAAAAATTAAATAATTAATTTTCGAAAAAAAATTAATTTAGTTCTCCAAACTGAAGGACTAGTTTATAATTTACTCCATAATTCTCAAAAAAAAAAAAAAAACAAATATCGATAAATCATTGTTATATAATAATAATAATAATAAAACGGCAACGCTTTTCCTTCCAGAAGCTTCTTCTTATGGTCTCTCCCTCTCTCTGTTAATTTTAAAAAATCCCGATCCTGATCTCCTATCAAAATCCATTCAAAACCTCGAAACTCTGGATTAGAATTGAAATCCGATTAGAGCCCATTATTTTTATGATCATATACGAATAATTCAGTAAAAAAAGATTAGATTTTTATGTACACAATTATTGAGTGTGGAGAATTATCATGGATGGCATCAACGGAAGTAACAATTCTGCAAGAATGCAAATGAGCACCGAAGCTCAAAACCCATCAATGCATTTGCATTATGGTCATCATCAAAGCCATCACAATGGAATGCAAATGATAAGTAATGGTAACGGGATGATCATGAATAATGGAGATAATGATCATAATGGCATGGCGGTCGGTGGTGATGAGGATGATGGTGGTGGGACCATGATGGTAGTGGCTGATGATCATGGAAATGAAAATGGGGATCAACTTACTCTTTCATTTCAAGGTCAAGTTTATGTCTTTGACTGTGTTTCACCTGAAAAGGTTCGTTTTTCATTCTGTGTTAATTTTGAGACTAATTTGATGGGTTCATCGGTGTTCCATTTGTTTGTTTCAAATGAAGTAAAGTTCGAATCTTTTTTGCTTATTTTTAGTCCTTTTTGTGTTAATTTTGCTTCCCTGCATTTTTAAAGCATTAATGGTTGTGCCTAGTTGAAAAATGAACTAAAGTTGAAGCTTGGAAACAATAAGATTACCTTGTCTATTAGTTCTGTATTATTCTTGTGATTAAGAAAATGTTTGTGGTCTTTTTTTTTTTTTTTTGCCTCCTTTGATAAAATTGTGCAGGTTCAAGCTGTGCTTTTGTTGTTGGGAGGCCGGGAAGTGCCTGCTGCTAGTACACGTGCTGTTCCAATTACAGCACATCATAATAATAATAGTAGTAGGGTATGGTGCTTGATTTTAGTTATCTAGTAGGTTAATTATGTGTTTACCATCTTCTGATGTTTCGTTAATGAATTACACATTAGGGGCTATCTGGTACTCCACAAAGGTTTAGTGTTCCTCAAAGATTAGCTTCTCTGATTAGATTTCGAGAAAAGCGAAAAGAACGGAACTTTGACAAGAAAATTCGATATACCGTCCGTAAAGAGGTAGCACTTAGGTATGGAATTTGCTTCTTTAATACTATTGTTCCTTATCCTTGTAGTTTTATTCTGTCTGATTGTTTCTCATTTATAAGATATTTGCCTGAGCAATGGGATTCTGATGCTTTATTAGAAACGTCAGTATCTTGTTTATTTCACAAGCTCGCTTATGCTGTTGCCTCTGGGTATTGTAGAATGCAACGGAATAAAGGCCAGTTCACCTCTTCAAAGTCCAATCATGATGACTCTGCATCAGCAGCAACTAGCTGGGGTTCAAATGAGAGTGGGGCCTCCGATAGCAATGGATCCCAACATCAAGAGGCTGTGTGAGTGTTTTATCCATTATTTTGTTACTTATAATTTTGATGGAAAAAATATCAAGAATTTGATATCTAACTAAGCTTGCTGCAAATTAGTGTTCTGTGGACCCGGTAGCTGAGGGTTAACTTAGATATTAATAGCTATGAGAATTGATCTCGAGTTCTGAGAGATGGAATGGCAGCTTTCTGCAGATAAAGAGTGAGGGTCCATAAATAGAACTCCAGACACGAGACACATGAAACCGAAGACTAATAAGAGAAAAGAATAAACGAATAGATGATAATAGCTCTAGAGAGAATTCTTAACAAATAAATCTGGAAGCGGAAACACTGGGTTAACCTCCTGCATTTTACTTGCTGCAATAATGTTGTTCTCTCATAGCAATGCTATCTGTCTGTATGTACCTGATAATTTTATTCCATTCAATAAACTGATCTATTGTTTTCAATGTTTCCCTGAATTTGTTAGTTGTCGGCACTGTGGGACCAGTGAGAAGTCTACACCGATGATGCGGCGTGGACCTGAAGGGCCAAGGACACTTTGTAACGCATGTGGACTTATGTGGGCAAATAAGGTGAATATGAGGGCTTTCTTTATACATTGTTTATGTGGAAAGAATATTGATAAAAAATCTTTACTTACGAAATATAAGTTTCTTGGTATAAAAAAGAAAATATATTTTTCATGTTTTCTATGGGAATTTATTCCTTAGGCCAGTTCCATAAGTTTGAGCTTGATCCTTTTGTTTTCTTTTTTGTTTCCCCAAATGATGAAAGGCCATGTAATTTTAAGTAAACCAGGGTCATTGAATGCAGAATGAGAACAAAATACACAAACTTAAACTTTATTTGGATCACTAGACAAATAAATAATCTATAAAAGATCAAGAGCATCCTCCGTTTAACACGACATGTATAATATGAATAAGAATGACTAAGAATGACAACTCTTACTACTTTTGGTATAACATCCACTATTATGTTTTGGTTAGATCCAAAAGCATATAATTCAGTTGAAATTAGGGAAGGATATAATTTTAGTTGATATTAAGGATGCAATAGACACACATTAGCATCGATTGATTTCTCATCATTCTCACGCTGCCATCGTTCTGGTTTTCTTCCACGAGTTTGTCTCTCTCTCTTACACATGCCCACACAGTTTTTAAAAAATACAAGGGAATATGATTTCTGATTAAATTTGAAATGGTTCTTTTAATTTGTATATTACATGGATTTGTCCATGAAGTACCATCTTTTCTAAACCTCTAAACCACAGGGAACTTTGAGGGACCTCTCCAAGGCAGCTCCCCAGACTGGACACAGCTCTTCTTTATTAAACAGGAATGCCATGGTAAGCATTCTGTATAAGGATCTAGAAAATTTAGATCTTTTATCTTAGCTTAACTCCTCCTTTTCTTTTTTCTGTTATTTGTTTGCATATTTTGCAGAATGTAAATACCGATGCCAACCAAAGAGATCCTAGAGTCGAATGGAATGGAAATGACTCCTCATGATAACCTATTTTAGCTAGGGCTGCTGTTTGAAGCAGCTCAAGGGAATGGAAGGTGTGTTGAATGCTCATCTAGATTTTTCATTAGACGAGTTTCCAAGAGCCAGCACACTTGCTTGTTGAGTTGCATGCCTCCTTGCTCTTCATCTGAAAAGCCGATTCGCTTAACACAAGTTTAGCATAACGACTCGTTTTGAACATATTCCTCCTGTCTGTATAATCCATATAGTCCTCCTTGTCTTACAAGTTCAAACAGAACAATTTAATTGATAAGGACTAGTAGATTTGTACAAGACTCCAAGGTATCAATCTTGTGTAGTCTCTGCGAGGTATTACAAGGTATAAATAAAAACAATGTTTCCAATATTAATAGTTCTGCATGTTTCCACCATTTCTCCTGATCAAAGAATCTACACCGATGAAGAGCTCTTCCTCTCTGCGATTCTTTATAACAGAAGCACGCTCACTCGAAACTGCCGAAAAAGCCATTCGCTGGCCCTGTTCATTCTCTTGTGCTAATGAACTTCACTGAATCATGAATTCTGGGTTGCTTTTTTTAACCAAGTTAGCCAAGTAGAAGCTGTACAGATTTTTACAATCAAGAATTCTGGGTTGTTTTTTTTAACCAAGTTAGCTAAGCAGGAGCTGTACAGATTTTTACAGTCATGACAGGAAAGCTGCTGTTGCTTCTTGTGTCAGATTCTTGTATTATTTATTCGTTGTTCAAATAACTGCTGCAAGGACATCAAAGCGGGGATAGCTCAGTTGGGAGAGCGTCAGACTGAAGATCTGAAGGTCACGTGTTCGATCCACGTTCACCGCATTTTTTTTGACTTTTTTATTCGCATGTTTCTTTGGGATAAATTTGGACTTTCTCCTTTTATCATATGCTGGGCTTTCAGAGCAGAAGAAATCATCTTTTTCCAGGAAGAAAGGCCATAAAACGATAAACCTTAAGACATTCCCGCTGCTTCCGATGACACATCTCGTGAAAAAATACAAAGATGAATCTTGCGACTTATACATACCAGTAGTTATAGAAATCAATATTTGAATATATCAATAACTATTAATAAATTTATTTTAATTTATATCTTTTATTAATTAAACATAATAATAGTAATTTGTAATAGTTTAATGCATCTAAATGTTGAAAAAATAGTGACATTTTACGTGGTTCGGTGGTGTTTTTTCAAAGAATAGAAAGTAATTTTTCTTAGAATAACATAACGATCGATATTCATCAAATAACGAATGTTATTTGCTGCCATATTTGAATGAAACACCGTTGGACTTTCTGTAACAACATAATACAAAAACGAACATACTCAAATTCGTTAAATAATCGTCATTTGGAACTATGGAGTGAATCCAGTTCAACATATAATATAGTTGTAATTAGTTCCTAATGTTATTTGATCACCTATACATCATTTCCATTAGATGATTATTCCCATCAAGGGAAAAAGGATTCAGAAACTTACAATTCGATTTGTTCTATGTTAAGACAGATTTGATTATTCTGTAATTGTACGGATCTCCTCATCAGTTCTGTACATATTTTTCTTGCCTGTACGAGTAATGTGTTCCTTAGGGTCTTGTAATAATCTCCAGCAGAATAATTTATGTCTTTGCAAAATTCTTGCTTGTTAGGTCTAGAATTAGGGAGATGTTCTGCGAGACAGCAAATGCAAATCATCTTTGTTTTGTGTCAGTACAGTGCCTGTCAGGGTAAGAACTAGTTAGGTGAATGCTAACCAGTTTTTATGATCAAATAATCTGATACTGATGCAAAGCTTTTCTTCTCCGAGAAGCCTTTTGCTGAGGAGAATCATGCATGCTCACTCCAAAGACTAGGTAGGGAAATGAAAGACAGAATTAAGAATTCTGGATTGTTTTTGTGTTATAATGTCAGCCAAGCACAGAAGCCATGAGGATTTTGACTCTGGATATATCTATATATATATATACACATATACAATGGAAACTGTTTTCAAACAACTGAAAATTCATCCTTTTGTTAAAACTGAGTCAATATCAATAAGGGGAAAAGGATTACAACATTAGAATGTTTTCGGGTAGCATTCATGAAGGACAAAAGAAATAGTTTTTCTTTCAGAGACAGTATTTGCTGCTGTTCCAACAGCAATAGTAGGCAAAGCTACAGCCTAAACATCCAAAAGATAAGTTAGTAATTGACGCCTCCTCGAACGGGAACCAGTTTCAATGTAGCAACTGAGCAAGTCCCTTTCCACGTGGCATTTTCTTTGACTCTAGATCTTCAACATCCTTTGGCTGGTAATAATGAGGAGCTATTTCGAGCAGCCACTGAGGCTTTATTTCTGTCACTTGCCTCATGTACGCCTTGGTGGAAAGAACCAACTCATGGTAAACAACACATTTCGGAGGTGACTGTGCATATGCTGAGCTGGGGTGTATATAAACAGCCAGTGGATGCTTCAACCTTCTGTATGATCCATCCAAATGCAGCCTAGCGAAACGATGGAAAAACCCAGATGCTATGGACTTCTTCATGGCATCGAAGTCATTAGAATTGGATGACAGCTCAATTTCCACCCTTCTCAAAAGTCCTTCCAACTGATCTCGTATATCTCTGGCTCGTTTCATGCTCCTGAATTGGATATAATTTTCGTGGCACCATTGCCTTGAGTAATTACTTTCCTTCCAAGTATTATACACACTGAGTAAAGCTACATGGTCCCCCACATTTCCTTGGAAGAAACTCATCTTGGCATTGTCAACATGAGTTTGTTTGCCCTTTTCCTTTGGACGATAGAAGATTGAATTTCCAACAGAAAGCATAGCAGTAATGGTTATTATCTCATCTGAACACTTGTACTTGTCAGAAGCGACTATCATTTTAGATAGCATGGGATCGAGTGGGAACTCAGCCATCTTTTTAGCAACTTTGGTCAACTCACCATTCTTATCTAGAGCACTCAGGGCATAAAGCAGTTCTAGGGCTTTCAACAATGCCTCCGAAGATGGTGGGTCCATAAAATCAAAATTTTCTACTTCTTCAATTCCAAGATTTTTCAAAGCAAGCACAACATATGCAAGATTAGTCCTTTGTATCTCAGGTACAGTATTATCATCCATATCATACTTATAATCGTTGACAGTGTAGAGCTGAAAACACTTTCCTGCACCTGTTCTTCCAGACCGGCCAGCACGTTGCAAAGCTGAAGCTTTTGAAATAGGAACAACCAACAAAGACTCCATCTCAGTCCTTGGTTCGTATGATTTCATCTTGCAAAAACCTGGATCAATGACGTACTTTATCCCATCTATTGTTAAAGATGTTTCTGCAATATTTGTTGCAAGAACAACCTTCCGTGCCCCTTCTGGAGTGGGTTCAAATATTTTGGATTGAAGATCTGTAGGCAAGTTTGCATATATAGGACAGATAATAAGTTCAGACATTTTTATCCCCATCTTTCTGGTTTTATGCATCAAAGTTTCTGCAGCTGTCTCAATTTCCTCCTGACCAGGGAGGAAAACTAAAATATCCCCAGATGGTTCTGCCTTGTGGATTTGAAGCACTGTTTCAATTGCTGTATCCAAGTAATTAGTTGCAGGTTCTTTCACGTGGTATATCTCTACAGGAAACCTCTTACCAGGAAATTTGAAAATTGGAGCAGAGTTGAAGAAGACACTAAATTTCTCAGCTTGCAGAGTTGCACTTGATATAAGCAACTTTAAATCCGTTCTATACAAGGCGATATCCTTCAATAATCCAAATAGTATATCAGTTGACAAAGTTCTTTCATGTGCCTCATCCACCATCACAACACTGTAGCTTTCCAGCTTGACATCATGAAGGAATTCGCGCAAGAGCGTTCCATCAGTCATGTATTGCAAAACAGTCTTCTCTGATGTGCAGTCTTCAAAACGAATGGAATAGCCAACCTCATGACCAAGTTTGACACCCATTTCTTGAGCAACCCTAGCAGCAACACTCATAGCAGCAACTCGCCTTGGTTGTGTACAAGCGATCTTCCCATGCCTGGTGTAACCAGCTTCATGGAGATACTGGGGCACCTGTGTGGTCTTCCCTGAACCAGTCTCTCCTACAATAATAATAACTTGATGGTTGTTGACTGCTTGGAGTAATTCATCCCAATATGGATAGATAGGTAAAGATTTTCTCTCCTCCTGGAGCTTCTTGACTGATCTTTTCCTAGAGCAGGTATGCAGGGACTTGCTCTGCAGCTTATCATCAAAATTGTCACTAATACTGTCCATCTTGATAAGCTCAACCTGGTCTTCAAACACAAACTGGTAGTCATCAGATGTTTTCTTTTGGTTTCTTGAATGGAAATTCAACGTTGCTTTTTGAATTTGACAATCTTCCCAAGCCTCTTGTTCTGCAAATGGCTTCACTTGATCACCAGCAATAGGGTCCCTGCCACGCTGCAAAGCTACAGAAAATCTCTTCTCCTGATCAACACACCCTTCCTGATCATATGCTTCTGGCATCCTGTACTCAGTGTCATCAGCCCCTTCTGACCTCTTCTTCTTCACAAGCTCATACATTTCCTTCTTGTATCTGAACTTACTATATTCAGCTTCAGTAAACTTCACATCATCAAACAGATACTGTTCATCCTCTCTATCTTCTCTGATTTCTTCCAATTTCTTTTGTTCCCTTTTCTTTACATACTTCTGTCGAGAAAATGCCCTCAAAGCGTCTACATCATTTCCCCCCAAAGCATCAGATCTCAGGTTTACTGTTTCTTCCACCTTTGTGTTCAACTTCGGCTCCTTTGACTTCTGTTTGCATGGAGCATCATGCTTTCTTACATTTTGCTGTAGAGGCTCCTTCTCACTTCTATTACACATTTTTTTCCATTTCTGCAAATCCAAAGCCACAAACATGTTTAGCAAAATAAAGGGAGGCAACAAAGGAATTACTAACATAAATAAGCCACAACACCAAACAGGACAACCCAACTTCTTTCAGTTTCTTTTGTTTTTTCATCCATTCTTAAAATTTCATTCGACAATCAAATGATGGATTTAAGTGTTGCTTATAGGCCACAGATACTAAGAAGTAAAATCAATAACAAAGCAGTGCATTTGGGCATTGATAAAACTAAGACTCCGTTAAGAATGTTTGTTTCAGAACCTTCAACACTTTCTTTGATCAGAAATTTCCAACCTTAAAAACCCACAAACCTTTATCATTCTATAAAACCAAGACACGCCCTTTACACTGATTATCACTACAAATACATAACAAACCAAAAATTCAAAAAAATAAAAAAATAAAAAAAATTCCACGAATTTCTACGTACCTTAAACTTAATAGCATCATGATCACAATCATGATCATCTGGAAAAACCCGCCTCTTAACTGGTCTCTCTTCAACTTCCTCTTGATCATGATCATCATCCAAAATCAAGGAATAAGTCCTCTGCTTCCTGGCAATCAAAGCAGCTTGCTTTTCTTGGTCTTGATAAACACTCGATCCTCCACCACCACCACCAAGACCACAATCTTTATCTTTCCGCAAAACTCTAACAAACAATTCTTCAGCAAAAGAAATTGCTTGAGTTGAACAAGAAACCCCAAAATCCTGTAACTTAGTAAGCAAGTCAGCAGGTGAATTTACTTGTTTAGACAGCCCAATTACATAGGAAACATCATTGGCATGCGAATATCCTAATAAAGACATGAGTTTATCAGAAACCCATCTTTTCAAATCATGATTACTTTCAAAACCCATTATGGTTTTTGGATTATTGGAAAGAAATTACGAAAACAATCACCAGTTCAATCAATCACAGAATTATTATTAAGACAAAGGAGGAAAAAAAGGACAAGTCTGTTTACCTTAATTGAAGAAGCAAAAAACACAAGGGATCATCGCTCGGTTTTTCCCTCTCCTTTCTCCTTCTAAAACAAATAAAATAAAAAGGAGGATTTTGTGTCATTGGTCTTTTTAAGGAAAGATAGATTTGCTGCGTTTAAGTTACGTCGGTCTGTAGGTCTGTCGGTCTGTTGGGTTTGGGTTTCTGTGGCGGCTTAATTTTAATAGCGAGGCTGTGAGGTAAATTATAAATTAGTCCCTCTCGTTTAGAGAAACGAATTAATTAGTCATTCTTGTTTTAAAAATTAATTATTTAGTTTTCAATTTTTGAAATCTATTTGTAATTTAATCTTATTTTCTCTTTTTTAATTTATTTTGATTTTTTTAAGAATTAAAAAAGAATAAAAATATGAAAAGATTATGAAAAAATAAAAGATTTTATAAAATAAAAATAATATTTAATTAAGTATAATCAACACCGATTAAATAACTAAATAATAGTTTTTTTAACTCAAGAAGGCTTATTCAATTTATTTCTTAAAACTAGAGGGACTAATTTGTAATTTACTTGGTATTTTTGGGTTGCTATTATTACTATTTTTTATATATCATAGCAAAACATTCGCAGCAAATTATAAACTAGTCACTCTCATTTCAATAAATGAACTAATTAATCGTTTTTATTTTAAAAATTAATTATTTAATCTTTCATATTTTAATTTCGTCAATAACTTAATTTTTTCATTAATTTTTCTATTAAAATAGTGATGATATGTCCTTATTGTAGTATTTCTTTTAGTCCAAATTACTTTCTTTTATTTATTATTTTTTTACTTCACACATATCTCCTTTTTTTGTCTCTCACGTCAAGCACCCAAACAAATTCCATTTCTTTTTCTCAAATTTTTACTTCTTGTTTTATTAATCTTTACTTTCTTTTCCTCTTCTCAAACACCAAAACATATTTTTATCCATAAAAATATATGTTAAAATATGTTTTAGGTTTGTTTCTCTTATTTTGTCATTTTTTTTTTATTCTTGGTCGCATCTCTTTTGTACAAGCTCAATAAGTCAAGATGTACGAAGAATCATCTACTCGTATCTTTGATGCATAAGTATTATAAAGAAGAGACAGTTGTCATCACTCTATTTCTACACTCATAAAAGTACAAAAAAAATTAAAAAAAAAAAGAGAAAAGAGAAACAAAATCAAAAAAAAAAAAAAAAAAGAAGAAGAAGAAGAAAAAAGAATTGGGCCTAAATTAGAATAGACATTGGGCTAGTCACTAGGCTAGATTGTTTAGGCCTCGGTAATGATAAGAGAGGAAAAATAAAAAATAAGAAAATTCTAGGTCAACTCTAAATGCATCCTTATAAATATACACACACAAAAAGAGGGATGAAAAAAGTAAAAACCAAGCAACAAAAAAAAAAAAAAGAAAAAGAAAAATGGACAGATACAAAGAAGAAAAAGGAGAAATAGAGATCGAATTCTCAACCCTATTGCTCCTGCTCTGATCGTCAGATCATTACATGTGCCAAACCTTTAGAATCGTTCGGCCAAGACAATTCCAATGCTAGAAGAATCGTTCAATTCCGATCACCTACGAGACCACACCAGCCATTTAAAGTTCCCTTTTATCCATTTTGGTCCCTAAACTTCTGATTTAGGTAAGTACACCCACACGTCTTCAATTTTTTATTCAAGCTAAGAAAACAAATCTAGAGCTATCGAAGCAACAAGACAGCATAACTTATGGTTCCACGATGTGAGTGTAAATATATCAAATTGTTAAGCAAATAACAAGAAATATAATCAAACAGTAGCAAGTAAATAGGATTTAATCTTTTTAACTAATATTGACTATATTTAATTTAATATTATTTAATTTCAAAAATTGTCATTTTTTTAAATCAATCTTTTAGCATTATTTATTTATTTATTTCTATTCCTCGAAGCAAAAAATCAACATAAATTGAAAAAGAACAAAAAGGATTAAGTTACTACAAAATTTAAAAAGTAGTGACTGGATAATTATTGTTTCAAACACATAGGACTAATTAATTTATTTCTCAAAACTAGAGGGACTATTTTATAATTTACTCTCGTTTTCATTCCATAACTTACAAATACCCAGCCCAGAGCACATGATTTTCACTTGATTGATAATGGGAAAAAATGTTGAAGCTCTTCCCGGCGACAAAAAACGCTGTGTTTAAGATTAGAAGCAGACCTCATGATGGTGTCTTCTTAGCATCCTTAATCTTGTCATCACCTTCTCCCCAATACTCTTCTTCTTCTTCCTATTATGATTATCAGAATGATGTGGTGAGTAGAGACGCATGTCAGAATGATCTGGTGAGTAGAGACGCAGCAACCATTCTCAACTCCAACAATCCTAACCAAGCCCTTCAATTTTTCAATTATGCTTTAAAACACTACCCAAGAGCTTCTCCAACCAACAATCTTCCTTTCCTGTATTCAGCCATCGTTCATGTATTAACATGTGGCAGAATGTACAAACCTGCCAGGTGCTTGATCAAAGACCTCATCCAAACCCTCCTCCTCCATCCATCCTGCAAATTCGAAAACCATGTTGTTTCTTTAGTCTTCGATGCTCTTAATGATTTACAAAGCTCTGAAAAATTCAGTCCTGAGGTGTTTGGGGGGCTCATTATTGCATTTTGTGAGATAGGACTCGTCGATGAAGCCTTGTGGGTGTATCAAAAGATTGTTAAAGTAACGCCCCCTTCAGTGCAAGCTTGTACTGCGCTATTAAATGGGTTGGTTAAGAAGGGTAGGTTTGTTTCCATGTGGGAGTTATACAAAGGCATGGTTTCGGGCAAGGTATTGGTTCCTAGTGTTGTCACTTATGCTGTATTGGTTGGCGCTTGTTGTCGCCAAGGTGATTTTTCAAAAGCTAGGAGTTTGATTTTTGATGAGATGGTGAAGGAGAAGGGGATTAGACCAAACGTTGTTATCTACACTACTCTTATCCGTGGTTTTTGCAGTGAGAGTAAATTGTCAGATGCAGAAGCTCTGTTTCAACAGATGCGGGAATCTGAGGTTTTGCCAGATTTGTATACTTATAATATTCTGATAGATGGTTACTGCAAAATGGAAAACGTCAAGCAAGCACTTCACTTGTATCAGGGCATGCTTGGTGGTGGTCTGTACCCAAATGTTGTTACTTTTGGTATCTTAATAGATGCACTTTGCAAAGCAAGAGAATTATTAGCAGCAAGGAGTTTGTTCGTACACATGGCTAAGTATGGTGTTTGTCCTGATTTAATTGCGTATAATTCTCTCATTGATGGCCACTCTAATTCAGGGAATCTATCTGAAGCCATGCATTTGTTTTTGGAGATGGAAAAGTTCAAAATTTCACCTAATGTTGTTACATACAGTATACTTATGAAGGGTTTTTGTGGCGTGGGTAGAACAGAAGAAGCAGATGTGTTACTGAAAAGAATGAATAGTGAAGGGGTTATTGCAAACGATGTAACATACAATTCCCTAATCAAAGGATACTGTAAGGAAGGAAATATGGAAAAGGCTCTGGAAGTGTGTTCTCGAATGACTGAAAAGGGTGTAGAGCCAGATGTTCTCACCTTTTCAACTTTGATTGATGGTTATTGCAAAGAAGGGAAAATGCAATCTGCTACAAGTTTATACTGCAAAATGCTGATCAAAAGTATTGTGCCTAATGAGGTGTTATTCACAGCTTTGATTGATGGGCACTGTAAGAATGGTAACGTGAAAGAGGCCCTTCGGCTGCATAAGGAGATGCTGGAGGCCGGGTTCAACCCCAACGTTTTCACAGTCACTTGTTTGATTGATGGCTTTTGCAAAGATGGGAGGACTTCCGATGCTACCAAATTTTTTTTGGAGAACACTAGAAGTGGGCTCAACGAAAAGCAAATTAATAAAATGAATGGCAGTTTTTGTACTCCCAACTGTGTGATGTACACATGTTTAATTCAAGGCTTGTGCAGGGTTGGGCAAATTTTTGAAGCTACCAAGTTTTTTCTGGATATGAGATGTGGTGGTATACAACCAGATGCTTGGACTTACACTGTCATATTAGAGGGGCATCTGACAGTGAAGCATCTGATCGGTGTGATGATGTTGCATGCTGATGTGATAAAGATGGGTATCATGCCAAATGAGAAGATATGCCTTCTCATAACAAGGTGTTATCAAGAAATGGATACCTGAAGTCGGCCCTCAAATTTTTGAATCAGCAGCATTTTAACAGGACCATGTAATGGTGAGAACAAGAAGAAGCTGAGTATACCATGAATGAAGACTTTGATTTCCTGAAAAGGAAGATTGGATCTTTTCAGGGTGATGGTCCATCCTGTATTAAATCACCTGCATCTCCACTGTGCCAAACTGGATATGGCTGACCCAGAACTTGACCTATTACTGGTATCTTCATCCACAACCTCTCTATAATCTTGGTTGCAATCTAGAATAACCCCTCCAGCCAACCTCTTATCGTAATTTGGCTTTCTTTTGTTCTTCTTTTATAGATATACTCTTCAAAAAGATTATCCCCTTTTGACTTCTTAATTGTCATGGGACACTAACTCAATTGTTATTCTCATCATTTTTTTCCAGAAAATTATCAATACATCATTTTTTCTAATATTTATGATATAATAGTTATTGATAATGGGCGAAGTGTAAATTGGTAAGTATCTAGAAAAAATGATGACAGTAAAAATTTGATTGGTGAGTTTAGCAATACTCGTTGTTACAATATATCAATACCTTTTATTCATTTTTTTTATAAAATATTATTTTTGTTAAAATTATTAGTTATTAAGTTTAATCTTGTATTACATGCAACCAATATTAATTTAAAAAATTTATACAAAATTAATGTGATAAATCAAAAGAAAAACCATTAAGTTAATTAACGATCAAATTTAAAATAATTATAAAATATAAAATATGAATGAAAATATTTTATTTTTCACAAGTTTGGCATTAAGTAAAGTTCCTACAAGAATTAATATTTTTCATATACAAAAAAATTTCCTATGAAATTTTTATAATAAAAGTGTTTGTATGTATAAGGAGAAAGTATAAACAATATTGATTTTGTGTTAGTGAAGAAGAAAGAATTGATTTTTTATTATTTATTTAATAGGTGTTTTAAAAATAATATATATTTTAAAAGTTTTGATCAGATAAGTATTTAGAAAAATAAATAAAAAGAAAATGAGACAATTTAGGGACAGAGAGAGTAACAATTATATTCTACCAAAATTCTTAAAAAAAGAAGAAGAAGAAGAAGAAACTTGGCATTAAGTTTCACTCAACTCCTTCATCTTGTAATTTTTTTTTCATATTTATTGAATTCTTGCGATTATTTGTGAGGAAATTTTGGATGGGAATTAAAATGTGAAAAAAATTCAATTTTTTTCAAAATTGTTAATTAATAAATAAGTGGGCCTGAATCAGTTCAGCTATTGGGCCGCACTCCTTGCCAAGATGGGCTAAAAATTAAGCTTTATTGTCCAAACCCGTTCTTTTTGTCCTTTTTTTTAAAGGAAAAAAAAAAAAAAGGGGAAAACCAAAATCTCACCAAGCGAATATATAAAATGGAAAGTAATTTTATAATACTTAAATATTAATTACTGTATATTAGTATTATAAAATTTTTCAAATAATAATTATTTGTACATCATAAAAGAAAAAAGCTGACTCAAGGATTGCTGGTTGGGTCCACTAAGATGACTTGCATACGTAGTTCTTAGGTAACCAAAAAGAGTATAATAGGCCAGGACAAAAGCTTGAAGCAAACCCATACTATTGATTTTTTTTTTTTAGTAAATTATAAATCAGTTCTTTTATTTTTAGAAGAAAATTATTTAGCGTTTTTATTTTAAAAAAAGAAAAATAATTTAGTTTTTTTAATTAGTATTAGTTATACTTGATTTAATACTATTTTATTTAAAAAACTATCATCTTTTTTCATCAATTCTTTCTTATTTTTTACTTATTTTTTAAAATAAAAAATCAGCATAAGTTGAAAAGGAACAAAGAGGATCAAGTTACTACAAAATTAATAAAATATAAAGATTGAATAATTATATTTTTAAAAAAATGACTAATTAATTTATTTTAAAATTAATAAAATATAAAGATTGAATAATTATATTTTTTAAAAAATGAGTAATTAATTTATTTCTTAAAACCAGGGGGACTAATTTATAATTTACTCTCGTTTTCTTTTCATAGCTTACAAATACGCAAAGCACTGGATTTTCGCTTGATTGATAATGCAAAAAATAAATGTTGAAGCTCTTCCCGCTGACGAAACACGCTCGATTCAAGATTAGAAGAAGGCCCCATGGTCGTGTCTTCTTCCCATCCTTAATCATGTCCTCACCTTCTTCCCCATACTCTTCTTCTTCCTCTTATGAATATCAGAATGATCTGGTGAGAAGAGACGCAGCAACCATTCTCAACTCCAACCATCCTAACCAAGCCCTTCAACTTTTCAATTATGCTCTAAAACACTACCCAACGACTTCTACAACCAACAATCTTCCTTACCTTTATTCAGCCGTCACGCATGTGTTAACATGTGCCAGAATGTACAAGACTGCCAGGTACTTGATCAAAGACCTCATCCAAACCTTCCTCCTCCATCCATCCTGCAAATTCGAAAACCATGTTGCTTCTTTAGTTTTCGATGCTCTTAATGATTTACAAAGCTCTGAAAAATTCAATCCTGAGGTGTTTGGAGGGCTCATTCTTGCATTTTGTGAGATGGGTCTTGTTGATGAAGCCTTGTGGGTGTATCAAAAGATTGTTAAAGTAATGCCCCCTTCAGGGCAACCTTGTAATGCATTATTAAACGGGTTGGTTAAAAAGGGTAGGTTTGGCTCCATGTGGGAGTTATACAAGGACATGGTTTCGAGCAAGGTATTGGATCCTTGTATTGTCACTTATGGTATATTGGTTGATGCTTGTTGTAGCCAAGGTGATGTTTCAAAAGCTAGGAGTTTGTTTTTTGATGAGATGGTGAAGGACAAGGGGATTGGACCAAACGTTGTTATCTACAATACTCTTATCCGTGGTTTTTGCAGTGAGAGTAAATTGTCAGAAGCAGAAGCTCTGTTTCAACAGATGCGGGAATCGGGGGTTTTGCCAGATTTGTATACTTATAATATTCTGATAGATGGTTACTGCAAAATGGAAAACGTCAAGCAAGCATTTCACTTTTATCAGGGCATCCTTGGTGGTGGTCTGCACCCAAATATTGTTACTTTTGGTATCTTAATAGTTGCACTTTGCAAAGTGGGAGAATTATTAGCAGCAAGGAGTTTGTTCGTACACATGGCTAAGTGTGGTGTTTGTCCTGATTTAATTGCGTATAATTCTCTCATTGATGGCCACTCTAATTCAGGGAATCTATCTGAAGCCATGCATTTGTTTTTGGAGATGGAAAAGCTGAAAATTTCACCTGATGTTGTTACATACAGTGTACTCATAAAGAGTTTTTGTGGCGTGGGCAGATCAGAAGAAGCATATGAGTTGCTGAAAAGAATGAATAGTGAAGGGGTTTCTGCAAACACTGTAACATACAGTTCCTTAATCAATGGATACTGTAAGGAAGGAAAAATGGAAAAGGCTCTGGAGGTGTATTCTCAAATGACTAAAAAGGGTTTAAAGCCAAATGTTATCACCTTTTCTACGTTGATTGATGGTTATTGCAAAGCAGGGAAAATGCAATCTGCTACAAGTTTATACTCGGAAATGCTAATCAAAAGTATTGTGCCTAATGTGGTTGTATTAACAGCTTTGATCGATGGGCACTGTAAAACCGGTAACGTGGAAGAGGCTCTTCGGCTGCATAAGGAGATGATGGAGGCGGGGCTCAACGCCAACGTTTTCACGGTCACTTGTTTAATTGATGGCTTTTGCAAAGATGGGAGGACTTCGGATGCTATCAATTTTTTTTTGGAGAACACTAGAGGTGGGCGCTCTGGAAAGCAAATCAAGAAAATGAATGGCAGTTTTTGTACTCCCAATTGTGTAATGTACACATGTTTAATTCAAGGCTTGTGCAGGGTTGGGCAAATTTTTGAAGCTTCCAAGTTTTTTTCGGATATGAGATTTTGTGGTATTCAACCAAATGCTTGGACTTATACTGTCATGTTAGAGGCGCATATGACAGTGAAGCATATGATTGATGTGATGATGTTGCATGCTGACGTGATAAAGATGGGTATCATGCCAAATGAGAAGATGTGCCTGCTCTTAACAAGGTGCTATCAAGAAAATGGATACCTGAAGTCAGCTCTCAACTGTTCCAAGGACTGATCATGTAATGATGAGAACAAGAAGAAGCCGAATATAGCATGAATGAAGACTAATGATTTCGTTAAAAGGAAGATTGGTTCTTTTCACGGGGATGATCCATCCTGTGTTAAATCACCTGCATGTGCACTGTGCCAAAGTGGATATGGCTGACCCAGAACTTGACCTATTAACACAGATTTGATTATTTTGTAATTGTACGGACTCATCAGTTTTGTTCATATTTTTCATGGCTGTATGAGCAATGTGTTCCTTAGTGTCTTGTAATAATCTCAATCAGAATATTTTATGTCTTTGCAAAGTTCTTACTTCTTAGGTCTAGAATTAGGAGATTTACTTCGAGACAACAAATGCAAAACTTCTTTGTTTTGTAGCAGTACAGTGTCTGTCAGGTTAAAAACTAGTTAAGTGAATACTAATCAGTTTTTCTGATCAAATAATCTATACTGAGGTAAAGCTTTTCCTCTCCGAAAAGCCTTTCGTTGAGGAGGAACACGCATGCTCAGTTCAAAGACTAGGTAGGGAAATGAAAGAGAGAGATAAGAATTCTGGATTGTTTTTGCATTATAATGTCAGCCAAGCACAGAATCCATGGGGATTTTGGCTCTCTGGATATATGTATGATTCAACTAGGATCCAAAATGTAGCATAAATTAATTCAAATCTTTTTTAAATTATGTATTAAAAAACTGTATAACTAGCATGAAAGCCGGCATAGCTCAGCTGGGAAAGCGTCAGAAATAGATTAACAATTGCATGAATTCAGTAGCTTATTTCAGTTAAACATATTCGACTTCCAACATTTCCCTTTAAGGTGTAAAGTATGATTTAAGGACTGTGAGGGCGTAACATGTTTTCGTCATCAAACGACAAGGCGTTTAAAATAATTTATCATTTTTTAAAATTTTAATAGCAATTACTTTTTGTTTACTTTAAAGCTAGTGATCAACAAGGTTGTCATCGCTTGATTTTTGCCCCAAGAAACAATAACAAAAAGAAAAAAAAATCATTAAAAAAGAGAGGAAGTATAAGAAGGGAGTTTGGACCAGTCAAATCGCGAGAGACAAAACTAACACTCTGCATGTCTTACTTATCAACGTCTGATCACGCTTTTGATATGTCTGGTTTATAACGATCTTTTGTCTCACAATAACGACATCCTGTCACTTTTCATTAGCTGCCTATACATTTGTTCCCTTCTACACATGTTGATTTTCCTTCTTTTTTTTTTTGAGTAAATTTTATTTTTAGAAGGAAATTAATTATCCCTCTTGTTTTAAAAAAATATTATTTGATCTTTTAATCTATATTGATTTTTTAATTTAATATTATTTCATTTCAAAAAACCGTCATTTTTTCTTATCAATTTTTCCATATTTTTTATTTGTTTTTTTATTTTTTAAAACAAAAAAAAACATAAATTGAAAAATAAAAAAAAAGATAAAGTTACTAAAAATTTACAAATATAAGGACTGAATAATTATTTTTTTTAAAAAAAGGACTAATTAATTTATTTTTAAAACTAAAAGGACTAATTTATAATTTACCTTCCTTATCTTGTCGTAGCTCGCATGTACCCGGATTTTCACTTGATTGATTAAAAAAAATGTTGAAGCTCTTCCCGCCGAAAAAACACGATCTAGTTAAGATTGGAATAAGGCCTCGTGTTGGTGTCTTCTTGACATCCTTAATCTTGTCCTCAGCTTCTTCCCCATATTCTTCTTCTTCTTCTAATGAATATCAGAATGATCCGGTGAGTAGAGACGCAACAACCATTCTCAACTCCAACCATCCTAACCAAGCCCTTCAATTTTTCAATTATGCTTTAAAACACCACCCAACAACTTCTCCAACCAACAGTCTTCCTCACCTCCATTTAGGGATGGCAATGGGGTGGGGTGGGGCGGGGATTGCCATCCCCATCCCAGCCCTGTCCTCTAAAAAAAAAACTCATTCTTGCCTTATGCCTTGTTCGGGATAAAATTTTGCTTCCTATCCCTGTCTCAAACAGGACGGAGCCCCATCAAATTATCTTTTTTAAAGATAAAAAGGTGAAATGGGACGAGGATTGCCATCCCTATCCCCGCCCTACCCAAAAAAAAGAAAAAAAATCCATCCTCGTCATGTGCCTCGTTCGAGGTAAAATTTTACACCCCATCCCTGCCTCAAACGGGGTGGGGTGGCTTCCGAGTGGGTTGGATTGCTATCCCTATCTCTATTCAACCATCATCCATGTCTTGACATGTGCCAGAATGTACAAGCCTGTCAAGTGCATGACCAAAGACCTCATCCAAACCCTCCTTCTCCATCCATCCTACAAATTCGAAAACCAAGTTGCTTCTTTAGTTTTCGATGCTCTTAATGATTTACAAAGCTTTGAAAAATTCAGTCCTGAGGTGTTTGGAGTGCTCATTATTGCATTTTATGAGATAGGTCTTGTTGATGAAGCCTTTTAGGTGCACCAAAAGATTGTTAAAGTAATGCCCCCTTCATTGTAAGCTTGTAATGTGGTTAAAAAGGGTAGGTTAATTTAACATAAACTAAGAAATGATCATAAAAATGGTAGAAGTACTATTGTTAGTTTTCTAAGAGATAAAATGTTGTGTTTAACAATAAACATGAAAGCCCTGTTAATTTCAAGTTTGCATTTGAATGCAAATTTCAAGTCTTATAATGTAGTTATAGCTTATCAAAAGTTTCATGACACTACATGCAAACATAATCGTCAATCCTAATCTTTCTATCGTTCTTAGCTTATGAATGTCCTTGATTTCATCTTTGCCGGTATAAGTCTTTGTTATATTCTTCAGTCTGTGATGTGATCTTTTTTGTCTACATCTTCTTCAACGTGACAAAAAAGAGCACATCAAAGCTTCTAAAGTATCCTTATATAGCCTACTTCGTTCAAACTCACAAAACTTCTACCAATACTATATAGAAACAGGAATAGCAAGAAAGCTTCTAACAATCATTTGCAAATTAAGTGGGATTTTATCCCATTACTTTTTTCCACCAACTAAAAATGTTATATTCTTCTATCCATAACAAAACTTTTTTCTCCAAATAATTATCCAATTTGGATTTTACAAGTGTTTCAAATGACTCAAAAGTATCAATATCAACTAATTTTGCGAGGCTACTCCATTTTTACTATATTAATAGATAAAGTCGTTGTGGTATAAGTAGAGATAGGAAATAGATGTGAATAGCAGATCTATATGATATAATCTTTTTATCTTTTTAATCTCATCAAATGCATATTCATCATAAAAATATTAAAAAAGAAATTCATCGCTTTTATCTTTTACCTAGGATCCAAAATAATCGCCACAGCCATGATCAAATACACATCATTTCATTATTTTAAGAAAACTTCATTTTTTTATTCTAACATCCACTTACCTAAAGTCTTTTTGAAAGTAAGAATTTGAAATGAGATATTTGGTGGTAAAAGGGACTTGGTTGCATCATAAAACAACAAAAGGGTAAGAGGAAAGAAGTATGGACCAGTCAAAGCGCAACAGATAAAATTAGCACGGTCTATGTCTTTGTCGTCAACACATGATAATACCTTTGATGTGTTTGGTTTATAGCCTTCCATCTTCTTATCTAATTATAGCAACATCCTAGCACTTTTCAACAGTTGCCTACATATCTGTTTCCTTCTAAACATGTTGATTTTCCTTCTCTTTTTTTTTAGTAAATTATAAATAATTTCCTTTATTTTTGAGAAGCAAATTAATTAGCACCCTTGTTTAAAAAAAATAATTATTTAGTTTTTTAATTAGTGTTGACTTTTCTTAATTTAATATTATTTTATTTTTTTAAAAATGTTATTTTTTCTAATCAATTTCCATATTTTTACTTATTTTTTTTCTTATTTTTTTCTATTTCTTAAAAAATAACATAAATTGAAAAATAAAAAAAAGATTAAGTTACCACAAAATTAAAAATATAAAGACTGAATACTTATATTTTGAAACAAATAGGACTAATTAATTTATTTCTCAAAACTAAAAGGGCTCATTAATAATTTACTCGCCTTTTCTTTTCCGATCTCACATGCACCCAAAGCACACAGAGTTTTCACTTGATTGATAATAGAAAAGAACATGTTGAAGCTCTTCCCGCCGACAAAACGCGCTCTAGTTAAGGTTAGAAGAAGACCTCATGCTGGTGTCTTCTTCACATCCTTAATCTTGTCCTCACCTTCTTCCCAATATTCTTCTTCTTCTTCCTCTTATGAATATCAGAATGATCTGATGAGTAGAGACGCAGCAACCATTCTCAACTCCAACCATCCTAACCAAGCCCTTCAACTTTTTAATTATGCTTTAAAACACTACCCAATTACTTCTCCAACCTACATTCTTCCAAGCCTGTATTCAGCGATCATACTTTTCTTAACATGTGCCGGAATGTGCAAGCCTGCCAGGTCCTTGATCAAAGACCTCGTACAAACCATCCTCATCCATCCTTCCTTCAAATTCGAAAACCAAGTTAGTTCTTTAGTTTTCGATGCTCTTAATGATTTACGAAGTTCTGAAAAATTCAGTCCTGATGTTTTTGGAGAGGTCATTATTGCATTTTGTGAGATGGATCTTGTTGATGAAGCCTTGTGGGTGTATCAAAAGATTGTTAAAGCTATGCCCCCTTCAGTGCAAGCTTGTAATGCCTTACTAAATCGGTTGGCTAAGAAGGGTCGGTTTGGTTCCATGTGGAAGTTATACAAGCACATGGTTTCGTGCAAGGTATTGGTTCCTAGTGTTGTCACTTATGGTATATTTGTTGATGCTTGTTGTAGCCAAGGTGATGTTTCAAAAGCTATGAGTTTTTTTGATGAGATGGTGAAGGAGAAGGGGATTCAACCAAGCGTTGTTATCTACACCACTCTTATCCGTAGTTTTTGCCGTGAGAGTAAATTGTCAGAAGCAGAAGCTCTGTTTCAACAGATGCGGGAATCGGGGGTTTTGCCAAATTTGTATACTTATAATGTTCTGATAGATGGTTACTGCAAAAGGGCAAACGTCAAGCAAGCACTTCACTTGTATCAGGGCATGCTTGCTGGCGGTCTGCACCCAAGTATTGTTACTTTTGGGACCTTAATAGATGCACTCTGCAGAGGGGGGCAATTATTAGCAGCAAGGGGTTTGTTCGTTCACATGGCTAAGTTTGGTATTTGTCCTGATTTAGTTATGTATAATCGTCTCATTGATGGCCATTCTAATTCAAGGAATCTATCTGAAGCCATGCATTTGTTTTCGGAGATGGAAAAGTTCAAAATTTCACCTGATGTTTTTACATATAGTATACTTATGAAGGGTTTTTGTGGCGTGGGTAGAACAGAAGAAGCATACGTGTTACTGAAAAGAATGAATAGTGATGGGGTTATTGCAAACTCTGTAACATACAATTCCCTAATCAATGGATACTGTAAGGAAGGAAATATGGAAAAGGCTCTGGAGGTGTCTTCTCAAATGACTAAAAAGGGTTTAGAGCCAGATGTTATCACCTTTTCTACATTGATTGATGGTTATTGCAAGGCAGGGAACATGCAATCTGCTTCAAGATTATACTCGGAAGTGGTAATGAAATGTATTGTGCCTGATGTGTTTGTATTCACAGCTTTGATTGATGGGCACTGTAAAAATGGTAACATGAAAGAGGCCCTTCGGCTGCACAAGGAGATGCTAGAGGCTGGGTTCAAACCCGATGTTTTCACAGTCACTTGTTTAATTGATGGCTTTTGCAAAGATGGGAGGACTTCTGATGCAATCAAATTTTTCTTGGAGAACACTACAGATGGGCTCACTGGAAAGCAAATCAATAAAATGAATGGTAATTCTTGTATTCCCAACAGTGTAATGTACACATCTTTAATTCAAGGCTTGTGCAGGGATGGGCAAATTTTTGAAGCTACCAAGTTTTTTTCGGATATGAGATGTGGTGATATACAACCAAATGCTTTGACTTACACTGTCATGTTAGAGGGGCATCTGACAGTGAAGCATATGATCGATGTGATGATGCTGCATGCTGATTTGATAAAGATGGGTATCATGCAAAATGAGAACATATGCCTGGTTTTAACAAGGGGTTATCAAGAAAATGGATACCTGAAGTCAGCTCTCAACTGTTCCAAGGACTCGATTAGGTGTTCAGAGTGAGCAGCACTATAATAGGACCATTTTAATGGTGGCAACAAGAAGAAACCAAATATACCATGAATGAAAACCATGATTTTCGTGAAAGGAAGATTGGATCTTTTCTGGGTGATGGTCCATCCTGTATTAAATCACCTGCATCTGCTACAAGTTTATACTCGGAAATGCTAATCAAAAGTATTGTGCCTGATCATGTAACGTACACATCTTTAATTCAAGGCTTGTGCAGGGATGGACAAATTTTTGAAGCTACCAAGTTTTTTTCCGAGATGAGACGTGGTGGTATACAACCAGATGCGTGGGCTTACACTGTCATGTTAGAGGGGCATCTGACAGTGAAGCATATGATTGGTGTGATGATGTTGCATGCTGATGTGATAAAGGCGGGTATCAAGCCAAATGAGAAGATGTGCCTGCTCTTAACAAGGTGTTGTCAAGAAAATGGATACCTGAAGTCAGCTCTCAACTGTTCCAAGGACTGATCATGTAATGCTGAGAACAAGAAGAAGCTGAATATAGCATGAATAAAGACTATGATTTCATCAAAAGGAAGGTTGGATCTTTTCAAGGTGATGGTCCATCCTGTATTATATCACCTGCATCTGCACTGTGCCAAAGTGGAGACGGCTGACCCAGAACTTGACCTATCACTAATTTATCTTCATCTACAACCTTTCTATAACCTTGGTTGCAATCTAGAATAACCCCTCCAGCCAACATCTTATCGTAATTTGGCTGTCTTATGTTCTTGTTTTATAGATATACTCTTCACCCGTAGAGACCCTATGATCCTCATAATCATCAGGGTCATCTAGGCCGGGCATGAAGAGGGGGTATACTTTGCTAGTGTTCCCTTTTGTCCTACATCTTGTTCCACATGCATGCACAACACTGGCTCCTCAAGCTGTCCATTGAACCAAAGAGTACCATTAAAAAAATTAAAACTTGAATGCAGCAAGCTTTAATAGCTATATTAAACTCCAGCCTCAAATTCTGTCTTTCACGTCTACTGCAGCAATGTCATAACGGTTATATTATGCTAAATCATAAAAGGAAAAAAAAATTAATCTTACGTTTCCTTTGATTTGTTAGCACAAGAAATTCATGGCCACACACTATGTTTTAGGCAAGTCCCCTTGTGCAGGCAAACTGTTTCCATGGAATCCTGCAGCACCAAAACTGGCAGTTTCCGCTTTCGGGCTATCTTGAATGGAACTCCAAACAGGCAGGAGTGTCTTCTTTACAGGTGAAAAGCTTGCTGTCATGTGCAGAGCTTAGCAACATTCAGAAATAGGATGCAATAAAACTAGAATACTATTAAAATAACCAAGCTATTCTTATTTCCTTAATTAATTAATTAGCTTGAGGGAAAAAAAACTGTTAAATAATTTTTTTAATTATAAAAAACGAGCAGAAAACTCAAATAAAGGAAGTTCCTAATTAAGTTTCGCTTTTTCCTCTCTTGATCTTTCCCTTCTTGTTTCCTACTTTCCTTTCCTAATATTTACCTTAATCTATCTCTATATATTAGGGTTTCATTAATCTCTTCCAGGATAATCTTTGGTGCTGCTGTAGCTAGTTTTTGTAGGTATGTCTTCTTCAATATACTTAGCTTCGATTCTGCTTCTACTTTGCAACAAAAAAACAAAGTTCTGCACGATCGCTAGCTTGATTTTGACTTGTTTTCCCTCTTTTACATATTGTTGTTGCAGATTTTTCTGGTTTGGACTGAACTTTCAAGACTTGTCCGTAGTTTTATATCACTTGTTTGTGCTTTAAGGTATGTACTCTTTTCAAAATATGGTTTTCCTTTGAACTGAAAATTTCGTTCCTCTGGATAGCTTGCTTTCGTCTTCCTTTGACTAGTTCAACAGTTAATTCTGCAGACTTGTGGCAAAGAAAAAACTCTTGTTCAGTTTTTTTTCTTCAGTTCTGTTGTTAATAGTTTGTGTGTGTGTGCGCTTTTTTTTTTTTTTTTTTTTTTTAACTTCATATTGTTCTTGTAGTTAGAGCAATATGCCGCCGAAGCAGGACTTCTCTCTCAAGGAGATAAAACCAAACATTGATGGAGGAAAAACCTTGACTCCCAATATGCTCACCTTGGTTGAACCACTATATTTCGTGTACGTAAGAGTTGTAGGAGCTGCCCACTTGCCAGTGAATCAAGCTACTGGCACTTGTGACCCTTACGTTGAAGTGAAGACAGGAAACTATAAGGCAACAACCAAGCACGCTCAACGTACATTGGCCCCTATATGGAACCAAGTGTTTGCTTTCAACAAAGATCTTCTTCAATCAAAGACTATAGAGATTTTGGTGAGGGATAAGGCAGCTGTGACTAATGCGAGCATTGGTAGTATTACTGTTGTTATAGGTGATATCCCTGCTCGGCTTCTGGGGGATTCTTCACCGACACCACAGTGGTATAAACTTGCAGATCAGAATGGAGTTCCTGGTAGATCAGGAGACTTGATGTTGGCAATATGGGTAGGGAATCAAATGGATGATGCATTTTCAGTAGCTTGGCATTTAGATGCAGCTTCTGTTAGCGTTGACAAGGTATCTAATACTCGTCCACAGGTGTACTATTCACCAAGACTCTGGTATCTTAGAGTTAAGGTGAATAGTGCTCAGGATTTGGTGGTTTCGGATCCAAATCGAAAACCGGAAGTTTATGTGAAAGCTACATTGGGGAATAAGGTTTTGAAGACTAAGGTTTCGAAGAACAAGAGTGCGAATCCATGCTGGAATGAGGAATTAATGTTTGTTGTAGATGAGCCATTTGAAGATGCATTGATTCTGAGTGTGGAAGATGATCGAGGAGATAATAAGGTGGATTATTTAGGGAGGTGTGTTAAGCCTTTGCATAAAATTACTCAGAGACTCCTGCCTCCCTTTCCAAGTGAAGAGATAATTAATCTTAAAAGGTACGGAGTGTTAGGTGAGGAGCCGACAGAGAAATTTTCTAGCAAGCTTCGTGCCACTATATTTTTGGATGGTGTGTATCATGTTTTTGACGAACCTGCTCTATTCAGTACTGATTTGACTGCAACATCACCTAAACTGAAGCCAGGTAAAGTTGGAGATTTGGAGTTGGGGATCTTAAAAGCTGAAGGGTTGGTGCCAATGAAATCTAAGAATGGTTTGGAAACTACTGATGCTTTTTGTGTGGCCAAATATGGACAGAAGTGGGCAAGGACTAGCACTGTTGTCAGCAGTCTAGCTCCAAAATGGATGAAACAATATCAATGGGATGTTTACGATCCATGCACAGTGATTGCAATTGGAGTTTTCGATAACGGTAATTTACAAGTAGGGGATGGATGGTATGACACATTAATTGGCAAGGTAATCAGGATTCGGCTCTCGACACTAGACTTTGGTCGTATATATAAATATGCTTATCCTCTGATAGCCTTGAAGCCCGATGGGGTTAAGAAAATGGGGGAACTTCATTTTACTCTAAGATTTAACTTTACAAAAACATGGGGTGATATGGTATACCAATATACACAGCCTTTGCTTCCCAAAACACAATATACTAACCCAATGTCTGTGTATCAAATAGATAATTTAAGGCACCAGGCTGTTCAATGCATAACTTGGAGACTCGCCCGTTCTGATCCACCATTAAGCAGAGAGGTGGTGGAGTCTATGTTGAATGGACCGCAATCTGTATGGAGCCTCCGGAGAGGAAGAGTGAATTTCATAAGAGTCATGGAATGTTTGAATTGCTTTGTGACAGCTTGGAATTGGTTTGACGACCTACGCCAGTGGAAGAATTCAGGGATAACAGTTTTGGCCTGGGCAGCGTTTGTTTGTGCCATATGTTATTCAGAGATGATCATTCCAGGTTTGCTTTTGTTTCTCTTCTGTTATGGTCTTCAGAACTATTTGAAGAGGGCCAGAGATATTCCATATCTGGATACAAAGTTATCTCAAGTTGAAACTGAGAATGTTTTAGACTTTGGAGAAGAGTTAGATTCATTCCCGACGTCAGCGCCACCGGATGTGTTGAGGTTAAGGTATGATATATTGAGAAGCACTGGATATAGAATAGAATCAGCAGTAGGCAACTTGGCAACTCAATTGGAGAGGTTTCATTCTATATTATCGTGGAGGGATCGAAGAGCTACCTTAATCTTTATGCTTTTCTGTTTCATAGCTATCATTGTGTTTTTCTTTGTGCCTTTCCGGTTGCTTTCTATTCTTTTTGCCACATACCTGTTAAGGTCTCCAAGATTTCGAGTTACTCTTCCACCAATACCTCAAAACGTATTCAGGAGATTGCCTACCAGAGACGAATGCTTGCTTTGATCAATCTATCATTCAATCCCCTTTTTTTTCTTTTTTTTTTTTAAATGTAGAATGGATATTCTGTTGGATGGATGAAACTTGGGAGTTATTAATTTTATTTTCTAATTAAACTGAGTGATTTATGATGAATTGATATGGTCTGACTGAATTAATTCAATTGGATTAGTTTTTTTTTTTTTTTTTTTTTTTGCATGATGCTCCAACAGAATAATTTGTCAATGCAAATAGTCTGATAGAGGTTAGAAGTTCGTACTTCCTAGGTCTAGAACTGGGAGATTTTCTGCAAGACAGACCGCAAAATGCAATTTCCTGTCAGGTTAGAAAGGAACCAGTTTTCTGATCACATAATCTACACTGTGTGGAGCTTTTCCTTTCTAGATTCATTCACTTAGACTGAGGAGGACCATGCTCACTCATACTTTTAAATCACAGGCATGGTTAAACAAAAGGTCGCAATTGCGATCGCAGCTTACCGCATTAGTAAAATAATAGTTATGGCTACTGTATAACATCGAATAACTGTAACAAAGTGTAAAACGACTGTTACGTAACATCCATCACGTAACGACCGTTATTTAAAAATATATGTGCTCACTTCAATGACTGACTGGGGAAATGATCCACAGCAAGTAAAAATTCTGGTTTGTCTTTAAACAATAATGTCCAGCTGCCAAGCAGAAGCCATATAGATCAATCTAAACTAGTAGAAACTCGGATTTTATTTACCCTGAGGAATGAATATTGATGTCATCATGTCAGACCAGAAATGGTACAACATACTAAACTAAATAAAAGCAAGAGTACAACTACAGCTACAACATGTCATATACAGATTGTTTTTATCGAAAGTCAAATACATATCTCTTGCCTTCTTTTATACAAATCGCCGCTTGCCAAAGTAGATGGTCAAGGAAATGTCTGTCCACAAAGAATGAAGGCGTGGATAAGGCTCTGTGCAGCTCTCATTTGATCAGATGTTCCGGACACTACCACCACATCTTCGGTTGCCCTAGGCTTCGGGTCGTGAATGAGAACATTTGAAGATATAGAAGTTGTTCACGGGAAGAAGCAAAAAAGAGATCTCCACTGTGACATGAGACTTCATTGAAAAGCTTACCTTTTAGGTCTCTAACCCTCTGACCATTTGAAGGAGAAATTTCTGCAAACATTAAGTTTCATGTAGAGTCGCTGCATCATAATCGTGTTCTAGATTCCTGAAAGCAAGAGCCACCTTCTTGAGCTCTCATCCTTAATCAATAAAGTGCAAGGTCAGGCAACAACACACCTCTTTGTCGTTGTGTGGATGCAAATCAACCGTCAAACTGAAGAGACAAGGGAGGTTATGAAAGTACTTGATGAGTTTCTCCTTTTCTTGTCTGTAAAAAACGAGACCATCAGCCTCGACAGAGTCCAGTGAACAGAGCTGAAACTTTGGTTGCAAACCATGGAGTCCAAGCTTCACAAACCCTTGTTGCAGGGTTAAGGCAACTTGTTTCTTGATGAAACACAAGATCCGTTCGTAAATCAGATGGTGATGAATCCTGTTGTGCATCTTGCTGTCTCTTTTCCAAACAAATTTTCAAGTGTTTACCAATAGACTATTTTGCAACTATCGCAACCATTTTCTGTCTTACAATGGCAACATCCTATAACTTTTTAACAATTGCCTACACATTTCTTCTAAACATGTTGATTTTCCTTTTTTTTTTTTTAATTAAATTATAGTATAGTTTCTTTATTTTGAGAAGCAAATTAATTAGCAACCATGTTTTAAAAAAATGATTATTTAGTTTTTTAACCAGAGTTGACTTTTCTTAATTTAATATTATTTTATTTTTTAAAAAATTATTTTTTCGTCGATCTTTCCCCCTTTTTTTTTTCTATTTCTTAAAAAAAAAATCAACAGAAATTGAAAAATAACAAAAAAGGATTAAGTTACTGCAAAATTTAAAATTATAAGGACTAAATAATCAGGTTTTGAAACTAATAAGACTAAATAATTTATTTTTCAAAACTAAAAGGACTAATTAATATTTTATTTTCCTTTTCTTTTCCTAGCTCGCATTTTCCCAAAGCACAGGATTTTCGCTTGAGTGATAATAGAAAAGAACATGCTGAAGCTCTTCCCGCCGACAAAACACGCTCTAGTTAAGGTTAGAAGAAGACCTCATGTTGGTGTCTTCTTCAAATCCTTAATCTGGTCCTCACCTTCTTCCCAATATTCTTCTTCTTCTTCTTGCTCTTATGAATACCAGAATGATCTGGTGAATAGAGACGCAGTAACCATTCTCAACTCCAACAATCCTAACCAAGCCCTTCAACTTTTCAATTATGCTTTAAAACACTACCCAATTACTTCTCCAACCTACATTCTTACTAGCCTGTATTCAGCCATCATCCATGTTTTGACATGTGCCGGAATGTGGAAGCCTGCCAGGTGCTTGATCAAAGACCTCATCCAAACCATCCTCATCCATCCTTCCTTCAAATTCGAAAAACAAGTTAGTTCTTTAGTTTTCGATGCTCTTAATGATTTACAAAGCTCTGAAAAATTCAGTGCTGATGTTTTTGGAGAGCTCGTTATTGCATTTTGTGAGATGGGTCTTGTTGACGAAGCCTTGTGGGTTTATCAAAAGATTGTTAAAGTAGCGCCCCCTTCAGTGCAAGCTTGTTATGCCTTATTAAATCGGTTGGCTAAGAAGGGACGGTTTGGTTCCGTGTGGGAGTTATACAAGGACATGGTTTCGTGCAAGGTATTGGTTCCTAGTGTTGTCACTTATGGTATACTTGTTGATGCTTGTTGTAGCCAAGGTGATGTTTCAAAAGCTAGGAGTTTTTTTGATGAGATGGTGAAGGAGAAGGGGATTCAGCCAAGCGTTGTTATCTACACCACTCTTATCCGTGGTTTTTGCCGTGAGAGTAAATTGTCAGAAGCAGAAGCTCTGTTTCAACAGATGCGGGAATCGGGGGTTTTACCAAATTTGTATACTTATAGTGTTCTGATAGATGGTTACTGCAAAAGGGCAAACGTCAAGCAAGCACTTCACTTGTATCAGGGCATGCTTGCTGACGGTCTGCACCCAAGTATTGTTACTTTTGGGACCTTAATAGATGCACTTTGCAAAAGGGGACAATTATTAGCAGCAAGGAGTTTGTTCGTTCACATGGCTAAGTTTGGTGTGTGTCCTGATTTAATTGTGTATAATCGTCTCATTGATGGCCACGCTAATTCAAGGAATCTATCTGAAGCCATGCATTTGTTTTTGGAGATGGAAAAGTACAAAATTTCTCCTGATGTTTTTACATATAGTATACTTATGAAGGGTTTTTGTGGCGTGGGTAGAACAGAAGCAGCAGATGTGATACTGAAAAGAATGAACAGTGAAGGGGTTATTGCAGACTCTGTAACATACAACTCCCTAATCAAAGGATACTGTAAGGAAGGAAATACGGAAAAGGCTCTGGAGGTGTGTTCTCAAATGACTGAAAAGGGTGTAGAGCCAGATGTTATCACCTTCTCTACATTGATTGATGGTTATTGCAAGGCAGGGAAAATGCAATCTGCTACAAGTTTATACTCGGAAATGCTAATCAAAAGTATTGTGCCCGATCAGGTAACGTACTCATCTTTAATTCAAGGCTTGTGCAGGGTGGGGCAAATTTTTGAAGCTACCAAGTTTTTTTCAGAGATGAGATGTGGTGGTATACAACCAGATGCTTATACTTACACTGTCATGTTAGAGGGGCATCTGACAGTGAAGCATATGATTGATGTGATGATGTTGCATGCTGATGTGATAAAGGTGGGTATCATGCCAAATGAGAAGATGTGCCTGCTCTTAACTAGGTGTTATCAAGAAAATGGATACCTGCAGTCAGCTCTCAATTGTTCCAAGGACTAATCATGTAATGGTGAGAACAAGAAGAAGCCTAATATAGCATGAATGAAGACTATGATTTCATTAAAAGGAGGATTGGATCTTTTCAAGTTGATGGTCCATCCTGTATTAAATCACCTGCATCTGCACTGTGCCAAAGTGGATATGGCTGACCCAGAACTTGACCTATTACTAGTATCTTCATCTAACCTTTCTATAACCCCTCCAGCCAACCTTTTGTTCTTGTTTTATAGATATACTCTTCAATCTAGAGACCCTGTGATCCTTATCAGGGCATGAAGAGGGATATGCTTTGCTAGTGTTTCCTTCCTCCTTTAATATAACAGTGTGGTTTGAAAGTATAAGGTGTTTAAATTAATTTATCTGATCGAAATTCATTGTATTAAATTAAAATTCTGAGAGTTCATTAAACCTCCATCTTGTAATTTTTTTTTTTCATATATATTAAGTTCTTGTGATTATTTGATGGGAAATTTCGGATGGAAACTAAAATGTGAAAAAAATTCCAAGTTTTTCAAAAGTGTTAATTTCTTCTTATAAATAAAAAAATCTGCAGTATCACAAGAAAACATGGAAAGGAAAAAAAAAGTTCAATCTGACTGTCATATCTTTGATTAGTTGGTAGCCAAATTTATAGCTTAATCCCTTTTGCTATTTTAATGTTTTTTTTTTTAACGTAGAATGGATATTCTGTTGGATGGATGAAACTTGGAGTTATTAATTTTATTTTCTAATTAAACTGAGTGATTTATGATGAATTGATATGTTCTGACTGAATTAGTTCAATTGGATTAGTTTTATTTTTTGCATGATGCTCCAACAGAATAATTTGCCAATGCAAATAGTCTGATAGAGTCTAGAAGTTCCTAGGTCTAGAACTGGGAGATTTTCTGCGAGTCCGACCGCAAAATGCAAATTCCTGTCAGGTTATAAAGGAACCAGTTTTCTGATCACATAATCTACACTGTGGAGCTTTTCCTTTCCAAATCCATTCACTGAGACAGAGGAGAACCATACTCACTCATAGTTTTATAGTTTTAAATCACGGATGCGATTAAAAAAAAATTACAATTGCGATCGCAGCTTACCGCAATAGTAAAATAACAATTGCGGCTATCATATAACATCGAATAACGATAACAAAGTGTCTCAAAACCGTATTATAACGGCCATTACGTAACATCCATCACGTATTGACCGTTAATTATATCTATGTGCTCACTTCAATGACTGACTAGGGAAATGAACCACAGAAGTAAAAATTCTGGTTTGTCTTTAAACAATAATGTCCAGCTGCCAAGCAGAAGCTATATAGATCAATCTTAACTAGTAGAAACTCGGATTTAATTTACACTGAGGAATGAATATTGATGTCATCATGTCAAGATAGGACACCAAAGACCAGAAATGGTACAACTACAGCTACAACATGTTACATACAGATTGTTTTTATCGAAAGTCAAATACACATTTCTTGCCTTCTTTTATACAAATCGCCACTTGCCAAAGTAGATGGTCAAGGAAATGTCTGTCCACAAAGAATGAAGGCATGGATAAGGCTCTGTGCAGCTCTCATTTGATCAGATGTTCCGGACACTACCACCACACCTTCGGTTGCCCCAGGCTTCGGATCATGAATTAGAACACTTGCACCTGAAATCTGAAAGAAAATTGCCCAGTACAACATTAGAAACTGCTTGCAGATCATTGTATTAGTCTAAAGTGAGTGGCATCAAAGTAATACATTAACCCACCTGTCTGATCTGAGCCAAATTAGTATTATTCTCTCCGTACACATGGGTCAGCAATTTTTTAGGAATGACTACCTCAACAGATGTAGCTAGACTTCCGCTGCTGAAATAGAAAAGCAGAAAATGATTGATGGCTCTCGTATTACAATAAAGAAAATTTTATTTCCTCTACTTACACAATGCAAAAACAAATGGCAACTTTATGAATTGTGCTGATAATCACAATGAGTCAGCAAAAGCTTCCTCCCTAGCCATGTCTTTTAATGATTTTTAATCACAAGGCTCTACGAGTGTTTGTTGCCATTTGGCTGCTTCACCTCACTGTATTCAGCAGCCGCAGCATCAAGCAGTTAGCTCAATATGAGCTGAAGTTATTCAAATCAATAGCATAAAATAGTACCTTGCAGAATGCCCATTTCTTGCAACGGAGCCAGAACCTAGATCAGCACCTCCCCTAGGGTTCCCATTGCTAAATGGCTGCAGAAAAAAAAGGAAAGGAAAATTAAAACCCAAGAGAATAGCAATGGAGCTTGAATCCACCATAATATCAATAAATGAAGTTCAAGTCAACATCAGGTTATTTGGAAGCAGAAGCCACCAACCTGACCAGTCAATGATCTTGGAGAACATTCAAATGGTCCAGGACCATGTCCTGGTCTCTCGCCACCATATGGATAGGGACCTCGGTCCAAATTAGGAGGACCACCACGATCCATGCCATATGAAAATGGAGGCTGGTGATTAGCAGAACGATCCATGCCTTGGAAAGGTCCAACAGGAGAAGGGTAAGGACCTGGAGAGGCAGGAGTAGGTCTTGGCCTAAATTGAGGGGGGTGCATTTCTGGAAAAGAGGGTGGTGGGTAGGGCAGGGGAGCAGGGCTTGAGAATGGTGGCTTCATTGGAAATATAACATCCCGAAGTCTGCTTGTTATTTGAAATAAAGCATCCTGTACAGAATGCAAGCTGCCAAGAACCTGCAACAAAAGCAACTCTTCAGAATTCTGAAAGAGACTCATGTAGAAAGCAGCATATAGAAGGATATATGGTAAAATTGATAACATAGGATCGTGTCATATTAGAATCATAAGAGAACGATTGTATTGTGGCAGAGAAGCAGCATGGGAAGGTGAGGACAAGAAGTCAAGGCTAACACTCAATCACTTCAACAGGGCAATATAGTTGCGAACTTGCAAGATAGAAGCATGTTATTTTAAGCATTCCTTGTACTAGTGTGGACTTGATTCCCTTGACCAACCATCTATCTAAAAGGATTTAGAATTTGTTCTGAATGATAGAATTTTATGTTATCGATTCAGAAACAGCAAAAATTGAAAGGAAATTTTTTTTTTAACAAGGAACAAGATGCTATGCAAACTTACTGTAGCCTAACTGGCACCAAACCCCTTGGTTCAAGCACGAGGCCTAGGTTCAATCAGGGTACCTGGAGTATTGTAGGCTTATTTAATTAAAGGAGAAGATTATAAAGCATGCTAATTACCTGAACAACTTCGTCAGTTTGAGAACCATACTTCGAAACTTGCTCCTTTGGAAATACACATATACTAGCACCGGTAACATGTCTCATTTCATTTATGATCTTGCCTCCTTTACCCAACAAAACACCTACCTGTTGTGGATGCACAAGAAGCCGAGCAACAATTCCAGCACCACGCTCAAATCCAATCTCTGCAATTCTGGATTGCACACGAATAACAGCGTCCTGAGCAGGAGAGTGTCTTTGTTCTGACTTCTGCACGAAGTCAAACCACTTAAAGTGTTAAAAAACCAGAGAATTGGCACTTCCTGCAAATCTACACAAGGTTTTCATGCTAACAAAATGTCAGAGGTACAATGTCCCTACTCACTTCCATGTGATATGTGACCCACCCAGCAAAAGCAAGGGAATATCTATATGATAAGACTTAGAAGACTACCCTTAACTATAGACGAGCTCTGAATTCCTAAAGGAGATGAAGAGTTTGATATAAGGTTGATCATAACACTGCTTTTATCCAAGATATTATGCTATGAAACACCATTCATTCAGAGGTCATGATAGTAAATGTCGTAATATGATATCATTGTCTGAGATTGAAGAAAGGTCTAAGTCCTAACGAACCACTATGCAAGAAAATTGAAGCTCCCTAAACTAATAAAAATAGTACAAGTTAAGACAGTAAAAACCCCATGCCTCTCTTGCAGATATGACAACCACACGTTCATCTGAATCAGATACACCTTCAGCAATTTTGATAGACGCACCCGTTTCATTTTGCAAAGCCCGTACCACCGAGCCACCTTTCCCTATCAAACTGCCAACTTTATCAGCCTGGCATAACAACCTAAATACAACCTCCTCTTCAAAATTAGGAGAATACCCTCTTGGATGATAGTCTGCAGCATGAAGACCAGATCCATAACCTCGTTGAAGCAAGTCCCCTTGTGCAGGCATAGCATTTCCAGGGAATCCAACTGCACCAAACTTGGCAGTTTCTGCTCTCGGGCTATCTTGAATACAACTTGAAACAGACAGGAGTCCTCTCTTTACAGCTGAAAAACTTCCTGTAATCTGCAGAGCTGAACTACACTCAGAAATAGCATACAAAACTACGATACCTTGAATTAAAGTACTAAAAAGCACAAAAAAATAACAAAAAATTCCATATATAGAATGATAACGATCAACTATCAAACAATTACTGCACGGCACGATATATGCTTTATTAAACTGATAAAAGAAGGCACTTAAAAAGAACAGTTAATTCCAAACTTGACATTGATTTCAATGCAATGAATCATTCTTTCATTGATTATCAAACTATTGTTGCAAAAACTTTAACTTTATTAACCTCATAAAGCAAGACATTTATTGAACTACAGCAAATAAATAAATAAAGCACAAAACTTTAACAATTAATTGCATATCAATTGTTGCAAGATTTAAACTCTATTCAAGTTCAAGATTACTTACCATAATCAATTCATCACCGGGAGAAGCACAAGCAGGAATTTGGTCACGATTTGAAACCCTAACTTGTGCTCCACTCTCTACTCTAGTCTTCTCCAAGACCTTTGACAAACTCCCTCCCAGATTACTACTACCAATTAAAACCTTACACGTCACCATCACAGCTTCACTCAACTCCTCCTCACTGTCCCCTTTCACTATCTTCTCAAAAACCCTAACCACCGCTTTCTTCACCGGACCCGAACCTTCCTCCTCTTCACCGCCACCACCAGCAATGCCCTCTCCGTCATTAGCATCTTCTTTGTTGTGATCGGTGGTCGCAGTGTTGGAGTCGTCTGATTTGGGGATTTTGCCACTGTTTAGAGTAATGAGGATTATGCGGTCTTCGCAATAGGGAATGTGAGGGTCGTCGAGGAGGCGGATTTTCGCGCCAGTGAGAAATTGAATATGACGGACGGTGGAGCCGCCTTTGCCAATGACAGCGCCGGTTTTTAGTGACGGGCAGAGGATCCGGATTTGTGTGGGTTCGGTTATGGAGCGTTTGGTGGGAGTTATTGGAGGAGGAGTAGCGTCCATTTTGCAGTGACTCACTGACTCTTCACAGTGAGTCAGCGAAACAACACAATTAGGGTCCTTTTTAAATTTTAGGGAATTTATATGATGGGAATAAATAATGTCTTGGTTATAAATGAGTAAATTACAAATTAGTCCTTATTTTTTGAGAAATAAATTAATTAGTTCTTCTTCTTTTAAACATAGATCATTTAGTCCTTTATCGTTAAATTCTTGCCGGATCCTTCAAATTAATAAATAATACATAAAATATCATTTAAGATATATATCTAATTCTTGTATCTAAATCACAACTATTACTCACCAAATTAACTTTTAGGCTGGATATTTATTTTATACCCCACAAATACCGAATTTAAAAAAAATACATGAAGTGACTTAATTGCATAAATTTTTTAAAATAAAGACCAAAATAATTTTATGAAAACTTTGAAGATCATAAAAGTTTATAAATAAAGGACAAAATTGTGACAAAATAATTTTTTGACAATTGCAAGGACTAAAATAACGCATTTTCACAACTATTTTTTAATGAATATGTGCAATGCATTTTTTAATAAATAAGGTAAAAATTGGAATCAATGGGCGGATATAATAACATTATATATATATATATATATAGACAAAGCAGAATCCAGCAAAGCCAATCAATCAAGGCATTGACTGAAATAAATTGTAAACATGACTTTGCTAGTTCTTTCACAACATCATTGGTTGTAAATAAAAGTTTCAGCTACTTGTTAATTTGTTAACAAATTAAATAAAATAAAAATTAATATTTCAATCAATTATTATATAATAAGATAATCCTCGAATTAGTTAGGTTAAGTACTTAATTTATTTTTCTATCAAAATTTTCAAACCAAATAATTAAAATTATTCACATGATTTGCACATGCGAATCATGTGAACTTAAAATGTTCCCTCAATAATAACTTTTTATTTTTCAAACTCAAAGCATTCTAGCCTAAATTGTTGCTTCATATCAAGGGAAAAAAAAAACTAAAAGAAATAAAATATTTACTATTCATTTACTATTGTTTTAGACTAAAATTTATTATTCATTGTGTTGCTTGATTTTTTGCCTCATAGCTTTTCGTTAATTTCTTTTTTACAACTCGATGGATTTGACAAACTCATTCTCCTTTTATTTTTCTTTTTGAACCTTTTTTTGTCATTTTCTCTTTTTTATTTTTTCAGATTAAGCATTTAATGCTCCTATCTTCTATCAATGATTTTTTTTTCTTTTTATTTTTGACGAGGATGCCAAAGCCACTTGCTATTTAAAAGTAATTATAAATTAATCCCTCTTACTTCGAGAAATAAATTAATTAGTCCATTTGGTTCAAAAACTATTTTTTTTATCCTTTTTGGTATTTCAATGTTTTTATTTTTTGTTTCAAGAAATAGAGAAAGAATAAAAAAAGTAAAAATATGAAAAAAGATATTTTATAAACTAAAAAATAAATTATTCGTGGTCAACACGAATTAAAAAAATTGAATAATTTATTTTTTAAACCAAAAGAATTAATTAGTTCATTTCTCAAAACGAGATGAACTAATTTATAATTTAATTTGCAATTCAAGAATATCTTTTATCATAAATTAAGAAGTAAAATTTATGAAAATCAATTTTGTAGTGGTTTTTATTTCAATTTATTGAATATAATATGTTTCATACAACCTATATGGTTTTTTTTTTTTTAATTTTTGTTTATACTATATACTCTGAATCAACTAAGTATGATATATCATTAATTTTGTTGAAAATTAATTATGTATCTGCATACATAATACCATTAGTCCTTTTGGTTCAAAACTTTTTTTTTTTTGGTCCTTTTTACCATTTCAATGTTTTTATTTTTTGTTTTAAGAAATAGAGAAAGAATTAAAAAATAAGTAAAAATATGAAAAGAAAGATATTTTTATAAAATAAAAAATAAATTATTCGTAGTGATTATAAAATTAAAAAATTTATCTTTAACACCAAAATAATTTATTTATTTATTTTTCAAAACTAGATGAACTAATTTATAATTTAATTTGCAATTCAAGAATTTTTTTATCATAAATTAAAAAGTAAAATTTATGAAAACTAATTTTGTAGTAGTTTTTATATAAATTTATTGACTTTAATATATTCCATATAACTTAGATGTTTTTTTTTTTAATTTTTATTTATGCTATGTACTCTAGATCTCTCTCTCTCTCTCTCTCTCTCTCTCTCTCTCTCTCTCTCTCTCTCATATATATATATATATATATATATATATATATATATATATATATTAGTTTTATTAGAAATTAATTATATATCTATATTCATAACATCAATTATCTCGTTATCTATTTTTTTATATATATTCTAAAATCAATATTTTTAATAAACCTTTCCTAGCCAACTCAATGCTTTGAGCTTCACAGACAAATCTAGAGCCTGAAGCCAAGGGGGAACATACATAGCTCGTGGTTTCCAAAAAAAAAAAAATTAGTATCTTATCCAATATTAACTATACTTAGTTTAATATTTTTTTTTTTTTATCAATCCTTCCATAGTTTTTACTTAATTTTTTTTAAATTTCTTTAAAAAAAAAATTAACATTAAATGAAAAAAAAAGATTAAGTTTAAAATTTAAAAATATAAAGACTCAATAATTATTTTTTAAACAAATGGGACTAATTAATTTATTTTTTAAAACTAGAGGGACTAATTTATAATTTACCCTCGCTCTCTTTTTATAGCACACAAATACTCGAAATAACAGGATTTTCACTTGAAAACATGTTGAAGCTCTTCGCGCCGACAAAACAAACTGTATTTCAAATTAGAAGAAGGCATCATGTTGGTGTCTTCTTGATACCCGTAATCTTGTCCTCACGTTCTTCCCCTTATTCTTCTTCTTCTACCTCCTCTAATGAATATCATAATGATCTAGTGAGTAGAGACGCAGCAACCATTCTCAACTACAACCATCCTAACCAAGCCCTTCATTTTTTCAACTATGCTTTAAAACACTACCCAACAGCTTCTCCAACCAACAACCTTCCTCACCTCTATTCTGCCATCTTCCATGTCTTAACAAGTGGTGGCATGTACAAGCCTGCCAGGTGCTTGATCAAAGACCTCCTCCAGACTCTCCTTCTCCATCCATCCTGCAAATCCGAAAACCATGTTACTTCTTTAGTTTTCGATGCTCTTAATTATTTACAAAGCTCTGAAAATTCAGTCCTGAAGTGTTTGGAGTGCTCATTATTGCATTTTGTGGGATGGGTCTTTTTGATGAAGCCTTGTGGGTGTATCAAAAGATTGTTAAAGTAATACCCCCTTCAGTGCAAGCTTGTAATACACTATTAAATGGGTTGGCTAAGAAGGGTCGGTTTGGTTCCATGTGAGAGTTATACAAGGACATGGTTTCGTGCAAGGTATTGATTCCTAGTGTTGTCACTTATGCTGTATTGGTTGGTGCTTGTTGTCGCCAAGGTGATATTTCAAAAGCGAGGAATTTGATTTTTGATGAGATGGTGAAGGAGAATGGGATTGGACCAAACGTTGTTATCTAAACTACTATTATCCGTGGTTTTTGCCGTGAGAGTGAATTGTCAGAAGCAGAAGGTCTGTTTCAACAGATGCGGGAATCTAGGGTTTTGCTGGATTTATATACTTAAAATATTCTGATAGATGGTTACTGCAAAATGGCAAACGTCAAAAAAGCACTTCGCTTGTATCAGGGCATGCTTGGTGGCGGAATGCACCCAGATGTTGTTACTTTTGGTATCTTAATGGATGCACTTTGCAAAGCGGGAGAATTATTAGCAGCAAGGACTTTGTTCGTTCACATGGCCAAGTTAGGTGTTTCTCCCGATTTAATTGTGTATAGTTCCCTCATTGGTGGCCACTGTAATTCATGGAATGTATCCGAAGCTATGCATTTGTTTTTGGAGATGGAGAAGTTCAAAATTTCACCTGATGTTCTTACATATAGTGTACTTATGAAGTGTTTTTGTGGCTTGGGTAGAACAGAAGAAGCAGATGTGTCGCTGAAGAGAATGAACAGTGAAGGGGTTATTGCAGACTCTGTAACATACAATTCCATAATCGATGGATACTGTAAGAAAGGAAATATGGAAAAGGCTCTGGAGGTGTGTTCTCAAATGACTAAAAAGGGTGTAGAGCCAAATGTTATCGCCTTTTCTACATTGATTGATGGTTATTGCAATGCAGGGAAAATGCAATCTGCTACAAGTTTATACTCGGAAATGCTAATCAAAAGTATTGTGCAGGGTGGGGCAAATTTTTCAAGCTACCAAGTTTTTTTCCAGAGATGAGACGTGTTGGTATACAAACAGATGCTTGTCCATTGAACCAGAGTATCATTAAAAAAATTAAAACTTTAATGCAGCAAGCTTTAATAGCTATATTAAACTCTAGCCTCAAATTCTCAGTCTTTCACGTCAACTGCAACAATGTTGTAACAGTTATATTCTACTAAATCATAAAAGGAAAAAAAAAAAAAATTCAATCCTACGTTTCCTTTGATTTGTTAGCACAAGAAATTCATGGCCACTCACTATGTTTTAGGCAAATCCCCTTGTGCAGGCAAAGAGTTTGCATGGAATCCTGCTGCACCAAAACTGGCAGGAGTGTCTTCTTTACAGGTGAAAAACTTGCTGTAATGTGCGGAGCTAAACAACACTCTGGAAACAGGATGCCATAAAACAAGAACACTATTAAAATAACCAAGTTATTAATTAATTAGCTTCAGGGAAATAAAAACTGTAAATAATTTTTTTTTAATTATAAAAAACGAGCAGACTGACCAAATAAAGGAAGTTACTAATTAAGTTTCTTTTTTTCCTCTCTTGATCTTGCCCTTCTCGTTTCTAACTTTCCTTCCCTAATATTTACCTTAATCTCTCTCTATGTATCAGGGTGTCATTAATCTCTTCCAGGATAATCTTTGGTGCTGCTTTAACTAGTTTTTGTAGGTATGTCTTCTTCAATATACTTAACTTCAATTCTGCTTCTACTTTACAACAAAAAAACACAAAGTCTGCACAATAGCTAGCTTGAATTTAACTTGTTTTCCCTCTTTTACATATTGTTGTTGCAGATTTTTCTGGTTTGGACTGAACTTTCAGGACTTGTCTGTAGTTTTATATTACTTGTTTGTGCTTAAAGGTATGTCCTCTTTTCAAAATATGGTTTTCCTTTGAACTGAAAACTTTGTTCCCCTGGATAGTTTACTTTCGTTTTCCTTTGACTAATTCAACAGTTAATTCTGCACACTTGCGCTGTGGCAAGACAAAACTCTTGTTGTTCAATAAATTATTTTTTTAAAATTAAAAAAATATTTTCATAAATATATCTAAAAGAAATTACATAAATTATATATATATATAATTGGAGGTCCATTGGGTGAAAGGATATTCTACCCAAAAAGAATAGGTCAAATAGTTATAGCATTTTGTGGTAATTAACAGTATGGGCCGTTTGATTTGTAGAACTTTATTGTATGGAACAGGTGTCTTCTTGCAGCCACATTGATGCTTTTGTATCTTCTAAATCTGCAACTTATCAACACATGCATACACTTTAATTTAGGTATTTTTCTTAGTCAAAGTACAATAGTCTTAAGGACTGTAATTATTATTATACATAGAATCTGAAATCTAAACTTTATTTTCCCCATATCGGTTCAATAATATCAATGAAATTCAAATTTTTAAATATCATATATATCCACGAACTCTATGTTAAAATATTCTGTTTGACAAAAATACACTTAAATTTTAAATATCGTAGTAAGAAAATTTTATTAATGAATAATAAATATATTGTCTTGCTTTTTTAAAGAAAATTTACATGCTAAAATTAGAAAAACTTATACTCTTAGGGATTAGTCTGGATCTTTAAGTTTGGAATACCTTGAAAGATCCAACAAAAAAAAAATTCTCAATTGAAGGTGATATCTATTGACGCAGAGGGCCATGCATTCTCTTTCCCCGAACACAGGAAAGTACCTAACAGTTCTAAACTTGTTATCAAGGTACAAGCAAAGCATTTGTGCGCGACTATGGTTGGGTAGGTTATTCAAAAGCAGATACCGCTTTGCATCCCAGTATAGAATTGATGGGAAAAGGTGGTGTTTGTCACAAGCAAAGTATGAATTTGTGGTCCACATTTGAGACCATTTGATTCCAAGCTTTTTAGCAAGGACAAATCCATTTGACTCCAAGCTTGCTAGCAAGGAGAAGTCAGAGAAAACATATTCAGAATCATATTTGGTGAAATAGTCCCAGGCTTCCTTTTTTCTTTTTGTCATCCGAGTTCTGACTATCCATTGAAACAAAGCCAATTTCTCCAAAGCTTCTCCTTGAAACATTGCTTTTTCTGGTTTTTTTTGCACCTGCAGCTTGATGTATAGCAGTTTGTAAGCTATACAAGAGAGAAGGGGGGAAGTACAAAATATAGAACTTTCAGTGTGTTGCGAACTCGATTTCTCTCGCAGAAGGAAAATAGATTCAGAATTCATGGCTGCTGTAATAACTGTCTCCTCTTTGATAGATAAGCTGCAAGCTTTGCTCAATAACAAGGAAGTTACCAGCTCGAGACTGAAAAGCCAAATTTCTTGTTCCATTGAGAAGCTAAGACAATGTTGCAAACTCTTGACAGTAGCAGAGGGCAAGCAAAGTAGTAACCAAATCATCAACATTGATGGTTTGGAGACTAACCTTCTACCCCAAGCATACATCGTTGAGGACATCATTGACACCTTCGTTCTAGGAGCAGAGCTGAAGAGACGGCAGATGTTGACTAAATTGCACTCTTGTGTTCCATTGGTGTCTTTATTGAGCCAAATAAGATTCAGCATTGAGATGAAGAAATCTATAAATGACATGGAAGGCCTATTCCATAAGCAAGAGCAAGCTTCAGAAACTGTACATGAAGGTGATTCAGCTGGGCCAAGCATTTCAGATGAGCAGAAAAGTGCACATACCACTGGAAAAAGCAACTCCAATGAGCAAATTGCGCAAGCTGTTGAGTCAAGGGTTTCAGATGAGCAACCTGTGAGCACTGGTACAAGCATTTCAGATGAACAACAAGTGCATCCTTCAGGTGAACCAGTTTCCCACTTCATTGGGGCTGGACCAACCGATTCAGCGGGCTCAGTCGACCAAAGAGTTTCAGATGGGCAATCAACACAGACTCCAAGATCAAGTTTCTCAGGCAAAGAACAGGCGCAAACTGTTGGACCGATTACTTCAGAGGAAGAGCATTTGCAACAACGACAAGCAAAAATTTCTGATCATTTAGATGAGGAATTGGACTTTGTTGGACTAAAGGATGAAGTAAACAAGTTATTTCAAGCAACAGTCAAACGCCAGACATTGCGCTTTCTTATTTCAGTGGTGGGTGCAGCAGGAGCTGGCAAGACAACCATAGTGAGGACGGTTTATAATAGAGCAGATATAGTGCAACACTTCCCATATCGAGCTTGGGTTCATGTTTCTAAGGAGTTTGCAGCAAAAGATCTCCTGATTGACATGCTGAAACAAGTCACGACTATCAAGGACGAGGAGAGGTTACCCCTGGAGAAATTGCAAGAGAGGGTCCGTGAGGTCTTGATTCGCAAAAGGTACTTAATAGTCTTCGATGATGTTCAGGCTTTTGATATATGGGACCATCTCAAGAACGCTTTCACAAATTCACTAAATGGAAGCAGAGTGCTTCTTACTGCTCGCAACAAAGAAATAACAGATAAAATTGATGATGCTGGGAAGTTCACTCTTGAGCTAAGGCAGCTAACTATTGATGAAAGTTGGACATTGTTCTTGAAGAGAGTACGAACAGATGAGAGCTCAATAGATCCAGAATTGAGGAACCAAATCTTTAAGAAATGCAAAGGTCTGCCTCTTGCAATAGTTGTGCTGGGAGGTTTATTGTCTAACAAAGAATCAAGCAGCTGGTCAAAAGTAATTGAGCGTGCAGATTTCGGTGATGACCCTTCCAAAGCTGTCTTGGCTTTGGCCTATCAGGATCTTCCACCAGCCTTGAAGCCTTGTCTTCTATATTTGGGTCTTTTTCCTAAAGAATATGTCATCCCTATACGGCGGTTGTTCCAGTTATGGGATGCTGAAGGATTGGTGAAATCTTCAACTGAAGAAAGCCCTGAAGATGTAGTTGAGGCATATTTTGAAGAACTTCTTAGAAGAAACATGATAGAGGTAGCAAGATGGCGGTTAGATGGAAGTCCAAAAACATGTCGTGCTCCAGGAATTCTATACGATAATGTCTTTCCAAATGCTGCAGATAGTAGATTTTTCTACATCAATCGTACCTCCATTGCCGAACTTCCTTATCGTGTCCGGAGGGTTGCAGAATATTCAGACATCAGTAATCAGGTTTCTTCTTCAGATAATCTCGAAAGTCTGCGTTCTTATATATCTTTCAAAACCCGAAAGGGAGATACACCAGCAGATGAAGTAGATAAGCTTCTTAACAAGATTATCATTAGGAAAGGCTTCGCATTGCTCTCTGTACTTGACCTTGAACATGTCTATAAACCAATATTATCTGAGGCTATAGGAAAACTGCCACTCCTAAAGTACCTAGGCTTGAGATGGACTTTTTTGGATTCCATTCCAAATTCTGTTGGCGGTCTGCCTTGCCTGGAAACATTAGATGTGAAACACACCAACATAACCTGCTTGCCTATGTCCATCTGGAACTCAAAGAAGCTTCGGCATCTTTATATGAATGAAATTTATTTAGATGTGTCCATCCAGAAACAATTGGCTAGTGAATCCTTAGGCAATCTTCTCACTTTATGGGGATTACTAATAGGCAAAAAAAAGCCTAGGGAGGATTGGTTGAACAGGTTGATTGGCCTTAGGAAATTGGCTTTGACCTGCCATTTTGAATCACTCAAAGAAATAATTCCCTGGATTTCTAAGTTGATGAATCTTCATTCCTTGAAATTAAGGTCGATAGATGAGTTTAGTCGACCTTCAAGCCTCGAGTTGGAGGCCATGTCCATGCCTCATAAACTTTCCGAATTGTATTTGCTTGGAAAATTATCACCAGATATTGGAGTGCTACGACTTCCCCAAACTCTCAAGATGCTTACTTTATCGGTGTCAAAGCTGGAGAAAGACCCGATGTCTGAACTAGGGAAGCTGCCCAATCTGAGCATCCTCAGGCTTTTTGCTCGCTCCTATTTAGGGAAGGAGATGATTTGTGAAGGAAAGGGGTTTCCTGAACTTCGAGTCCTGAAACTGTGGACGCTGGAGGAGCTGGAGCAGTGGACAGTGCAGGAAGGTTCCATGCCTCGACTTAGAGAATTAGAAATTCGACGCTGTGAAAAACTGAAAGAAACCGGTGGTTGGAAGCGGCTAACCAAGACTCTGAAAGAATTAATCCTCACAAATATGCCTGACGCTTTGGTGAAAGGTATCAAACAAAGCAAGGAGTGGGCTAACGTGCCTGTTATAGTCAATATCTGGGACTTTGCTCCTTTACCGGTGAGTTTACCTTTTCCAACAGTCATTTCTTTTGCCTTCTCCAGAATGTTACAAATTAAACATTATCATAGAATTCTCCTACGGCCGTATTAATGTGATACCTTCTTCTAAATCTCAATGCAGCCCGAAACGGCCAGAAATGCATAGCTGGAATGCTTTAATGGATGTGGATTCGATGTTGTTATTGCCTCCTTTTAGCTTTATTTGTCTGTAACTGGTGTGGAATTCAGCTCATCAGCATGAGAAGAGCCTGAAATTCCATAACTCAAAGGATCAAGATGAAGACTAAACGTGGCATCTATATATGTGAAATAAAAATAGTAATTCTGTGGCTTGCTGTGGAGAAGAATAAGATGTCTTTACTTGTTAACTAGTGCTGTTCTAGTGTTGTCTACTTGTTTATTGCTCTTCCTCTAATTTACTCTTATTCATTGGTCGTAAAAAAAATAAAAAATAAAAACAAACAAACATGTTTCGATCTGCCTTCTTATCTTTTTCAAGTGATTGCTTCCGAAATGTCACACCACAAAGTACAGGGTATATGCATACTACAAATTATTGGAGAGATGGTGACTCTGCCTACAAGGGTTTACATGCATTGATAAACATTACCCTCAACCCAAAAACCTAAACTATTGGGTTATGAGTTCATTTTTGTACATAAAAACCTTAAACTTTTCATTCCTATCCGATGTGGAATTTTCCACTCCCATGTAGAAGTCAATAGTCTAACTCTCTCATGAAAAGGATTTACAATACCCTGAATTAGAAGACAAGTTGGGATAGATGCGCTACGGTTACCTTTTCTCGTTTATAGCTTTGAAATACGCCATTGAGCCTTGCTTAAGATAAACAATTTTCTTGAAATCTACATGCATATTGTAATTAACTAACAGAAAGATGTGATGATACACCTATAATTCTGATGGATCCAAGTTGGTTACGCTGCACCTGAGGAATGTTCTGAAGATGATGAAAACATGCCTTTGCAGTCGTCATGTGGGGCTCCATGCTTTCCCTTTTTCTTTTGCCTGAGGAGACGGGACTTCGTCAAAGTAGATTCCAGGTTTCAAGTGCGAAACTTGTTTTTCAAGTCCTGATTGATTGTTTCAGTCTTATCTTTCTCTTTTTTCCTAAAAAGCATATCAGGAACTCGATCTGATGAAAGTATTTATGCCCGACATTGCTTCATTTTGAAGAAATATCCATGCAAGGATATGTTTTACTTTTTTTAACTTTTGGTGGGTGCCCCGTTTGTTTATTTATTAGATGTGGATAGGTTCTCTAACGGTCTCCAAATAAGCTTATTACTTAACAAACGAGGAGCATTTGAACAGCCCGAATTCAAGTTGCTAGTTCTTTTTGCAGGAATGGATACAAAAAGTGAAGGCATGGTCTCTTGACTATATTCTTTTCGTGCAAATCAATTCATCCAAGTACACTTTTCAGGACTGAGTGCATCTCATAAGAAGCTTCCATTTTGACTTGTGAAAGTGAATAACAAATGAGTGCTTGGCTTCTTGCCAAAAAACAAAACATTCTATTCGTATCTCCTGTACGTCTAGCTTGGGACAAGATTTTCCATTCTCTGATCTTGAAAGTTGCAGTCATCTCTGATCCCTGCAGGTATGTGATTAATCCACCACCTCCCTGTTTCTTTTCTTCAAGTTAATTTTCGGTTGTAGGAAAAATATGGGGGACTCAAAAGAAATTACCTAGTTCGTCTGAGAAATTTTCCGTTTTTTAGTTGCTTGCACTCAATTTCATTCAAGTACTTCCTACTAGTACTTCAAGCACATTCTCATGTCATTCCTTTTTTGTTCTCTGTATGTCAATTTCAGTTGTTAGCAGCTTGATTTACGAAGGCGAGAGAAAATGGAGCTAATTCCTTCAGAATTGAAGAAATTGTGGAAGAATTGGGAACTACGCATCTTGGTTCTACTTAGCCTTATTATGCAGATAGTACTGATCTTTTTTGGCAATCGGAGGAAGTCTTCAAGCCGAACTAGGATTCGGTTCCTCTTATGGTGTGCCTACTTGATGGCTGATTGGGTAGCAACTGTTGCACTTGGGGTCCTCTTAAACAACCTCGGAGAGGTCACCAGGGACATGGGAATGCATCGAGTTCTGAATGTAGACACTGAGCTTGCTGCATTTTGGGCACCATTTCTTCTGTTGCATTTAGGTGGCCCTGACACCGTTACTGCATATGCTTTGGAAGACAATGAGCTTTGGTTGAGGCACTTTCTTGGATTAGGAGTCCAAACTGGAGTTGCAGTCTACATTTTCTTTATGGCCTGGAGAGGTTCTCTTATCTCCATTCTCACCATGCCAATGTTTTTGGCAGGAATAATCAAATATGGGGAGAGGACATGGGCTCTTCGATCGGCAAGCAATGAGCAATTAAGAGACTCCATGCTAACTCCTCCTGATGCTGGCCCAAATTATTCCAAATTCATGGAAGAATTCACGTTGAAGCAGTATGAGGGATTCCATGTAACAGCAGATGAAGTGATAGAAGCACAGGCACAGGTGGATGTTTCTCAAATGGGAACTGCCTCCGTTCGTGATGATACCGAATTGCTTCAAGCCCATTACTCGTTCAAAACTTTCAAGCGCCTTTTCGTCGACCTCATTCTCAGTTTCCAAGATCGAGACAATAGCCAAAATTTGTTCAAAGATATGTCCTTCGAAAATGCTTTCAAAGTGATTGAGATTGAACTTGGATTCATGTTTGATGTGCTTTACACCAAAGGAGCAATAATCCATGCCCGCGTCGGCTGCTATCTCCGTTTCATCAGTCTGAGCAGCACTGTAATAGTGTTGATATTATTTTCTTTTGCCCACGAGAAGAATCATTCTAAGAAGATTGATTTAGCTGTAACTTTCTCATTGCTAGTTGTAGCTATTTTCCTTGAGCTCTGTGCCATACTTTTACTGATCTCATCAGACTGGACAGATATTTATCTGACTAAGCATTCAAAGATCCGAAAGTTCATCGCTCCTTTCCAGCTTCCGAAACATCGAAGGTGGTCAAATTCCTTGGCACAACACAGTTTACTGAGCTTCTGCCTCAAAAGTAAGCCTATAGTCAGCCTCAAAATCCAGAATTTCTTTGGCATAGACAAAATTCTAGAAAAACACCTGCACAAGACCATCGATAAAGTCTCCGATGATTTGAAAAAGCTGGTATTCACCCATCTCAAGGAAAAATTTCGACTCATGATGAGCATTTTGAGCGGCGAGGCAGAGGCTGAATCCAATCGATACGAAAGTGAGCTTAAAGCATTGTGCATCTGCCGAGGGGACCGTGCGCTTCAAAATTCAGATTTTTTTGATTATTTAAGTTGGAGTGTAGAAGTAGAGTTCGACCAAAGCATCCTCATCTGGCACATTGCTACAGATCTCTGCTACCACTCTGACCCTGACGAAACCGAAAAAGAAGATAACCGTAAAATAAGCCAGAAACTGTCCCAGTATATGCTGTATCTCCTAGTCATGCGTCCTTTCATGCTGCCAATGGGGATTGGAAAGATCAGATATCTAGATACTTGCAAAGAAGTAAGAAACTTTTTCGAAGAGCGAGAGTCTGTGTTAGGTGATTTCCAAACTTCCAAAGGCAGGTCTCTGAATTCTTGGCTTTCGGCAATCAATCCTTTCAGCAAAGGGAAGTCTAAGCTAGATGAAAGCAAGGCATGCGAGGTGTTGCTCAACGTGAACACTCAAGTCCCACCTATCAAAGTAAAAGGCGACAGAAGCAAATCTGTCCTTTTCGATGCATGCAAGCTAGCATCCCAGTTGCAAGATATATCAGACAGAGAGGGAAAATGGAATCTGGTTTGTAATGTCTGGGTGGAAATGCTAGCTTATGCAGCTAGCCGTTGTAAAGGAAATTACCATGCTCAGCAATTGAGACAAGGTGGAGAACTTCTCACTCATGTTTGGCTCCTGATGGCCCATTTTGGTTTAACAGAGCAGTTCCAGATATCCCATGGTCATGCAAGAGCTAAGCTCAGTGTGAGGTAGAGACACTGGTGCCAAGCCCAAGAGGAATCCATTAATGGTTGATTTAAGCTTTGTTCTTCATTTCTTTTTTTGGTTTAGTGATTTCCCTTTCTCCTTTGTCCTTTGTCCTTTGCTTATTTTTCCTGTTGGAACTTAGATCATCATTTTTAATAATCAGACAACGTTTTCACTATTGTCTTTTTTCATTATTTTTTAGAAAAAGAATACGGAAGGCAAAGTTTGTTTACTTGCCTCATCCTCATAAAACGTAAAAGACCAAACATCACCTTCCACTCAAGGAATCTGGGAGATGAAATTTTTCACTTTTTCAACAGATAAAGTAAAGCACTTGTTTGATCCATGGCCTATAAAGAGGTTGCAGTGATTCCAAACTTGCTGTCAAGGAGCAAGTATTTATATCTTGAGAATAATATTTCATCATAAAATCGTTCCAAAAAGAAAAAAAGAGCTTCAAACATAGAAAGGTGGAAAGTGCTAAACAAAAATAATATATAGATTTTATTCATGGATTCTACCAGTGGATTGAAGCCTCAACGAAACTTTTTGAACCCACCAACAGTTTATATGTAGGGTATTTTCAGATGAATCATCGCATCAACTTATTATACTAGATCCATTACTTTCTGGGCTAGATCAACATCAGATTACTCTTTGAGAGTCAAACTTTTTGAATCCACCAACAGTTTATATCTAGTGCGATAAAAAGAGATGTATTCAACAAGATATATTTACACACCTACATATATATATATATATATATATATATATAGGAATTTAAACATTACATAGAAGGAGGACGTCCATCTCTTCTTTCCAGTAACGTAGAACTAAGAAGTTGATGGCAAACCATACCAACAATGGCACGCGAAATTTGAAGTTGTAATTAAGAAACAGTATACCCAAGTTTATAAGCGTAGTTGACAAGATCATCCAGCTCATCCATGTCGATTTGTCCATCATTGTTGGCATCGGCATGGCTGAGGCCACGAGCAGCTCTGAAATTAGGGAAAAATGCCCCAAGTTCGTCAAAGGCTTGCTTCAGCTCTTTCCTGCTGAGATGATTGTCGTGATTGATGTCGTGTCTTACGAAAATCTTCTTCAACTGCTCTTTGGTTAGGGTGTGACGATCACCTCTCTTAGGCTCATCGATTTTTTTTGGTGCAAATCCCATGTTCTAGCTAGAAATGGAGAAATGGATCAAGATGCAGAATATATATTTCAATAAGTGTTTATAAAATATTGTTACCCTGTGGTTTTTTAGAAGCATGGAAGGGAGGTTTATATAGATCGCTTAACTTGGGTAATCCATCCATGATATTCCTACTTATCTTCCTGCATCTCTGGTGGATTATATCTATATATAGATTCGGTCAGTTCACTACGTACTACGATCACATCACATTATAGTTAAAAAAAAAAAAAAAAAACTGTCATAACAACTAATGTGATAAATATATATAATAAATTTATTTTAAAATAAAAAGTTAAACTTACTTTTTTTTAACAATAATATAATTAAAGACTGTTGTTTGAGCCGTTATCTACCAAATAACGAAAATAACAAATCATAACACGGTTATTATAGAGTAATTTTATAATACACTAAAAATAACTAGTGGCATGTATAATAGTTACTTTATTGGTCTACTTTGAAGAGAGAGATAGACACAAAAAAAAAATAAAAGAGAGAAAATAAAAAAATTTGAGCACGTGGAAACTTTTTTTATCACTTTTGGTGAGCATGTATGTAATTTCACTAATTTTTTATGTGTCTATTTATCTCCTCAAAGTAGACTCATAAAGTAACTATTATACATGCCACTAATTACTCGTGGAAATCTTTTTATCACTTTTGGTGAGCATAGATATAATTTCATTAATTTTTTATATGTCTATTTCTCTCCTTAAAGTGGACTCATAAAGTAACCATTATACATGCTACTAATTACTCCCGGTGTATTATAAAATTTCTCGTTATTATATATCGTTATTTGAATAAAATATCGTGAAGTTTTTTATAATGCTATATAATAGAAACAAATATATCCAAATTTATTTTATAATAATTATTATTTGGAACTGTACGAGGGAATACTAGTGAGGAGGCCTGAAAAAAAGGTAATAAGATAAGCAATATTTTGATAAAAAATTACTCTACTCATCACATAGATACGATCGAGTGGCTATTTACTCTTGAAAGCTTCTTCTACAATATTTTTCAGATTAAACTGAATCGAATTGATCTTAAAATAACTTTTCAATATTCTAAGGGGAAAATAGTAACATCTTTTAAAGATTCTCATGGTTTGAGAGACGTGTATGTATAGAAATCCATAATAAATGTTGGCATATTCCATGAAAAACATTTAGATTTTCTGTAGACGATAGGTCGGATGTTTGGAATCTTTGATCGTTATCGTTTATCCTGATAAATGCTTCTTATGTGTAGTTTTATTCGATTCTATGAGTAAATAATGAGTTCAAAAGGTGCATTGGTCCTAAAAGAGAGTAGAGATATAGATAGAGTTGAGAACATTTTTACAGGTAAATTTGGAAAAACTAAGGGGGAATTCTAAATCTAGTACCTAATCTATATATTCATTCTCAATTGCATCGCAAAATAGATCATTGAATTACTAGCTTGCTGTGATAAGAAAAGGATTTGCGGAGAAACAAAAGAACTTCATCACGACAATATTGTTACAAGAATCAGCCAAAATTTTGCTAATGAACAAAGATCAAATGGCCATCTTTTTTTTTTTTCTTTTATGGAACATAAACATATGCTTTAAATCTCAAGAGAAAATCACATTCAAAAGCTCAAAGAATCTGATAGGGTACTTTACTGACTAGAGATTAAAGCTGTTGTAAAATCACATTCAAAAAAAAAAAAAAAAACAGCAAGAAACAAACCTATAAATTCAATCTAACATCAAAAATAAAGAAATCAAACATGCCCATTTTGGATGCTGCAAGTTATAAGTCCAAATCAAATCATCCTGAAGTATTTTAAGCACTATTTGAAGCAATCTTCCATGGATTTTCAAGAACATTTCATCAGCATATCCCAAAATCAATGTATTCCGCAGAAAGTGTTGAGTTTTTTCAAGAACTAACGCGTTCGAAAATCATAAGCATGGACCTTCGTTCCAAGAACACAGGACGCATAAACATCAACACAGGCGTGCATAATCTGGTTCAGACTGAGATTTGCAGCACTCCAATGATGATCATTATTTCTCAAATCTCAAGTCCGCGAATCTTCTGGATAATCACAAACATTAATTGTTGCCTAATCCTGTACGTTGATTCGAATCGAAGGCTTTTTCCATTATCATCTTTGGCACCGAACCTCACGTCAAAGACCCTATCACTAAACTGCAAATGGTGCTTAGAATTCACCAACCTGTGCTTATCCGAAGAGTTCCAAATCCGAACTAAAGTGTTTCTAGGACGTAAAAGAACGCGTTGGAGATTGTTAGGAACAGTATCAGCTTGAGAGAGTTGAAAGATTAGGCAGCGGTCACCAACGCACTATTGGAGAATATCAGCAGGCGGTGATTCTTCAGAGGAAGAAAGCAAGAAATAAAGGGGGAATTTCTCTTAAAACCGTTATTTATTTCCCGCTCAAGGAGAAGAAATCATGGCCACTGATCCCTTTAGCTGCATTTTGTGGTAGTTAATGGCACTGACCGTTGATTCGTATGATTTTAATTTGTGGCACACGTGTCTGATTTTAGTCCGATTGATGCGTTCACATCTTCTGAATTGGCAACTTACCAATGTATATACTCTATCATCAATTTGGTTTATTTCAACTCTTTATTTTTCTCATTTTTTTATTATTTGTTTCATATTTAGAATAAAGTTCAACAGAAAATGATTTTTAACTAACAAAAAATGATAGAGTATTTTTTAAAAAATGTTTTCTTAGTTTAAGAAGAGGAAAACATTTTCCTTCTTACGAACTCGTCTCACTTTCACGTTACTTACCTCTCTCTCCATATATTTTAATAATTTTTTCTTCATCTTCTTTTTATTTAAAATATACAAAACTAATTTTTAATTATTCCTTATTAATAATTAATTATTTTTTTCTCTATTTCTACTGATATTTGATTTTTTTATTTATAAATACATTAAATATTCTTAAAAATCATTTTTACACCTTAAAATTATTTTTATAATAAATATTTCAATAATTTATCTTTATTTTTTTACTCTTATCTCAAACATCACTTACATTATACTTAAATTATTGAAAATGATTATTATAACTATAATTTTTTGTAAAAAAATTAAAATTAATTAATTCATTAATAAATACATTATTTTTCCAATACTATTCATTTGCAACTAAATCAATAATTTATAATTTTAATTAGTTATAAATTTTTTTGCTAATTATAGTGAATAATTAGTTACAAATTATTTCAATATTAATCTTTTGAAACCAAATGAATAATTATCTACAAATGATAACAAATAATTTATAAAATTATTTTTTAGACTAAATTATTAGTTCAATTTCTAAAAAAAAAAATTCTTAATTGAGTTACCAAAATAACAATACTAGGATTACTTAGATTTTTCGTTTTAACTAAATGTGAATATTGACTTGATTTTGTTCCAACTAATTTTGATAAATTGGTTTGATGGTTAAAAAGTATATTTATTTTTTTGAATTAAAATTTTTTAGTCGAGTATTTATGAAAATTTATCAAATTTTTTTAAATATATCTTATGTTGTGAAGTTATGAATATGCATTTTTGAAGTTTTCTCAAAACTTGTTGATTTAACAATCACATATTTTTTTTTTGTATTTTAATTTTATGTATCAAATAAACACTCGGAATATATTTTTCAGTAATTTTTTCACCTAATTGTCAAATGACAAAAAATATTTTTTGGAAAACAATTTCTTGGAAAATAGCTTCCTCAAGAATTGATTTTCCTATAGAAGTTGTTTTTCGTTAAACAAACGGAGCCTAAATTTTATTTTTTATATAAATTTTATCGGTTAAAGTTGTAATCTATAACTGAAACATTTTAAATTAATATATTTTAAAATAATTTAGTTTTTTAGACTTAATATTGTTTTTTGGAAAAAAATAATAATTGCAAAAAAAAAAAAAATTGGGCCTATATTATTGAAAGATATTATTCAAGTAAATTTTTTTGTCTTTATGAAATAATTTTTTTGAAAAATAATTTTAAGTGTTAAAAAAACTGAAATACTAAAAAAAAATCCAAATTGGGCCTAAATCATTGAAAGATATTATTCAAGTAATTTTTTTTTCTTTATGAAATAATTTTTTTGAAAAATAATTTTAAGTGCTAAAAAAACTAAAATGCTTAAAATAAGATCGTTTAATTTGAAAATAGTTACATGCAAATCACGTAATTAATTTTAATAGTTTAATTTAAAAATCTTACTAAAAATATTAGAATCTTAATATATATCTAATGATAATATTAATTCAATTAAGAATATAAAAATACATTAAAAATTTATTTTTTTTATATAAAAAAATTAAGTCATTAATCTAATTATTTATTTATTAAGCCTTTAATTGCTTCCCTTGTAGCATCTTCTAAAAGAGAGAGAGTTTACTGAACTATATGGCTTTAGCTTCTAGGTCGCAATAGCATATACACTTTCGGAGCTTTTCAATTTTCATCTCTTTTAATCATAATTCAGTTGACAAAGTCATAAATCATATTTTTTTGTGATAGTATCGCTTTTTGATTTTTAATTCTATCGGGTTGATATATATGTATATCATTTTTATTTTTTTGAAATGTTATTAAGTTTATCGAGTGTTTTTTTTTTTTTCACATAAAAGTGAAATTTGTGAATAATATTTTTGATAAATCATATGTTTATTTTGAGAGAGGAATCCAACTCCAAGTACTTCTAACGAATTATTATTATTATTATTTTTTTTTTTTTTTTTGAAGAAATGGAGTTTGAGGAAGAGAATTCCGTTAAAACCGTTATTTATTTCCCGCTCAAGGAGAGGAATTGATAGAATACATATAGTCATATAAGAAGGGCCGGTAGATTAGTATGAATGGGTTTTGTTTTGATGGACTTAGGCTCGTATGATTTGAGGGTCCACCCATTATATTAGTAATTAAATTAACACAAAGTAAAATGTCAATATAAG